CTCAACGTTCATCCTACAAAGTCCCATCACTCGGGAGGAACACAAACAAATAGACCAAAAAAAAAATTGCCCGTATTAAAACGGCTATGTGCCGTATGGACCTGAAAACTCAATTTCCCTCTACAACAATACGGGGTAGACCGTACGGGTTGACCAGCTATGCACACTGCACGCAAACACCCTCCCCCCAAACTCGCCCCCCTCTCCCAGAGGACCCCCCCCCCCTTTTCTCACTCCACAAAAAAACACCCGCATTCCAGACACCCTTGCCAGACATTCACCCCCCCAAGCCCCCCCTTAAAAATATCCCCTTCAAACACACCCTCGTCTACACCCCCTGCTCTCGCACCCCAGATTGGTATGAGTCATGGGGCCGGCAAGCGAAGCGGCGCGAGACCCACGAGGTCACTTTGGGTCAAGGCCCCTTTGCGGTTAGATGGGGGGGGGACCTGATGTTGGGAATACGGTGTAGTAAGTTTTTTGGTGGAGGCGGTATTGAGTATTCTGTTGTTGTGTTGGGGGGGGCTCTTGCATTGTTTGGAAATGGAACCTCTGGTTTGTTTAGGGGGGGGGGGTACTGCGTGGTTTCTACTGCTCGTGTGTGTATCTTTGATTCTGCGTAGCTCCGTATCGATCTGTGTGTGTGCGTATTGGATGAGTCATTGGTGACAATCTGGTCTGTTTTTGTTCTCGAGTGCCAGCTGTCCCAATTCTCGTCCGTGGCCATAAACCCACGTAACCCCGGAACCCATCACACAACCGAGTCCAGAGAGACGCGCACGGGATGATGGGTGACCTGCGAGCGATTAACTAAGTGCGCGTGGTGGTTGAGTGATGGGCGAATGGCGGACTTTGCTTGTTTTAATGGGCGAGTGATTTTAATCCACGGAAACATTCAACTGGTTTGTTGAGAATAGGTTTTTACCCTTTTTTTCTGGCAACAAAACAGGTGTTAAGTTGTTAACACCAAACTGAAACCTTTTTTTTATAAGGAATCATGTCTGCATTATCCACAATGCTTGTGATCAGAATGCAAACAAAAAACACTTTAATATATGCATTGTCCTTGATTGGTCCACACCAGAGACGGCTTTCTTTTGTTAGACCAGAGGACGCCAAAAGGCGTACAGCTGTACGCCGTTTGAGACGAGGCTCAAAAGAAAGCTGTCTCTGGTGTGAACCAATCAGTTTCAAGGACAATGCATATATTTCGATTTAAAGCTTTCGTGACTGCAGGGATTCATATTCTTGGTTCTTTCGGTAAAGTCACGTAGAAGGGAAATAATAAAATAATAAAAATAAACATAATAAAATAATTCTCACGACGTTTCGGCCACAACGCAAGCAGCCGTCCTCAGGTGAAGACCAGGTCTGTCGGGAAGACAGCGTATATTATTAAAAAAAAGATTTCAGTTTGGTGTATTAACAACTTAACACCTGTTTTTTTTGCCAGAAACAATGGGAAAAACCTATTGTTATATTTTGGTACTGGCAAAGGAGGTCCCATGATCTGGTTTGTTGAGTCGGCATTAAGCGGCACCGTTTGCCATCTCCGATTTTGCGTGGTAGCCCTGCTTCTGTCGTCGGTGGTATTCTGATTTAGCAACACGACACGTTGAAATGACACCACAAATTACTCGTGGGGGATTGCAGCACAACATCGCAGCAATCGCTGTCCCCCTACTGGCAGACTGTTGCCCCGGGGTCACTCTTACAAAACGAGACTCATCCTGGCCACTTGAGCTCTCGTCCGGTTGAGCAAAAATCAACTCGAGACTTGACATGGAGGCTGGCGAGTCAAGCGAAGGCTACGGGAATCCGACTCAAAATATTCATTTAAGCTGGAGGAATCCCATGAGCTATGAGGCTCCTTTTCCCACTGCTGTCCAGTGGATGCGTGAGGTCGGTGTGGCAGGACGTGGCCAGGTGGCCGGCTCTTTGGGCGGAGATGAGCCCAGCTCCTTGTGGAGTGATGGTGGTCTAGACAAGGAGATGGGAGCTCAGCTCCACGTGGGGTGATGGTGGTCTGGACAAGCAGATGGGAGCTCAGCTCCTCGTGGGGCCATGGTGGTCTGGACAAGGAGATGGGAGCTCAGCTCCTGGTGGGGCCATGGTGGTCTGGACGAGGAGATAGGAGCCCAGCTCCTCGTGGAACTTGATGGTCTGGACAAGGAGATGGGAGCTCAGCTCCTCGTGGGGCGATGGTGGTCTGGACAAGGAGATGGGGGCCCAGCTCCACGTGGGGTGATGGTGGTCTGGACAAGGAGATGGGGGCTCAGCTCCTCGTGGGGTGATGGTGGTCTGGACAAGGAGATAGGAGCTCAGCTCCTGGTGGGGCCATGGTGGTCTGGACAAGGAGATGGGAGCTCAGCTCCTGGTGGGGCCATGGTGGTCTGGACAAGGAGATGGGAGCCCAGCTCCACGTGGGGCCATGGTGGTCTGGACAATGAGATGGGAGCCCAGCTCCTCGTGGGGGTGATGGTGGTCTGGACAAGGAGATGGGAGCTCAGCTCCTCGTGGGGTGATGGTGGTCTGGACAAAAAGATGGGGAGCTCAGCTCCTCGTGGGGTGATGCTGGTCTGGACAAGGAGATGGGAGCCCAGCTTCTTTTTGGAGCGATGGTGGTCTGGACAAGGAGATGGGAGCTCAGCTTCTCGTGGGGCCATGGTGGTCTGGACGAGGCTTGCTTGAGAGCATTCTACAGTAGGTGCAATGTGGTTGTCACGTGGCACGCTCACGCTGTTTGTGAGCCACACACGTCAATAAAACACTGCTCCACCACCCAATCCCCCTCACCCTCCCCCCCTTTAATCCCCCTCCTTGCCCGGGGTGAACTTCGTAAAGACGATCCCCGGGTCTCATTCCAAGTCAAGTTCACCTCGACCCTGAGTGATGCACGCGGTGGCTTGGGTGGGTGATCAACATCGGCAGCAGTAGCAGCAGGAGAATTCGCAGCGTCATCAATCTTTCACGTCATCGGCATCTTCTTCATCGTCATCGTTGTCCTGCACCTCACCAGCATCATCATCAGTATTATCATGCCGCTCCTACGCATCCTCTTTCTTTCCCTCCATGCCGCCAGGTTCGTGGATAGGTCGGTGCAGGCTCGTGAAGGGGGAGGGCCACCCAGAACCGGTTCAGATTTCACTTGCCGCTGACGTTAGCCACGGGCCTGGAATCGAACCAGGTTTTTGTCGCGCCTTTGGCCCGACCACACTTCTGCTTCCACGCTAAACACTGCCCACAAATCCAGCCTCTCCTTCCCGCCCTCCCCCTTGCATTCAAACGCACATTCCAAATGGGTACGCAGAGCAGCGATGTTCCCGGCCACAACTGGTGCTGCCTGCCCCCTCAACCCTCACGACCACAACTGGAGCCGGATGCCCACGGGCTGACCTTTGCGTGTGAGCGGGCACACGGGCGTGTTGTGTGCGAGCGTGTTTTCGTAGGGGAGCGGTGGCGCTGCGGTCGGCGCTGCTGCGCCACAAACCCCCGCCCCCCCCTGGCGACGCGGAGTTCGATTCCTGCTCACGGACGCCACCACCGGCCAGTGGCGATTATCTGAATCCGGTCGTGCGCCCTCCTCTCCCTAGGTCGACTCGGCCTCAAACGTGGTGTCCGTACGTTGGTGCGGACAATCGCTAGTGGGGAGACACCGGTGGTGTCCAGGCGTGGTGTTGCCTACAGTGCTCAAGTGGCAGCCTTCGTAGATGCTGCGAGCTCACAGCACTCACCCAAAACAGTCCGTGAAATGTTTGTTGGCTACGAACCTGGCGGACCGGGGTTCGATTTCCGCCCACGGCCAACACCGGTGACGATTATCTGAACCGGTCCTGCGGAGCCTTCCAGAGGTCGACTCAGCCTCAAATGAGTACCTGGTGCGGTGTGTAGTAAGCATCGCTACTAGGGACTCAAAAGCGGCCGGGTGTGGTGTTGGCCACCCACCCCCTCGTGTGCCGTGCCAGCCTTCATAGGTACTCGCTAACAGCACTTTCCCCTACAGTCTGTTAAGACTATACGGGGGATCTTTGTGTGTGCCCCCCCCCCCCCCATGTGTCTGTGAGTGTGCGCGCACGTGTGTTTCTGTTTTGCGAGCGTGTTTACGAGTGTCTAGGAATGCGTGCGTGTGCATTCGTGCGTGCGGGGTTTAAGTGTTTACGTCGCAGCCCGATCCGTCAGTTAGCCCATCACACCTGGGTGTGTCCCAGCAGCCACCACCTGCCACCAGCGAGCCTTTGGGGGCGCACCCAGCCTGGCACACGCGGCGGGGTGAGGCAACTGCCACTCGGTAACAAGTGGTGGCTGCTTTTGTGCGTGTGTGTGTGTGTGTCTTTGCAGTGGGGAGCGGTAGTGTAGCGGTTAGCGCGCTGCGCTTTGAACCTGGCGACCCGGGTTCGATTCCCGCTCACGGCCAACACCGGTGACGATTATCTGAACCGGTCCTGGGCCTCCCTTAGGTCGACTCGGCATAGAAATGAGTACCTGGTGCGGTGTGTAAACATCGCCACTGGGGAGACAAAGGCGGTCGGGCGTGGTGCTGGCCACCCACCCTCTCGTGTACCGTTCCGGCCTTCATAGGTGCTCGCTAACAGCACTTGCCCCTGAAGTCTTGTTATAGCTATACGGGGGGTCTTTGTCTTTGTTTTTGTCTGTGCTGGTGAGCAGTAGTGCAATGGCTATTAGCGCACTTTGCCATGAACCAAGCAAACCGAGTTCAATTCCCGTTCGCGAACAATAACAATGGTGGATGTTTGAACCCGTCCTGGGCCGCCTCTAGGTCGACTCAGCCTTAAACGAGTACCCCCCCCCCCCCCTCCGGTGTGGTGTGTACACATCAGCATTGGGGCAGACAAAGACGGACGAGGGCGTGGTACTGCCTCGCCACCCCACTCACGTGCTGTGACCGGCCTTCCATATACAGGTGCTGCTCGCTAACTGCACTTGCCCCCCCAACCCCCCTCTTAAAGACTGTGGGGGGGGGATATTTGTCTTTTGTGCAGGTGAGAGTGAGGTGTTGGCGAACCTGCGAGCCATTGCGGACAAGAACCAGGTTTGGCGATCCTACATCGGCATGGGTTACTACGGCTGCTGCGTGCCGGCTGTCATCCAGAGGAACCTGCTGGAGAACGCCGGATGGTACGTGCACCGGCACAGAAAAAACCAGAAGGCCATCATCACCACCGTGATCGTGGCAAGCCGTCGTCGTTGGTCCACCGATTTATACGCATCGCAGCGATAAACCTCCGCCACTGCTGACGATGAGGTTATTCTGGGCTTGAGCACCTGAATGTGAAATTGTAGCCGTTACATCAGGCCCTGCCCTAGAAGATGGTCCACCGCTGGACCAAGGGCCTCTCTACTGGCCACCGTTGCCATTTTTCTCGGGGCCCAGCACCGCCGCCGAGCCTGGCTCTCACTCCTGTGCCACGCGAACTAAATTCAAACTAAACTATTAAACTTTTTTTTATTTTACCAGGCAAGGCCCACTTGAGTTTCCTAGCTCTCTTTCTGAAGCGAACTGGCTATCACAAATAATAGCTCAAAGGTAGTGATTTATCACGTGGACATTTAAAGAAGTCAAATAACTCTAATGCACGTTGATTCTAAAGTGGAGCGAAAAACCGGAGGACCCAGATTAAAATGCATGCTACCTCGGGGAGAGAGACACCGCAAACTCCAAATATATAACAGGCGTCGGGGTCAGGATCGAACCCACGACCTGTATACCAAGCGAGGTTGTTAACATCTCGCCACCGCGATAAGCTCATCTCCCCGTCGCTGCGGAAACTTTCTGCGGAGGGAGGTCGACCTCCCTGCGCCGAGTCGTCCTTTGTCTCCCCTTCCATTGTCTTGTTTTCTACCTGATGGAGATCGTGGACGCGTTTGGCATTGCGGCAATTTCTGATGAGGCGAGGCTCTCAATCGTTAGCGGTTTGCATGGGGCCGCATCTTGCAGATGATCCACCGCCACCGGGTTTGGGAAATGGGCCATCCTTCATGTCGTGCGATCGCGACCGTGATTACACAGGCCCGCGGCAAGGTTGCGTGGAATGCAGTCAACTGTGTCTGATCTCGGCGAAACGGGCAAAGCAGGTTTGAATCGATTATAGCTTTGCATGGGACATTATTATCACCAGAGCTTAAGTAGGGGTGTAACGATTTGCCCCCACTCCCCCCTTGCCCCCCGGCGATTTCATTGACTGTGGCATTTAAGTTGTACGATTGTACAAAAAAACATTCATCGCGTTCATTTTTAGTTTTGTGTGGAATTTGGTTGAGATTGAGTTCCAAGAATTATAAATATGGGTTTTACCGCCACGTGATGAACATTTGTTTCTATTGGTGGCTGGCATAGTGGGTGGGTGGGAAAAAGGCTACCTCCTCGGCTGTATCGTCCAGAAGTCACTTGAAGGGATCTCCAGAATTGGTTCTGTGATATCCACTTCAGCGGGGGCCAGTCTCGGACGCGGGGTGGTTGCACTGCCCCCCTTTGCGAGGTTTCCCCCAATGGATTCTTCTTCTCTGAAGTTAAAACAAAACGGACAGCTCAAGTTTTGTCCCCCGTTTCTCCATTTTCTGGCTCGTTTCCCAAGTTTTGTTCCACCCATTAGCCTGAATATATTAGCAAATCGTTGGCATCTGATTTGAATATGTCGGGGCGGGGGGGGGAGAAAAAGACATCATCAACTATTTGCACTGTCCATTCGAGACGCGCCAATTACTCGTGAATGGAATTGGTAAGTCATCTCAAAGCAGGACCGTCTCGGTTAAGGGTTTACGGCATGCATGTATGTACCTTGAACTTCTTTCGCACCGTACGTAGCCAACCATGCTAATCGGTGGTGCGACATGATTTTTGTTTTTATGTGATTTTTGGCATAAAACTACAAATGTGTTCCTCTCAGCACCACATTGAGGAGAAATCAACAGGGGTTGCCCTGTGGGGAGACTTTCCCCCGTCATAGGAACGTATAATTTCCAAACACTGGCTCAGGGCTTTAAACGGAAGATGAACGTCGGTGCTTCACCTCTAATGAGCATGGTTGGCTACGTACGGTGCGCAAGAAGTTCAACATACAACAACAACAACAACCGCCATTCGCCACTAAGTGGCGGTGACGTCACCACGACGCTTGTGCCAGGCCAAGTGCACCTTGAGGCCACGTGAAGTGTCGAACACCCGCTGGCAGGAGGTCATGGGGCAGACCCAGGTGCCACGGGTCGACTGACCGAGATGACCGAGATGACTGGCTGATGCACCACCTGTGCCCCCTACTGTACCAACTTGCTGTGCTTTAGCCACCCGGCACTCCGCTCGTTGTTGTGAGCGTCGCTCCTCCGCCCTCCGTTGTTGTTGGAGGGCGACTGCCTCCAACTGCCCAGTAGCGTCCTTCACGAGCCTCCTCCACTGAGGCCGATCTTGACACCGCTGGTACCAGTCATCGGCACACAAATACACATACACACATACAAAGATCCCCCGTATAGCCTTAACAGACTGTAGGGGCAAGTGCTGTTAGCGAGCACCTATGAAGGCCGGAACGGTACACGAAGGGGTGGGTGGCCAGCACCACGCCCGACCGCCTTTGTCTCCCCAGTGGCGATGTTTACACACCGCACCAGGTACTCATTTAAGGCTGAGTCGACCTAGGGGAGGCCCAGGACCACACATACACACACATACACACATACAACAATAACAACCGCCATTCGCCACTAAGTGGCGGTGACGTCACCACGACGCTTGTGCCAGGCCACATACACACACATACACACACACACATACAAACACTGGTGGTGGTGGTGTTGTTGACACTGGGGGTGGGGCTGGTGGTGTTGTTGAAATTGGGAATGGTGGTATTCACAATACAGCCCCCGCGGTCTATGTTCCAGGCACGCCTTGTTTGTGGATGTCTATGTGCGGCATCTGAAACAATCGGACGAGTTACTTTCATTTCCCTGGCCTCTGTCCAGCGAGCAGTATACTGCGATTGGGCGTGCAGCAGTTTACGTGGCGTGTGGAAGAATAGGCCAAATTACCCTCGAACTGGTCACCTCCGGATGTAAATCAGGTCCGCGTCTTGCCCTCGGCATCTCATCCTCCGTGTCTGACCCTTTTCCCGTGTCCCCGCGGCGTCTCCCCAGGCTGACCCAGTACACGCCCTACCAACCCGAGGTGTCCCAGGGCCGCCTCGAGTCGCTGCTCAACTTCCAGACAATGGTGTGCGACCTCACGGCCCTCGACGTGGCCAACGCCTCCCTCCTGGATGAGGCCACCGCGGCCGCCGAGGCCATGGGCCTGGCCCACAGGTGAGGGCCTCGGGGGGGGGGGGGTGGGCTGGGGGGGGAGAGACGATAACAAAACTGGAAAGGTGAATGGAAGGTCGACCGGCGGGGGCTGGCGGCCTGGCGAGCGGTGGTGATCGTTCGCCCGCTGGGAGGGGCCCAAGGCAGACATAAAAAAATAAATGTTCATTTAAACTTTTCACCTGGACAATGTATTTATGGATGTTGAACTTCTTTCGCACCGTACGTAGCCAACCGTGCTGGAAGGACAACAAAACTAAATGCACAAAAATAAAGTAAACGCAAAAATAATCACTCCCAGAACATCCCCCCCCCCCCCCCCCCCCTGTTTGCAAGGGTGACCAGGGTATAAAATGACACGCACGGCAAACAGACGTGACGACACGTGCACCGTAACGTCTGCGACTCGTACAGTGCACGTCTATACAGATGTGAAATACAGTCACCAGGAGTGTCCAGTGACGGAAACGCCTACAGTTAGCGCGGTTGGCTACGCACGGTGCGAAAGAAGTTCCAGCGCGCGGTGCGTAGAAACGAGGCAGAGCGCACGAACGTTCACGTGGCAGTCGCGCGCGTAGGTGGGACATGCGTTGAAAGGTGGATGCATTTGGGGCGTTGGTGTCGTTACAGAGAGGTGGACTCGCGTCAGCGGTGGACGTTTATGAGAAGGGGGGGTGGGTACACGCATGAAGAAATGGATGTGCGGTAGAGGGGTCGGCACGTTTTTATATCGGGATGTGGGGGGGGGGGGTTAACAAATTAATAGAATAGTGGACATCTTGATGGGGACACGGTGAAGGGGGCACGTGATCTTTTTGGGCACGTTGAGGTGGTGACGTGTGGTGACGTGTGTCGCAGGCTGAACAAGAGGAGGAGGTTCCTGGTGGACTCGCGCTGTCACCCGCAGACCATCGCCGTTGTGCAAACGAGAGCCGAGTACGACCTGCATACATCAATTGTCATGACGATGATGATGATGATTGTTCTGCTGCTGAGGATGATGTTGGTGATGAAGGTGGTGGTGGTGGTGGTGGTGATGAAGGTGGTGGTTTTGTCCATGGTGAAGATGATGGGAGTGATGGCATTGATGTCCATGGTGAAGATGTTGTTGATGATGATGATGATGGCAACGGATGACATTTAATGGGTAAAACTCCAGCTCTGAGAATGCAGATATCGATGGTGATGATGATTGTGATGGTGGACTCTATCCGTGGCAGGTCTATCGGCGTGCAGGTAGAGCTGGTGGACGCCTATGACCTGTCGAGGGTGGACGAGGGGGTGAGCGGCGTTCTCTTCCAGTACCCGGACACGGAGGGGCTTGTGCGGGACCCCTCTCTCATCGTGGAGTGGGCACACCAGAGCGGGGTGGGTGCCACACCGCCCCCTGCGGACGCACCTGCACCCTCCCCTGCACACACCTGTACATTCACACACCTGGCACCACACACCTGTACATTCACACACCTGTCACCACACACCTGGCATCACACACCTGTACATTCACACACCTAGCACCACACACCTCGCACCACACACCTGTACATTCACACATCTGTACATTCACACATCTGTACATTCACACACCGAGCACCACACACCTAGCACCCCACACCTGTACATTCACACACCTGTATATTCACACACCCAGCACCACTCACCTGTACATTCACACACCTGTACATTCACACACAGAGCACCCCACACCTGTACATTCACACACCTGTACATTCACACACCTCGCACCACACACCTGTACATTCACACACCTGTACATTCACACACCGAGCACCACACACACTTGTACATTCACACACCCAGCACCACTCACCTGTACATTCACACACCCAGCACCACACACCTGTACATTCACACACCTAGCACCACACACCTAGCACCACACACCTAGCACCACACACCTGTACATTCACACACCTGTACATCCACACACCCAGCAGCACACACCTGTACATTCACAAACCTAGCAACACACACCTAGCACCACACACCTGTACATTCACACACCTGTACATTCACACACCTAGCACCACACACCTGCCACCCCGCACCCTCCCCTGCACACGCCCTTAACCCAAGGCCCGCGCACACCTTCAATCAATCAATAAATCTTTATTTTGTGTGCCAATAAAGTAGTGCATCGCCGCACAATACAGCAGAAGGTTAAACGGTTACAGGGGGCATAGAGCAAACGGGGGGATGAGGAAAGGGAACCCGTCACGACCGACGCGGCTAACGCCGACAGAGCAACGTCAATTGCAATTAAATGTTAGATGTCATGGGAAGGGCAAGTCTGGACAGGTGTGTGTCAGTGGCGGCTGGTGATATTTATTTTTGGGGGGGCGCATTTTTTTTATTTTATTGAGGGGGGCAAATAAATATAAAGCAGTACCAAAAACCATTTTGACTACTTGAATATAAATTTTGATGATCTTTATTTACATTTCAGACCAAAAGAAGTACCAAAAAGCATGTTTCCTACTTGAACATAAATGTTTCTCTTTTATATACATTTCAGACCAAAGTACCAAAAAGCATGTTTCCTACTTGAACATAAATGTTTCTCTTTTATATACATTTCAGACCAAAGTACCAAAAAGCATGTTTCCTACTTGAACATAAAAATGTTAGTTTCATGCTATTATCAATATGGCTGCGGCTACTTTCATGACGTTTGCATTTGTCAGAGAGATGTTTGAGGTCTCTTACCCCCGTCGTTGTCCACAAAACTTCAGTGCCGACACTTTGAAATAAAAGACAGGGAAAACAAAAAAGAGAATTGCTAACATCACATCCAGCCAGCCACCTCCGTTTCTCATAACAAGCGCGGGTGAAGCTTCGTGTGTAGCTTCGTCCTCTGTCACTGGCCTGCTGCTGGATTTGTAAATCGGGTTGGTCCGGTCCGAGATCCTTTATCTTTTTTATTTCTTCCAGCGAAAGCCTTGTGAAAGGGTTTTTTTTGTAAATAAATGACAGAATTTGGATGAACTGCTGCCATTGTTTACACAAAAAATTTGATCAGCCTAGCAAGTGTCAAAGTGGTGTCGCCTTCGCACTCGCAGTAGTGGCCTACAGCGTAAATTTGAATGACAGGTGACGAGAACCAATCAGATTGGATAAAATAACATGTATCCAATTCTGATTGGCCAGGGACGCAACGACTTGCGCCCCGAGGAGAATCTTTAAGAAACCAATTAGAGACCAGCTTCAGGTCACATGCTGTCCGAAAATGTAAAGTCTCACATAGACATCCATTTGTCCGGCGCCCCGCATGAAACACATTGAAAAACATAGAAAATAGTTGAGCGATTAAAGCCAGTTTTTATTAAATGCTGATGCTTTTCTTACTACCAGCCGGCACATCGTATGAAAAAAATATTTTATTAATGTATTTTTATATAAATTTTGCATATGTATATTTCTTGAATATTGATGGGGGCGGCGCCCCTGCGCCCTCTATTGACGAGCCGCCACTGGTGTGTGTGTGTATCACACGTGCCGCCGGAATTGAGTGACGCTCGTCCCCAGATGTTTGGGGCTGCGCTTGGGAAAGCTTTGTCCCCTGCCTCTCCAGCGTCGGGCAGACAATCCTTGGGCTGGGCAAGTCTTGCCGTACAGAATGTGCCTGAGAACTCGAGGTGGATGCAGGTAGATGGGGGGGGGAGGCCCAAGCCACGCTGTGCTTTTGAAACGTTTGGAGACTCATGCCCCCAGGGGCTACCCTTGCAAATGAGACGCTTCCAAATGTCTCGAGTTCTCACAGTGGTTACATAAGAATCAATTCGCGCTCGCTCCCCATCGCAATCAATGACCCACCCACCCACCTACCCACACCCCACCATCTCATTCATTCACTCACTCACTCACTCATTCGCTCACTCACCCACTCATTCTTGCAAATGAGACCCAACGTGGTCCCGTGAGTTCTCACCTGGTTTGAACAAAAGTTCGCTATACCCCTGCCGCACCATTACTTGACCCTGCTGCTACTGCCTGCTGCTGCTGCTGTTGCAGGCGCTGGCGGTGTGCGCCACGGACCTGCTGGCGCTGTGCGTGCTGCGCCCCCCGGGGGAGCTGGGCGTGGACATCGCGCTGGGCAGCACGCAGAGGCTGGGGGTGCCGCTGGGCTACGGGGGCCCCCACGCCGCCTTCTTCTCCGTGCGCGAGTCCCTCACTCGCCTCATGCCCGGCCGCATGGTCGGGGTCTCGCGGTACGCAACGACGATGCGTGAAGACGCGTGGCGCGTGCGTCAATGCGTCACGCCCCCGGGTCAACGGGCGGTGTCGCATTGCGTTCGTTTGCACACGTGTGCTCATTTGCACACGTGTGCTCGTTTGCGAACAGGCACCCGTGTGAACACGTGCGCCCATCGATGTACGCGGTGTTCATGGCGATCGTCCTGCATTGAATGAGCGTGTTATGATGATGTTGTTGTTTATGGTGATGGTGGTGGTTCTGTGTTGGTGCGTGATGGTGTTGATGACTGCGATGGTGGTGCTGTATTGGCGGTGCTGTGATCGGATTGAAATGATGATCATGCCGATGTGCTGGTGCTATGGTGATGAATTGATCTTGCTGTTGATGGTGTGATGCTGCCGTGTTGAATATGCTATATTGATGGTGCTGCGATAGTACTGTGCTGATTGCGCCGTGTCGATGGTGCTGTGATTGGGTGTTGATGATCGACCGTGGTGCTGCGTTGATGGCGGTGTGCCGTGTAGGGACGTCGCCGGCAAGGAGGTCTACCGCTTGGCGCTCCAGACACGGGAGCAGCACATCCGCCGTGACAAAGCCACGAGCAACATCTGCACCGCACAGGCACGCGTCGCCACCATGACTATAATGATGATGATGTTGACGATAACGATTAGTTGGGTCCTATTTTAGCTGGGTGGATCGGCCAACCGGAACACATATCTGCATAAGGCACACCACAGCCAGGCATGCATCTCGTTGCTACGGCTGTGGCTACTAGTCACGTGCTACTAACTAAATTATATCGGAGACCCAGAAACTTATGCTTGATAATGATGATCATGATGACGGTGATCATGGTGGTGGTGGTGGTGGTGGTGGCGGCGGCGGTGGTCATGATGGCTCCAAATTGTTAACGATGGTGATTATGGTGAGAGTGGTGATGGTGATGATTTATCGTTTGTACGCGTGTTTAAGCGGTGCAAGGCTTTGCCGTGTGTAGCCATGTTGTGGTGTGTTGTCTCTGTGGTGTGTTGTATCTGTGGTGTATTATATAACCCCGGTGTGGTGTGCACACAGGCCCTGCTGGCGAACATGTCTGCGATGTTCGCAGTTTATCACGGTCCCCACGGCTTGAGGCACATCGCTCAGCGCGTGCACAACTCCACACTGCTCCTCGCCGAAGGTACACATGCTCGTGTCTCCCCACGTCTCTCACTCGCCCGTGTCTCCCCCACACGTCTCCCCCACACGTCTCCCCCACACGTCTCCCCACACGTGTCTCCCCTGTGTTGTGTCGCAGTGGTGAATAGTTGAAACTGGCCTGGGCCCTCCCCTAGGTCGACTCGGCCTTAAATACGTACAGTTTGTAAAACAGCACTGAGGGGACAAAGATGGCCAGGCGTCGGTGGCGATGGCCGCCCCATCACCTCCCGTGTGCCGTGCCCCGACATTGTTACATTCTTTACGGGGATCTTCGTCTTGGTGGTGCAGGTGTGCGTCGCGCTGGCCACCGCCTGCACCACGGCTCCTTCTTCGACTCGGTGAAGGTGGACTGCGGCGACGCGGGGCGCGGGGTGGTGCGGCGCGCCCGCGAGCGCGAGATCAACCTTCGCCTGTTCCCCGACGGAACGGTGTGTGGCACCCCATCATCATCAACCATCGTCATCGCCACCGTGGCATTGTCAACCGTCACCGTCGTCGCCATCACCGTCATCAGCATCAACAATACCATCGTAATCATCAACACCACCACCATCATTACCAGCATCGTCATCGTAACATAACCACCATTATTACCATCACGACCGCCATCATCAACATCAAGTCACCTTGACATCCGATTGTTCCCCCCCCCCCCCCTCTCCGGCACTCCCCCCACAGCTCGGGGTGTCGCTGGACGAGACGGTGACGGAGCGTGACCTCGATGACCTCCTGTGGGTGTTCGGCTGCGAGTCGTCCGCGGTAAGAAAATCCCCAAGTTAGAAACTCTGCTTAGCCCACCCACGTTTCTCAACGGTCAGAAAGGAATTGTGATATTATCAGTCGAATAATAATCCGACTTGCGCTGCAAGAAATAAAAAAACAATTCCGTTAGTTGGTTAACGTTTGTGCGATATTATTTTTCTATTAATCACGCAACGACGTGGTTGTATTTGCCCCGATTTCTCTTTGCTTAATCTCTGTAACTTCACGTGCATTTGTTTTGATTTTGACATTCTGGTGACCCAGCTGGCTACTCTTGCAACTGCGACTCACCCTGGTCTGTTGAGGGTCCAACATGTTCCAACAAAATGAACTTGAAATCTTGAAACGCGTTACGTCTTTTTAAAATCTTCTACTTAGACTCGAGGAATCCAGCGAGCTATGAATCTATTTTTTCACACGTGTCCAGTATTTAGCCTGCGCACGTCCCATTGATCCACCCGTTCCTCTACCTGCGTCTCACTCTTTCCCTCACCCTTCGGTTTTTCGTTCTGCCAGGAGTTGCTGGCGGAGGCGGTGGAGGGGGAGCCACGGGGGAGCCTCCTGCAGTCTCCCTTGCGCCGCACGAGTGAATTCCTCACCCACCCAGTCTTCAACAGGTGCGTGCGTACGTGCATGCGTGTATGCGGCCAATGTCAGGCAGTGCTCATTACACTGGAAACTGTGGGGGCAGCCAAACATGTGTAATAAAGGACTCGACCACGAAGTCTGGCTTGGTGTCCTTTATTCGGTTCTTCCTCGCAACCCACACGGCTGTCCTTCTATACACCTTCCGCACTGATACTGATACTGCTGTTTACCCCGTCACGCCAACAGCTCCTCTGTTGGTCTCCCGTTGTTCTCGTAACCTTCCAGCAGCCTCGCCGCTGTTACCCTCACGCAGCCCCCACTGGCTGCACTCGCTGCTGTTTCTCTTCTCGTCGCTCTCGTAGCCTCTCACACACAGCCTCGCCGGCTGTGTTCACCGCAGCTCCTCAACCACCCTCTCTCCAGCAGCCACACTGCTGTCTTCTCTCGCAGCCCCCGCTGGCTGCTCCCTTAGCTGGCCACCGCTGGCCGCCGGTGCCACTCTTCCTGGCTTCGCCCAACGTGGCCTTACTCTTGTCCAGTCTCTCACTCTCTCCCCTCCTCTTCCGGTCTCATCCCTTAAGAACCTTAACCTTGCTCCCACGTCACCTAACTCCACCTCTCCGTGACGTCACATCCGGGAGGTCGCCCGCGCCCGCATTACACATGGATGGGAGTCGTCTCCTGGTGCGAATGTGTGTGTGTGTGTCGGTGTCTTTATGAGTGTGCGTGTGGGGGAGGCTTGTGAAGGATGCTACTGGGCAGTTGGAGGCCGTCGCCCTCCAGCATCAACTGAGGGCAGAACAGCGACGCTCGCAACAACGAGTGGAGCGCCGGGCGGCTAAGATTCAGCAAGTTGGCACAGTAGGCGTTACAGCTGGCGCATCTACTAGTCGTCGGAGTCCGCCAACCCATGGCACCTGGGTCTGTCCCATGATCTCCTGTCAGCGTGCCTGCGACACTTCACGTGGCCTCAAAGTCCACCTGGCCTAGCACCAGAGGCGGGCCCTCAGGGCCAGCAAGGCCTTCTCTGCTGGCCTAGAGATGGTCAGAATCAGAAAATTATATTGTTACAATTTGACATATATTTTCATTTAATGCTATATTTATTTTACAAAGTTTGTTCAGTCTATTAACGTAAGTTCATTGCTACTCTCTCCCTCGGTCGCGCTGCTTCCAGTGCAGCTAATAAATTAGAGCTTTTATCCAACCGGATTATCCACCTGTGCTGTCTCTGCCTCTCCGGGTTAAAAATCTACCCTGAGGCCTTCAGAATTTCGAGTGAATCCCCTCTGCTGTTGAAGCAAATTGGGACGATGTTGTTGTCATTCTTTAAACAATCAAATTTCGAGTTTGCCATGTTGGGCGTATTCTTTGACACGCCTTCAGGCTGGCCTAGCCGCCTACGTTAGCATTTTTCGTGTGGCGTGATCAGAGGGGGGGGCCAGATAGCTAACTGAAGTAAAACTAGCTAGCACGTAACGTCGCATCATCTAAGATTCATTTCAACTTTCTTTCATGACGTTTAGATTTTTAGATGCAGTGCTTTAGATTTTTAGTTGTTTTTCTGTGGGGAAGCCTGCTGAAGCCTGATTGTGTTATTTGTGTTTTACGGCATTTTTTCTTGCTTGGTGGGCGTGAGTAAATGTGACTGGTTGTTGTGAGTTTGTTCTTGTTTCTTTGGCACTGACATTGCTTTGGGCTATGCGATGTCTATTTGTGATGCAGCATCTTGTCATACTGCGTAATAGTGGTACATCCTTGATGATTTCAGTCACCATGTATTGATGTCTTTGCAGTTAGTGTATTGTAACTCTCATAGGTGTTGAGCCTCATGTTAAATCACTTTATTCCACCAGATAAAGGTTAATGTCACTGAATATGGGGTGGTTACGTCGAATGACAATAGCCTAAAACCCTAGTGTCATGGTGAGGTTATTCGAAGGCGGTTTAATTGCGGGAAGATAGCATTGAAGGCCTAGGTGTAAAATACATGGTCCGCCACTGCCTAGCACAGGCGCCATTGTGACGTCACCGCCACTAAGTGGTGAATGCCGTGTATTGGTATTGAGGAGCCTAAGTGTAGTGGTTAGCGCACTGCGCTACGAACCCGGTGACGCAGATCGATTCCCGGCCAACACCAGTGACGTTTATCTGAACCGGTCCTGGGCCTCCCCTAGGTCGGCTCTGCCTTAAATGAGGATCTAGTGCGGTGTGTAGTAAAGTTCGCTACTCGGGAGACAAAGTTAGCCTGGCGTTGTTTTGGCCACCCACGCCCTCGTGTGCTGTGCCGGCCTTCATAGGTCCTCGCCCACAGCACTTGCCCCAACGGTCTGTTGTTAAAGACTATAGGGGGGATCTTTGTATTTGCTTTGTGTGTCCCTGTGTGGTGTACACGCTTGAGGGCACAACATCGGGCGGCGACAATGACGTCGTGTAAACGGTGGCGTCAGCCACGCATGGGGGTGGGGTTCATGTCCTGGTGTGTGTGTCTTTGTTTGTGTGTGTGGGGAGCGGTGGTGTAGCGGTTGGCGCGCTGCGGCTACGAACCTGGCGGACCCGAGTTCGATTCCCGCTCATGGCCAAAATTGGTGACGGTTATCTGAACCGGTCCTGGGCCTCCCCAAGGTCGATTCAGCCTCAAATGAGTACCTGGTGCGGTGTGTAAATGTCGCCACTGGGGAGACAAAGGCGGCCGGGCGTGGTGTTGACCACCCAACCCCTCTCGTGTGCTGTGCCGGCCTTCATAGGTGCTCGCGAACAGCACTTGCCAACAGTCTGTTAAGGCTACACGGGGGACCTTTGTCTTTGTTGCAGTTGGCGCACTGCGCTACGAACCCAGCGCCCCAAGTTCAACTCCCGTTCTGGGCCTCCCCTAGGTCGACTCAACCTAAAATGCGTACCTGGTTCGATGTGTAAAAAAAACATCGGCGCATTGCACTCGGCCTTAACATCAAGGCGGCCGGGAGCGGTATTGGCCATACCCCCCACCCCTTCGTGTGCCATGCCGGCCTTCATAGGTGCTCGCTCGCAGCACTTGCCCCCGCGGTCTGCGTAGTTTACCTGGTGATATTTATCTTTGTTGCCCTTCTCTCCACACCCCCCCACCCCTTCGTGTGCCATGCCGGCCTTCATAGGCGCTCGCTCGCAGCACTTGCCCCCGCGGTCTGCGTAGTTTACCTGGTGATATTTATCTTGGTTGCCCTTCTCTCCACACCCCCCACCCCTTCGTGTGCCATGCCGGCCTTCATAGGCGCTCGCTCGCAGCACTTGCCCCCGTGGTCTGCGTAGTTTACCTGGTGATATTTATCTTGGTTGCCCTTCTCTCCACACCCCCCACCCCTTCGTGTGCCATGCTGGCCTTCATAGGCGCGCGCTCGCAGCACTTGCCCCCGCGGTCTGCGTAGTTTACCTGGTGATATTTATCTTTGTTGCCCTTCTCTCCACAGCCACCACTCGGAGACGAACCTGGTTCGCTATCTGAAGCGGCTCGAGAACAAGGACATCTCCCTCGTGCACAGTATGATCCCCCTGGTGAGTCACCTGATCCCACTGGTGAGGGGCCGTCCATAAATGACGTCATGCACCTGGGGGGGGGGGGTCAGACATTTGTGACGAGGGGGGGGGTGAGAAATGCGCCGTCACATCAAAATGCGCAACTTTAAATAAATACAGACAACGCGTTCTATTTAATTAAATTGACTTTTTAATAAATGTTTTCTCCTACAACATCAGAGTGCAGCACCACATTAAATACGCACTACATTGACAATAGTTTAAAGCGATTTGAAGCATGTTTTATATTTGGGGGGGGGGCAGAGCTTTGTGACGTCATTTGAGGGGGGGGCTGACTTTTTGTGACGAAGGGGGGGGGGGCAAAAATGGTCCAAAATCGCGTGACGTCATTTATGGACGGCCCCTGAGACCCTGATCCCCCCCAATACCCCTGGTGCATATGGATAGACTCATTTATCGATTGGCTTATGTGTTGATCTGTTGATTAGTTGATGTAATAATATGCTGTTTGATTAATTGATGTACGGCCGGGGCTGATTGTTTGACTGACTGATTAGTTGATTGGTTGACGAGTTGGTTGATTAATTGGGCCATTCGATGTCTGTCCCCCCCCCCCTCCCCCCAGGGTTCGTGCACCATGAAGCTCAATAGCTCCACAGAACTCATGGTGAGTTGGGTGGGGGGGTAGGGGTGGGAGGCGTGAAGGGGGGGGTGCTATAGGGGGTCGGGGTATAGGGCGGTAGGGGAAGCATCAGCTCTCATCTCTGCTGCACACGAGCTTACACCACCGTCTGATGGACTACGGAGGGAGGGGCCTTGGGGGGGAGGGGCGGCACCAGGTGAGAGGGGGGCAAGGGGAGGGGCAATGGGGGGGGGGGAGAGTCGGTCCACCGTTCCCTTGCGTGCCTGTGCACGGCAGGGAGAGATTAATGCAAGAGGAGGAGGGGGAGGAGGGAGGGGGGAGAAGAGGGGAGAGGCGGGGGGAGGGAGGGGATTGAGAGATAGGGTGACATACAGGAGAGGGGGAAGAGTGACGCATGGGGAGGGAGGTTGTGATGAATTGAAGATGGGGGGGGGGGGGGGGAAAGAAATGAACGCAGAAGAAAGGGGCAGGGATGGACTGCAGTGTGGAGAAAGGCTGTGTGGCATGCAGGGAATTGAAGGATGGATGCAGGAGAAAATGAGGGATGGATAAAAGTCAGAAGGGGGAGATTCATTCGGGCTGCGGCGTCCATGGAGTCGGTCCCCGCTGCCCCGTTCTCACCACTGCCCCCCACCCTGCCCGTGCCCCCCCCCCCCCCCCCCCCCCCCCGCAGCCCGTGACGTGGAACGCCTTCTCGGGGCTTCACCCGTTCGCCCCGCGGGAGCAGGCGCAGGGCTACACGCAGATGCTGTCCGAGCTGGAGCGCGCGCTGTGCGAGATCACGGGATACGACCGCATCTCGTTCCAGCCCAACAGGTGCTCGCCAATGCAGGGGCGACGCACGTCCCACCCCCCTCCCCCCCCCACAAAGACAAAGATCCCCTGCGTAGCCTTAATAGACCGTTTAGGGCAAGTGCTGTGAGTGAGTAGCACCTAATCTTGAAGGCCAGCACGGTACACTTGGAGGTATGTGGCCAGCACCATGCCTGGACCACATTTTTCTCCCCAGTGGTGATGTTTTTTTACACAACGCACCGAGTCCTCGCTTGACCGGAAGGGAGAAACCCACTCAACCACAAGCTTGTGCGCAAACCTCGAGTTACATACAAAGAACAAAGATCCCCCCGTATAGCCTTAACAGACTGTCACGGCAAGTACTGTTAGCGAGTAGCACCTATTAAGGCCGCCAGTATTGTGCACGAGGGGCTGGCATGGCCAGCACCATACGTGGCTGCCTTTATCTCCCCGGCACTGATGTTTTTAAACAATGCCCCCAGCCTCTGGTAGGCCCCAGGATTGGTTCGGGCATCACTCGCCGCCGATGTGAAGCCGTGGCTTGCTTTGGTTCTTTGGCAAAACCGGAAATTTGGAAGTGCATGCAAAAAGTTGACTATGTTTGTTGCGCTCGTTTCGCTCTGAGATCGCATCTGGCGTCGCCGCGTGGTCACCGCAGCTCGGCGCTCCGCTCTTTTCGTGGTGTCTGACTCGTCGGGCAATGTGAACCGACAGTCGGCAGAGACGTCGATGACTCGGGTGGGCAATGGCCGGCTCCACCGTGATGCCGCTGTGTGTTGCCGTGGTGTCGTCAGTGGAGCGCAGGGAGAGTATGCGGGGCTCGCCGCAATCCGCGCGTACCTCAAGTCCCAAGGACAGGGCCATCGCAACGTGAGTACCCGAGCACCTGCCGTGACCCCAATCCTGACCAACTCTCACCATGGCCCCAACCCCCTCCCTCCCCCCGCACGAGCGGGAGGGGGTGATGGCGGTAGAAGTTATGGAGGAGGAGGGTGATGGGGTGGGGTTGAAAGGGGGTGGAGGTTACAGGGGAGGTGGGGATATGATGATGAATCCCCTACCTACCCATGGGTGATGGTGGCGGCGATGATGGTAGTGGTGGTGGTGATGACGGTGGTGGTAGTTGTGCTCGTGGTGATAGTTGCCATCACAGTTGTGGTGATGATGGTGTGATGACGACAGCGTGGTGTTGATGACGATGGCGGTCTTCGGAGCCATGATGGTGCGTTGGTTACGTTCCAGCAATAGCTGCGGCATCGACTACCGTGGTGGCGGCAAATTCTCGGTGAAATCTGCGTGATTCTCGGCATCACCCCCCAGGTTTGCCTGATCCCCAAGTCGGCTCACGGCACGAACCCGGCAAGCGCCCAGATGTCCGGCATGAAGGTGCAGCCCGTGGACATCGACCGGAGCGGCAACATGGACATGGCTCACCTCAAGGCCATGGTACAGCTCGCTTTGTGGGGCGGGGGGGTGGGGTTGCTAGTCACGGCTGACTTGGTTTTAGCGGGAGGGAGAGCAACAGAGAGAGGAGCGGAGAGCCCAGTGGGGTCTCCCTTTGTAACAGAGCCGCTTGTCTCAATTCCCATGATCACCTGCTAAGTAAGGCCAGGCCCTGTTCGTGTGCAGAGCCAGTGGGCTCGGGCCCTGTTTCTTCACGTGGGCAGAATTGCCTGAAAGCCACCACGTGTTTGGGAGGCTCAAGAGGGGGGCACCACTGTGAGCTGGTAGCCCCCCCTCCTTCATCTGCCAATAGCCACACCCACTCGACCACTAGCCCGCCTCTGGCCGCATCATGAGTTCAGCACGAAGCCCAAAACATTTTTATACCAGCGATAAAATCCCGATTTTTTTTTCCAAGCTTCTGGGACTGTCCTGGCCAAAAATCGGCCAAGTATATAATTTTAAGGGAGCTGTGTTTATACACATTTACCAAAGCCGCCCAGGGATAAACATGGAACAGAGGTGTACATGGCCAGTTGCATCTCAAAACATTGGTTGACTTGGAATTTAAATAGGACCAATTTCCCTGCTCTTTGTAGCTGAGTGTCTCGGCCCCTCCGGCCTGCGTGCCCTGGTGCGTTTGCACCACCTGCACGCTCGATAGCTACGCCCCTGCTAAGTAACATCGTTAAGAAATGACGATGGTGTAATTATCAGTTTACGATCGACTTGCTAGCGGTCTCGACGCCCAGCATCGACAATACAATGCTATCGTAGTCCATCGTGTAATCGGACCCCCTGGGCTGTGGAGTCTAATTTCCCATGTTTGTCCCCGCGTGTGTCCACGCGTGTGTCCCCGCGTGTGTCCCCGCGTGTGTCCCCGCGTGTGTCCTCTGCGTGTGGTCCCCGCGTGTGGTCCCCGCGTGTGGTCCCCGCGTGTGGTCCCCGCGTGGGTTCCCCGCGTGTGTCCCCGCGTGGGTCCCCGCGTGTGTGTGTCCCCGCGTGTGTGTGTCCCCCGCGTGTGTCCCCCGCGTGTGTCCCCGCGTGTGTGTGTCCCCCGCGTGTGTCCCCCGCGTGTGTCCCCGGGCAGGCGGAGAAGCACAAGGATAACCTGGCGGCCATCATGATCACGTATCCGTCGACGTACGGCGTGTTCGAGGAGAACATCCGCGACGTGTGCGACCTGGTGCACACGCACGGCGGGCAGGTCTACCTGGACGGCGCCAACATGAACGCGCAGGTGTGTGCGCGTGTGCGTACGTACGCACAGGTGCAAATATACACCTGCGTGTGTGTGTACGCAATTTCTATCCCGCTTGTTTTTTCTCCGATTTCAATTTTCTTTAGCTCTCCCGATTTCTCCTTGCTAGCTTTTGAAATGTTTTTTCTAATGAGCTTGCTTTTTGTTCCGATTCCTGCTTGGTTGTTTTGATTTTCTATACGGTTATTTTGACTCTCTTCCAGTAGCTCCGATTTATGTTTGCTTCGTTGCTGTTCTTGTTATTTTTTTTCTTGTCATTTGGGTGCCCCCCCCCCTCCCCCCACAGGGTCACATGCTCACTCTTGCAAATGAGACTCCTCTATCCTGGTCTCTTTAATTCTTACCCGGTTGCACAACTTGAAGCATGCACGCAATCGGCACACGCACGTACACGTGTACGTGCATCATCCACGCTTAGCTAAGTGTGTGTACGTTCAAACACAGCAAGAGAGACCGGTTCCCTGTAGAGCATTCTCACTGGCTGTTGGGAGCAAGTATCGAGTATTTGACTGCTTTTAATTTCCACGTGATAGGCCACTTAATTCGGCTGTCATTTGTGACCAAGTCGCTTCTGAAAAAGAGCTAATATAGCTCAGTGGGCCATCCCTGGTAAAATAAAAAAAATTGTTGAGTTTAAAATAAAAATGGGTTTTAGTTTTAAGTGTGTTTGTTCAACTTCTTTTGCACCGTATGTATCCAACCATGCTAATCGGAGGTGCAGGGGAAGGACAACAAACTAAACACAAAAAGTAGTTCTAAACAAATGAGTTTTCACTTTAAAAGGCAATGTGCACGATGGTCGGGGAGAGTTTTTCACTCCACGCCTGTGCAATTACCAATGCAGTCCACTATTTTGCAAAAGCTGCTGTGAGCAAACACCTAATTAAGGCCAGACCAGCGCACGTTCAGGTGGTGTGGCCAGCACCACACCCGGCTTTAATCTCGGGTTTATCTTGTATAACGAGGCAAGATCTTAAGGGACTTGGATCGTGTCTCGTGCACGAAATGCGGGGTGGGGGGTCACCAAAACCCGGCAATCGTGGGTGCCCATTGGAGCCCCACCGCCATCAAGATCGACTCTCGCCCCTAACCTCTCGCCCCTAACCTCTCGCCCCTAACCTCTCGCCCCTAACCTCTCGCCCCTAACCTCTCGCCCCTAACCTCTCGCCCCTAACCTTTCGCTCCCGCCAGGTCGCGCTGTGCCGCCCAGGAGATTACGGCTCGGATGTGTCTCACCTGAACCTGCACAAGACGTTCTGCATCCCCCACGGAGGTGGCGGGCCCGGCATGGGGCCCATCGGAGTGTGAGTGCTGCAGGCCTCGAGAGTAGACACACTGAAAAGGGGGGGGGGGGGGGATGCATGCGAGAGAATACGGGGGGGGGGGGGGGGCTGGGATCAAGACTGAAGATCGAGCGTTATGGGCAGGGTTTGGGGTTAGGGCCATGGTTAGAGTTGGTCAGGATTACGGTCATGGTCAAGTTGGGGATAGAATCTGAGTTAGGGATGGCGTCCAGCTCACAACACTCCTGCAGGGTTGGGGTCTGGGTTAATCCTCGACGTCAGGGTTATTGTCAGGGCAAGCACTAAGAGTCATGGATGGTTGTAAAGTCATAGCTAAAGTCAGGATAACAAGAGTTTAGTTCTTGGTCCGTTCTAGATTTGGGTTAGAGTTCGGATTCGTGCCAGGACTGATGCCTCCCCGGCCCCCCGTATGTGTGCGTGGCTGCAGGAAGCAGCACCTGGTGCCGTTCCTGCCGTCACACCCCGTGGTGCCGCTGCACGGGCCCGGGGACTCCCCCCTGGGCACCATCAGCGCCGCCCCCTGGGGGTCAAGCTCCATCCTCCCCATCTCCTGGGTCTACATCAAGGTGAGGCCGGGGGCCTGGGTACAGAAACGGTTTGCGCAATTCTGGACACGGCGCCACGTTAAGACTCGTCGCAACTCAAAATTCTACACAAGATTTCAGACCGTGAAGCGTCATGAAGTTAAGATAGACCTTTTAAACGCACTTCGCGATGACGTCACGCCGGCCATGTTGCATGGGGGGGGGGGGGGGCTGTCTTCCTGGCAGCTGATTGGTGCAGTAGGGGTGATTGATGTGATCCCTAGCAACCGCTGGCATGCTCGCAGTGTTGCGATCTCGCCTCCAAATTAGTATTTGTTTTCTCGTGCGGCATATCACAGCGTGTCGGATTCATCAAGCATTTACTATACTCTGGGACCTTTGAGTCTCACTGTGTGCATTGTCTTGTGAAACTGCACTGGCAGCGCTCCGTTACATCTGGATCTACGACCTTGAACATTTTTCTGCATGCAGCACACCACACCCACCATCGCTCCTGCTATGGGCCATGCCTCTTAGTCATGTTCCACCTGCTCCAGTTCGCTACGAGTGACTCGACCAAAATATCGAGTAAAAAATGAATTTCCCGCTTACTCGGAGTCTCGTGCACACAAGTCTGTTACAAACGGAATTCCATGAATACATGGATAGGGCAGGGGGGGTGGGGAGAAGTCTGACCCAGAATGTCGTGACCCCTGTGTGCGGCAGATGATGGGGGCGCGGGGGTTACGCCACGCCACCGAGGTTGCGATCGTCAACGCCAACTACATGGCCAAGCGCCTGGAGCAGCACTACCGCATCCTCTTCCGGGGATCGAAGGGTAACCGCACAAACGCGCCACTCTTAAGCGGCACGCACCAGGCTGGCCACACCGCCCCCTAACTAAACAGGACCACCGTCGCCCACCAACCGCATGCCACGTCGCTACCTGCCACACCACACGTCCCACGTGACACCGCGTGCGCAACTCCTGTGCACACCACCTTGCACCACAACCCTTTTTTGTCCTTCCCACCCCGCACCTCCGATTAGCATGGTTGGCGACGTACGGTGCGAACGAAGTTCAACATCCAGTACATACAACCCTGCTCAACACACCCACACCCGGGACTGCTCCACGGACACCTCCCCTACCGCACACTACAACCGCGCATACCACACCACCTTCACAACACCGCCTGCACTGCTCCCCCTCTGCACCACCCCTCGCCTCACACCACCGCATCCTCTCCATCACTCCCCGGTGCTTACGGTTGGACACGTACCCCCCGCCCCCTCGCACCCTCTACCCAAGGCTTCGTCGCTCACGAGTTCATCGTGGACGTGAGGCCGTTCAAGAAGTCTGCCAACATCGAGGCCGTGGACATCGCCAAGCGCCTGCAGGACTACGGTAGGGACGCGCCGCGATCGCACCGCGAACCCTGACCCTCAACCCCTCTCTAATCGGCTTTTCTGATTGGTCAAGTAATCGATTTACTGTCGGTTCGAGTACTTGTGCATCATGTGATCATCTTCTCACGCCCCCCCCCCCCCCCCCCCCCACCACTGTCCTGCTCCCCGCTCACCTCTCCAGGGTTCCACGCCCCGACGATGTCGTGGCCCGTGGCGGGGACGCTGATGATCGAACCGACAGAGTCGGAGGACCGGGCAGAGCTGGACAGATTTTGCGATGCCCTCATCGCGATTCGCAACGAGGTGGCTCTCATCGAGGCCGGGCGCTTGGACCCCGAGATCAACCCCCTCAAGGCAAGGGGGTCACTGGGTGGGGGGCGGTCCCCTCCGTAAGGGCTGAGAGGCACTAGCACAGGGGATATGGGCGGTTCATTGGGACGCTCTCTTTCCGACAGCTCTGTTTCTTCACCTGAGGACGGCTGCTTGTGTTGTGGCCGAAACGTCGTGACAATTTTCTTATATTATGTTTTATTTTTATTATTTTATTATTTCCCTTCTACGTGACTTTACCGAAAGAACCCCTGCAGTCACGAAAGCTCACTGGTGTGTTGGAGAGTAAACCCACTATTTAAAACCCACAACATTATAACATTGTAGATGTTGTGGGTTTACTCTCCAACACGCACCGGTGTGCTGAACGAGTAACTAATTGGCACGTTTTGTTTTACGTGACAAACCTTAATCGTTTGCTGCATCGGGTGGTGGCGGGTTTAATGACACATTTATATTTACACCATCTGGCCCAAAAAAACCTCTTGTGGATGAATGGTCGCGAAAGCCTTACTACAACTACTCCGTGCTTAAACAGATGATGTCAGCGTGCCGGTCTCGCCGTTTTTTTGTCGCCGTGCGGTGCAGATGGCGCCGCACACCCTGGCGTGCGTCTCCGCGACCCACTGGGACCGGCCGTACAGCCGCGAGCAAGCCGCCTTCCCCCTGGTGAGATCCACGGGCGCCCTGGCCGCTGTGTGCCTCCTCCTCCTGTGGGGCAGCAGCAGTGCTTGTGGGCAACTTCCTCCCCCCCCCCCCCCCCGCTCCTGCCCCACACGATCAGACACCACTGCCGGAGGAAGGCATCTCCGACCACCCCCCCCCCCCGAGCCGTCGCTATCTCCCGCGAGTCTATGAGGCACCAATCCACCCGGCGCCTGCAGCGCACGGCTGATCTCGGGCCTCTATCTCTCCGGTGGACGGTCCCCTCTGACACGTTCCTTGCCATGGAACATGCAACATGCCCAGTTTTGATGTAACACTAAATATGGCCCTGAGACTGTGGTGGAAGTTCCATGTTGCTGTAGCTGGGGGGGGGGGGGGCAATCTATCCACAGCACCTGTTGACTAGTGGGGTAATGATGCAGCAATTCCTTGCTTTAATATAAATTATCTTACTCATGATACGTGTAGGAATGTGTTTTGAATGTACGTAATGGGTTCACGTTAACCCATGCCACCACCACTATAGTTCACTACATTAGACGCAATGAAAAAAGGGATATTTTGCTTTTGGATCGCGATACAACATCGTGAGATTTCGTCAAATTGCAATGGAGTGCATCGTTTAATGCCGCCTTGTTAAGTCATTCCATTAGCCTATTATCCGCGCACGAAACCGTTCGTTAATCGGTAGGTTTGCGTGTGGTGGGATAAAAGTGTGGGCACTCCTAAGATGTGGAAGAGTAGGCCAAATACACTCCAGAGCAGTGTTCTTCTTTGCAAGTACCGCGGGCTACGGGCGGCCCCTGGTGACTTTCAGTGCGGCCCCTGACAATACACAAATGTGAAAACACTCCCTGCAGGCAGTGTGGTGGCCCTCGCACTGATGATGTCTTATCGGTGAAGGTGCCCCCCCGCCCCCCATAATCTGTGAAGAACACTGCTCTAGAGCTCACTCTGGTGGAGTCCCCCTATTGCCAGAAGTGGCCTGAGCAAGCAAACCGCAGGGCTGCGACCTTCAACCTTGGCATTGACGCGGGCGCGTGTGTTGTCGCGTGCACGCGAGCAGCCGTTCGTGAGGCCCGACACCAAGCTGTGGCCCGCGGTGGCAAGGATCGACGACCTGTACGGAGACCAGCACCTGGTGTGCACCTGCCCTCCCATGGACGCCTACGAGTCGCCCTCCCCGCAGAGAGCCTCTTCGTGAGCCCCCCCCCCCCCCAACGCACGAGGCCTTTACTCTTGAGGCCGTTGACGCCTCGTCACGGGATCTCGGCACCTGTGGCTGTGTTCGAGAGGCCTTTTCGATGTCTTTGTTGTGAGAGCCTCGACGAGCGAGGCCTCGTCACGAGGTGGACAGGAGGCCTAAGTCGCACGGCTTTTGTGTTGAGGGCCCCCCAGTCCTCTTGAGATGCACGAGGCTTTTGACGTGACGCGTCTTCTTACACGACGCGCATCGAGCCGCAACGTGTCAACGCAAAGTCGACGCGCTAAGCTCGCCGCACCGATACGCAAACATCAAGGGGGGGGGGGGGCGGGAATAGACACGGGAAAACGAAACAAAGATACGACACAAGTGAGACGGGTGCTCCAAGACACAGGGGCAGGGAGACACGAGACACATGGGATGAGACACGGGAGCCCTGGAGCCGGTGTCTCCGACTTGAGACGGTGCGGCAATGTGGGAATATTTTTACTTTCTGTTGAACTAGTTTTTACTGAAGTAACCGTAGTGATTTCCTTGTAGGGGTACAGTCGCTCGACAGCAGTGGAGCAAGAGCACGTGGCGGGCGCTCCGTGCGGTCACGTGTGAGGGAGTGATGATGATGTAATGATGACGTTGTGCGATTGTTAACGCCACCGCGTGGGGCTTTGCAGCTGTGCTGCACAGTGACGCGATTGTGAGGCTGTGGTTGTTACCGCGCGTTGTTTTAGACCTCGTATCTGGCAACGTGGAGCGAAATGCCGGATATTGTGCCCGGAAACGGCACGTGGTAGAACCCGAAAACACATTGAATGAAGCTGTGCGGTGGACCGGTGACGCTTTCCATCTGATGGACACGATGATGTTAATGACGATGTGTGATTGCGATGTGACGAAAATTCGATGTCTGGACGTGTGCGGGTGATGTGTGATGGACCAACCATCACGACATTTGCCGGACAGGCTCGACTGCCCGTGGTGTTGCTTGTCGCAAGGTGGTTGCTTGCTGCGTGTGCGCGTGTGCCTGAGGGGCCGTCCATAAATGACGTCACGCACCTGGGGGGGGGGGGGGTCAGACATTTGTGACGATGTGTGACGAGGGGGGGGGGGGTTTGAGAAATGTGACGTCACATCAAAATGCGCAACTTTAAATAAATATAGAATTGTTATAACACTCCTACAACAACGCCACATTAAATACGCACTACAATGACAATAGTTTAAAGCGATTTCAAGCATGTTTTTTTTTTCAGAAATGGAAATATGGTTTTGGGTGGAGGGGGGAGCAGAGCTTTGTGACGTCATTTGAGGGGGGGGGGTCTAACTTTCTGTGACGAGGGGGGGGGGGTCAAAAATCGTCCAAAATAGCGTGACGTAATTTATGGACGGCCCCTGACTCGCTTTTATCAAGTGCCTGGCGCTGTTTGCCATTGACGAGATGCCTTCCGTGTGAGACCTCGCCAGTTCGTGCCCGTGGGTTTTAGTGCGTTTAACGGGAGAGAACCCTTAGCGCAGGTATATGTTTGGTGACGACGACGACGACGATGATGATGCACTTTGTGGTTATACGTTTTTATCAGCATTCCGAGTGAGCAATAAACAGAGTTGAGGTGTACCGTGGCTTCTGCGCCCGTCTTGTGTTGAAATCGGAAGACGCTGCGAATCGAGTCGAAGGGGTTCTCCGGTGCAGCGAGCGGAATTTGGTGGTCTCGGCACAGTCACCGATTAACTGGAATCGGTTCTGTTAGATTACGAGAAAATCTCCCCATCGTTGCACGTTCGGAATGAAGAGATCGTGAGCTCCAGATGGATGATGGCAACGCATTAATTTGTCGGGTGAGAACGCGTAAATATAAATGTTGTTCAACCTGCCACCACCCGACACAGCCAATTAGTAAGGGTTTTCACGTAAACAACACCTGCCAGTTCGTTACGAGTGTACAGCACACCGGTGTGTTGGAGACTATAAACCCACAACATTTATAATTAATGCATTTTTATGACTGTAACCTGTATAAGATACGTGTATCATCACGCTGAGCAGGGCTGAGTGAGGCCTCCATTAACCATGTGGCTGGTGTACACACACGAGCCTAACTGATGCTATGGGGGGGGGGGGGGGGGTGGTGTCGGATCGTCCGCTTATCCACGCATGTGTAATGTCTCTTTTATAAAGCCACAGTTATGCGTCGAGTTATACAGGTAGAAACAACAGTTCCGCACTGCCCACCAGGGATTATGTGTCTGTCTGTCGTGCATAGCCACGCCCCACCAGAGCCCTCCCATTGACTCGCGGGCGCCGACCAATGAGAGCGGTGGGTTGGGGTTGGTAGAGGTGGGAGGGTTAGTGGTGGGGGGGGGGGGGGCACCGCCGCGACTCGGGCCAATGAGGAGACAGGCAATGGTTCATTCACAAAGTGGAACTGGGGGAGGGTGGCTCCATTCATAAAATGGAAGCCTTGAAAAGAAAAAAGCGGATCTTTTTGCCTCGTGTTTCTTTCAACATTCCCAGCCTTAAGGTGATTCAGTTGGGGGTGGAAGGGGTGGGGTGGGTGGAGAGGAGGGTGGGTGGGGAAGGGCTGGGTGGGGAAGGGCTGGGTGGGGAGGGGCTGGGTGGGGAGGGTGGGGAGGGGCTGGGTGGGGTGGGGCTGGGTGGAGTGGGGCTGGTCACCCCGTGGTGCCCTTATAAAACTTAACGTTTAACCTACACACTACACTACACTTATACAGGTAGGAACAACAGCTTCCACACTACCCACCAGGGATCATGTGTCTGTCTGTCGTGCACGAATGCGCTGTCCAACCAAGTTCCTACCTGCCCACTCCGAAGGAACGTGTTTTTTGTTTACCCCACAGCCAACGCAACTTGCAGCATCGCCACCACGTGGTTTCTACGTGGAAAAGTCCGCTTATCCACGTCGATCCGTGTCATGGTGGTGAGGGCGACCCCTAGCGGAGAGTGAGAACGCGGCGTTCACAGGGGGACCAGGAGTGGTTGGGGTTAGACTCCTGTAGAGAGACGGGGAAAGGGTTCACGCGAAAGGCAGAGATGATTAGTGTTCCGCACTTTGGCCATTTATGAATCGTGAGATTTTTGAATGGAGACTACCCACATTACAAACTAGGGTTCTAACGATTATTTGATTGAAGAGGTGGGGGGGGGGGGTCAACATCGGTGCTTTATTGAAACCCAGAGGAACATCCATGCCACCCATCGATGTGTTTTGTCCATCTCTACACCACCACTAGGGCAGTGGTTCTCAGAATGTGGGCCCCCGGTACCACCAGGTAGACGGATCTCCAGATGATCCAAGGGACTTTGATACAAACGCAGGTCGAGCCGGACAATAACCACAACCTTTTGGTTCGGACATTAATTCGTATTTTACTTTTGATATATAAAATATATATACTAAGGTAACCTACCCTGATAAAACTGCCCTAAGAACTAAATGCCACACCTGCAAACAATCTTATCGCTGCGTAAAAAAGAAGTAAGTTCTGATATGGAAAAATAAGAATGGGTTTTAACCTTTCCAGCAATAATACAGGTGTTAAGATGTTCAAACGCCAAACAAACATGCTCTGATAATATATATGGCAATGTCTTTGAAACGGATTGGTCTACACCAGAGACGGCAGCCTTCTTTAGGGCCTCGTCTCACCAGTGTCAGTCCAGAGAACGCCAAAAGGCGAACAGCACAAGGACAACGCCACTGAGGGCATTTATAGCTCGGGGTGAGCAGCTACAACATGGGACCTTTTTTGGCAGGATCAAAGTATGAAAAATAAATAGGTTTTACCCTACGATACTGACGGCCCAAGTCCGATTCCCGCTCATGGCCAACACCAGTGACGATTATCCACCTCAACCTGGCTCAGACGGACCTGGACCTTGGCAATGGACGTAAGTTTTAGAATATATCAAAAGGATAAAAGTGGGTCTTGTACCCAGGTCACCGGAGTTAAGAGGTTACGGGGGAGGTCATCACTGTGCCAAGCAAGCTTGTTACATTCTGATATTCCGGTTATTAAGTAATGAATTGTCAGTTTGAATGATTGTTTTTTGACGTAAAACAAAATATCGAGCAAAAAACTGCAATGAAAAGGTTAGGCGACTGATTTAAATTGATTTTTAAAAAACATATCGCTGGATTTGAGACCGTGTCCCTGTATCCACAGCCCTGCACAAACCCACTGGGCTACCCTGTCGTTGACATTTGACACATTCATTAAGAACACTCTCGTGGCCTTGACAGGAACAAAAAGTATGTTAACCAGGCAACGCTTTGGGGCACTGGCCCTTATTCTTGGCACGTCTGTGCACCACTGCCAACAACAGCATCACCAAATGAGGTTTTTGACGTGGCAAAGGAGAGCAGAGTTCGAACATTGAAAAAAAAAACAGATTAGCCTGTGTGGAGGCATTGAACAGTTTGATACTTTGAATGATCTCGATGTGCAACAAAACGTCGGAATGAAAACATTGACGTTTTCTGCCACGGTTTGATATTTTTTAACGTGTTTTTTTTAAGCCACAATTTCTCTTCTCGGATCGCGTTGCTGCAGACAGCATTCTATAATCTCAACCCAGACCTGGCAGAACGCTGCTGAGAACAGTCGAACACGGTTGTCCAGTAGAGACACCTCCTCATTCGAGACCCAAACATCGCACCTACTGAGGGCTGTGACGTTCCACTAAAACACTGGTGGTAGGATTCAACGCATTGGCAAATCAACAGGCCGATGTACATCTCCATAACTTTTTGATTTAAAGCTTTCGTGACTACAGGGATTCATTCTTGGTTCTTCTCGTGACTTTACTGAAAGAACCAAGAATATGAATCTCCATAACTCTCAACCCCTTATCAGTGCCTACCTTATTAGACCAATTCAGACCTTATTGGTCACCCCGTGCCCGTTTAAATCTCAAAGTTCATCCTGCAAAATCCCATCACAAGGAAGAAACAAAAGGATTACTAATTTCCCTGAATTCGGGTAACCCGTATGGGTTAACTGGTATGCATCTTATTCGTAAATGGACAAGCTGCAAATGTGGCCATACAACCTAAAATATGCGCCGGAAAGTAAAGCACTGCCATCTGCACTCCCATCAACGGAGGCACAGCAAACTACACGAACGAACTCTTCCAAATGCCTGTGATTAGTGGACTTGAAAAGTAATGAAATACTCGATGTCATCACAGGGATCAACATCAATATTGCTTATGTATCAGTTAACCCGTGCATGAACACAACACAGCATGCAATGCTGCACGAGCTGGATCATGTCGCCTTCACGCAGCTCGTCTGGATAGGGTGGCTAAATGAGCACAGTATGAGTATGGGCTGAATCACTTCTGGTACAGGATGTGGGCCTGATTGGACTTGCTGGAAATTGGTACCAGCAGATCGGCCTGTGTGGAGGCAGTTCATGCAGGATGCTGCCAATAATGCAGATTCAAAGCTAAACGACGGCAAGATGTGCAGGTGGTAAATCTGCAATCCCAAAACACGTGGGGTTGTCTCATGACCTGCCAGCGAACCCTCCAACCTTCAGAGGCCTAAAGCGTTACCTCGCCCAGCAGAAAAGACACTACTTACACTTGCTGGAATTTTTTTTTTACATTTCAGCACGTGGTTTTGGTCACTTTATGGCGAGTGGCAATGTTTGAAGCAGATGTGGGTTTATGTAGAACCATGCCATTTCCGACAGTGGCGTCGTTGAGACACGAAGATTAAGTTGGACAGGGTGGAGGGAGCTGCGCAATAATTATGGAGCTCGTGATCCGTGCAGCAAAGAGGCCGCTACATTCGCAATCATTTTCAAAACCTTCCTCAGGATCATGACACTTAATAAAAATTTGCAATTGGCCTCCCAATGAATAATTCAGTTGTCAATTTCTCAACCCTCCACCAAGTCACTATCAACATGCCACAAACGGACAAATCCATTCATAAATATCTTAACAGCGGTACGACCCAGGTCATGGAAGTAATTTAAATCTGTTGATATACACCCAAACACTGACGCAAGACTGAGACCTGGGTATATGCAGCAGAGAAAATTGGGAGAGAAGATAAAGATGTTCAAAAAGAGAGGTCTAATTAAAACCCAAAGCAAAATAGTTTGGGCTCATTCTCAAAGGGGAAAGCTTGAGAAAGTTCTGCAATGTTGGGAAAGGGGTTGACAAAGATGCCACTTGAGAACTTGGCGGTCCATGGCAGTGACAAACGCTGGAGCACAAAGAATGGAGTCGTATTGAGCCACGGACCCGCCATTTGGCAGCCAATTAAAGAGCGGACCTCATGCAACGCCAGCGTTAAATCAACACACGCCATCCCTTGGGTGGCAAACACCACACGTGCAAATGTCACCAACGTTATCAACATCCATCACATTTTATTAATGAAATGACAACGCGGGGTCACTCCCACATGGAAGGGGACCTCTTTATTGTACAACACGAGTCATGGCACACAGGGGCAGGGCCTGCTTATTAGGGCAACATAGGAGGCGCTCAGCTGATGCTTCTGCCGATGACTTTGGCTCCTCCATGTCACCTCCTACAGCAGGAGAGTGAGGAACCGGCGTTAGCATTGGGTGAAGGCACAATAACATCACAACTTGAGGTGTAAGAATTCTGCAATGGATTTTGCTGCACTGCCCTCTGCAAAAGTCCATAACCCTGTACACACAAATTGACATCTCCACAATTTGCATCTATCATACGAACCCCACACACACATGCACGTACAAAGGTACGTGCACTTTAGTGTTAACAACTGCACCCACCCCCCTTCCCCCATGTGTCGGTATACTCACAAAATCAAACATACATATCCACACGTAGAGAGGTACATACATATGGCTCAATAAAGCACACCCACCACTCCCAAATAACTCCCCACTGTTTTCAGCACATGACCACACACACAGATTACACCACTCTTCACCACACTACCACATGGAATGCTCACCAAAAACACACCCCCCACAAACCACGACAATGCTCACCACACCCAGACACATTTAAACTCTTATCAACTCCAAACCCTAATTGCATTCACACAATACTCAACAGCCCACCACATTCCCACTACTATACTTCACCAGGTGCACTTCATGGCCACGTCAAGTGTCGAAGGCTCGCTGACAGGTCTCGGGACAGACCCAGGTGCCATGGGTTGGCTGAGATGACTGGTAGATGCACCAGCTGTACCCCCGACTGTGCCAACTTGCTTCCAAAGACAAAGATCCCCTGTACAGCCTTAACAGACTGTTGAGGAACGTGCTATTGGCAAGCACTAATAAAGGCCAGAACAGCACACGAGGGGAAGGGTAGCCAGCACCACGCCCAGCCGCCTTTGTCTCCCCAGTGGCAAAGTTTTTACACCAGGTACTCATGCGAGGCCGGGTCAAACGAGGGGAGGCCCAAGACCGGTTGAGATTAATCATCACTGATGTTGGCCATGAGCAGAAATCGAACTCGGGTCGCCAGGTTCATAGCGCAGCGCGCTAACCGCTACACCACACACACACACGCACAATTCCCACGGCACGTACACGCAGTGGCCCCGGCGCTGCTCCTAGCGCAGGCGGCGCGCCTCGCGCTCCGACTCGAGCAGGGTGAGCACATCGCCCTCGCGCACCGGCCCCTTCACGTTCCGGATGATCGAGCGGTTGCTGTCGTCCATGAACTCCACGCGCACCTGCAGGAAGGGGGACATCGTCACGATCATGCGTGTCAAGTCATTTTCCTAACCTAGGTTTATAAAACACACGCTTGCCATTTAGCCTAGCTCACAGGGGACACCAAACGAAATAACCAAAGCCATTTGTCGAATTCGGTAAAAAAAACTCGATATTTCAAGAGCTACAATGCATGCGGCTCCGAAGCCGTAGGTTGAATCCGAAATTTCCCCAGGTTCTTATAACCTTATAACCATGCTCAATTTAACAAACATGTTAAACACAAGGACAGAAGTAAACAAAAAACGAAATCTGCATTTGCGTCATTGTGGAGAAAACAGTGAAGCAATGGCTCCATGTATCTATCCACAAAAATAAGTATTCTCGACAACACATCGGCCCCAACGCGTGTCCCTCTTCTAAGGTATCTCCGTTGCCATTGGGCCGATTGTTGTATCCCCTTCACCGATTCCCCATAATACACACATCCCCTTGCCCAGATGCCCCCTTCCCACCCCTTTACCTGTGTGCACTGGCCTTGGGAGCCGGTCCTGCCGAGCACTTTGGTCACCTGAAACGAGACGCAGAGATTCGTGAACGCGGCCCCCCATCACAACTCCCCGACATCAAACCGGGTCCCTAAACACGGGATTGAATGGGCCCAACACATTCCCGCAGAAGTCAACCCGAGAATAAACCCAAAGATTAACGACCCAACTAGGGACTTGCACACTAAAACCTGCGACCAAACCGCCGACAAAACCAAGGACCAGACCTGGATCGCAATTATAATACACTAACAATTACAGCATTACACTTACACTGCGATTGTAACCGTTAAGGGAGAACACCGTGACCATTTAAATTGAGCCCCGGTCTCCAATGGACTTAAAAAACTCATGCCACTTAAATCGGGACCAACAAATGAAATCCCGACAGTAGGGGAGCTCCCATTGCAGAGGCAGCGTGTGGTGGGGGGCGATATAAGAGTTTCATAGAAGATATCATAGAGATGTGAGCGAGACGGGGAACGGCAATAAGAAAAAAAACATTTGTATTAGAGATAAGATGGGTATTGATTGAAGGGTGAGTGAAGAAACCATAAAAGTAAACGATTTTTTTTTACAAATTAATATGAAATATAGAAAACGTGAAATTAATCGAGAGGAACCTAAAACTTTAGCGATAAACGATAGTACGTTATTTATAACCACGTGCAATGCTTGGAGGGTAACGCGAGACGGGACACGCTACAATCGAAACGTTTGCGCGAGATACGCGGGTAAAGCCGTGCGATTCAGTCGATCCGGGCGTCGAGACCTCGAGTAAACCGTGCGTGACATGAGCGAGCGCCTAAGAAGAGCAGCTAGCGAGAGTTTATCGAGGTGAGTTCGTGTAGAAGACGATGAGAAAGTCAACAGATCGAGAACCGTGGGAGAGATTGCGGTCGGCCTCTGACACCGCCCCGCCTGAAGCCTGCACTAGGCCGCACGCACATGGCCCGCGCCACGCGACGCCTCAACAGCCGCTCGTGTTCTAACAGCGAGAACCCCATCGCGCTCGGGGTGACCCCTGCACGCAAGGGGGTAACCCTCCCCCTCCGCGCAACAGAAGGGGTCCCCCGCGCCGACGCGAGAGGCGATTTAGGAGACTTACCCTGGCGAGCTTGATGGGGGCTGCGCGACTCGCTTCCATGGCGGCTGAGGGAAGAAGGACGGGACCACGTGACCGCGCGCCTTAACTCCTCCCACCAGGTGGGCGGGGCTCTGCATGGCTCCTCCCCTTGTAGGCGTGGCTTGACGTAGCTCGTGTGGGTAGAATTCCTCCCCTTGTGGGCGTGGCTTGACGTAGCTCGTGTGGGTAGAATTCCTCCCCTTGTGGGCGTGGCTTGACGTAGCTCGTGTGGGTAGAATTCCTCTAGATTTGAAGCTTTCGTGACTGCAAGGATTCATATTCTTAGGTTTTTTTCGGTAAAGTCACGTAGGTAAAAACATTTAAATTAATAAAATAAAAATAAAATAAAAATAAAATAAAAATAAAATAAAAATAAAATAAAAATAAAATAAAAATAAAATAAAATAAAAATAAAATAAAAATCACGACGTTTCGGAGGCAACACAAGCTTCCGTCTTCAGGTGGAACCGTCACAGCACGATAGCTGTATCAAGTGATATCAAGTGATACAGCTGTCGTGCTGTGACGGTTCCACCTGAAGACGGAAGCTTGTGTTGCCTCCGAAACGTCGTGATTTTTATTTTATTATTATTTTACTTTTATTAATTTTTTTTTATCTACGTGACTTTACCGAAAAACACTAAGCATATGAATCCTTGCAGTCACGAAACTTCAAATCTAGAATTAATTCCTCTCCTTATAGGCGGGGCTTGACCATTAGTCTTCCCCTTATAGGCGGGGCTTAGCGTGGCCCCGCCTTCTGGGGGGCGGAGTTTGGACATCGTCATTCATCAATTTCTTGGGGTTAACTTCTCACGTTCAGCGATACGCTGAGAATCGTTCGTATGGGAATCGACGTTTAGATTCGCTCAGTAAATAAATCGCCTGCAAATAATTTCACGCGCTATAATGCATAGTAAAACGTAACTCTTTTTTTACATGCGCGATTCCATGCATTCTTTTTGAACGCATGTTACAATTGCATTGTTAGCCACCATCAATATCACCAGCCGCGATTAATCCACTGCTCCATATGGAATGATAGGAGACCACGGTGCATTGATTTCACTCGACCACTAGATGGCGATACAAGACCTTTGTACTGGGACAGTGGACACGGCCCCACGGTACTTTCCCCAGAAAGTTCCATTGGTTCGTGGTTCGATTCCGGCAGGCCGGCCTGGTTAATACTTCAAAGTTCATTTATTAGGTATAGCCCTGTGAGCCATTCGGCTCTTGAATCGGGTGCAACCGCAACAAACAAAAAACTAAAACATGAACAAGAAAACATCTTAAAGTGAGAAGATGAATCTTAAAGTGACTAAGTGCAAACAGAAAATCCAAGAAAAGACAGCAAAATATTGCAGAAAAATCACCGTACACTAACCCTGTGCAAATATCCCAGTGGGATGCAAGTCAAACAACAACAACAACCACAAGACAACTTAGATTAAGGCCATCAGTCTAACTCTGTACTACAACAAACATGGCCAAACCAAAAAACTTTTCGAAAATCACCAAAATAAAGCCATAAGAGAAATGAAACAGTGGTCATAGGAACTGTGACCGAATTTTCACAATAAACGACGTAAACAACATGTACTACCAAACTCTGCAGCCATAGCTGGCTGCATAAGTCACTCCACAACAGTAGGAGTGAAATTACAGATTATGCTCTGCATCAACATCTATAGATTCACACGGATGTTGAACTTCCTTTGCACTCTACATAGCCAACCGTACCATACACTCACAGAGACCCATAGACTCCCACAGAGATTCATCTTCTTGGTTCTTTCGGTAATGTCACGTAGGTAGAAAATAAAAAAATGACGTTTCGGGCGCAACATGCCTTCCCACCTGATGATGGACGCTTGTGTTGCGCCCGAAACGTCGTGATTTATTTTCTTTTATACCTACGTGACTTTACAATAACCATATGCGTGTGCTGTATTTCCATATATAATAGATGCATTTACATGTAGCGACTTGCTAAGCATTTGATCTATTTTTGCACTCCTATCGATCTTTTGTATTGATTGGTTGCTCCTGTTGTAGTATTGCTGATCCGCCCATACTATACGTCTGTCAAAAAGGGGCCGTCCATAAATGACGTCACGCACCTAGGGGGGGGTCAGACATTTGTGACGATGTGTGACGACGGGGAGGGGGGGTGAGAAATGTGACGTCACATCAAAATGCGCAACTTTAAATAAATATAGACAACACGTTCTACTTAATTAGACTTTTTAATGTTTTCTCCTACAACATCACAGTGCAGCGCCACATTAAATACGCACTACAATGACAATAGTTTAAAGCGATTTGAAGCATGTTTTTTGGGGGGGGGGGGCAGAGCTTTGTGACGTCATATTTGAGGGGGCGGGTCTGACTTTTTGTGACGCCGTGTGACTAGGGGGGGGGGAGGTCAAAAATCGTCTAAAATCGCGTGACGTCATTTATGGACGGCCCCAAAGAGCTTCGTGTATGCGACTGATGTCTGCGCTCATCGTGCCTTTACTGGCCCGTATTGACCCGCGTGGTGAAGTATGGTCAAATAACCACCTCCCCGCACGTGACCCACGCGTGCTCGTGTGATTTGTTACGGTTTTTTTGTTTGTTAAAAAAAAATGCGTGCGAATGCGTCTCTCCTCCCCTCTCTATCGGAGAACAACACGCTGTCTGTGTTCCAGCAGAGAGAGAGAGTGTGTAGGGGGAGCGTGAGAGAGAGAGAGTGTGGGGAGAGTGAGCTAAGAGAGTGGAGAGGTAGTGAGGGTGCAGAGAGAGAGAGTGGGGAGAGTGAGCTAAGAGAGTGGAGAGGTAGTGAGGGTGCAGAGAGAGAGAGAGTGTGTGTGGGTAAACAGAGAGCACACAGAGAGAGTGTGTTGGGGGGGGATAAACAGAGAGTACACAGAGAGAGACACCGTGGGGAGAGTGAGCTAAGAGAGTGGATAGGTAGTGACGGTGCAGAGAGAGAGAGAGTGTGTGTGGGTAAACAGAGAGCACACAGAGAGAGTGTGTTGGGGGGGGATAAACAGAGAGCACACAGAGAGAGACACCGTGGGGAGAGTGAGCTAAGAGAGTGGAGAGGTAGTGACGGTGCAGAGAGAGAGAGAGTGTGGGGAGAGTGAGCTAAGAGAGTGGAGAGGTAGCGGAGTGCATGATCAAGATCAACGGCACCCTCACTGCCCCCGTCAAATTCGACCGAGGAGTGAGACAGGGATGCCCATTGTCGGGCCAACTTTATGCACTGGCATTAGAGCCTTTCCTGAATCTCATAAGGCGGAGACTCAGCGGCCTGGTGCTCAGGGAACCAAATGTCAGTTTGGTCCTGACGGCATACGCCGATGACATCCTCCTCATCCTTCGTTCCCTGGATGATGTCGCCCTGCTGCACGAGTGTCAGGAGGTCTTTTCGAAGGCCTCCTCATCCAAAATGAACTGGCAAAAGTGCAGCGGCCTGCTGGTTGGAGCGTGGGACATGACCGAGTGTCCGGAGAAGGCAAAAACCATCAATTGGAGCACAACATCGCTGCACCACTTGGGGGTGTTCCTGGGACCAGAGGAGGAACCACCGCAAAGGAACTGGGTCGAGCTGGAGGAGAAGGTGAAGGAGCGGCTGGGCACCTGGAGTCGCCTGTGCAAGTTCCTCACCTTCAGGACAAAGACGTTGGTGGTGAACCAGCTGGTGACGTCCATGCTGTGGCACCGACTCTTCTCCCTGCACCCCCCCATGAGCCTCGTTAACGCGCTTCAGAAGCGAGTCCTCGACTTCTTCTGGTCGGGCAGAGGACACCGGGTCGCGGCTGGGGTCCTGGCCCTGCCACTGGACGAGGGCGGTCACGGGCTGGTGTGCGTGCGGAGTCAGCTGGCCACCTTCCGACTGCAGGCCGCACAAAAGTTCCTGCACGCCACCACCCCTGCACCAGCCTGGAGCGTCACGGCCTCCTTCCTACTTAAACAGCTGGGGGGTCTGCAGTGCTCCAAACAACTATTCTATATGGACCTGCAGGGCCTCCCACTGGGACAGCTGCCACCTTTCTACAGGAGCGTCCTGCAGACGTGGAGCTCCCTCGCCGTCAGGAGGCTGAACCAGCCGCAATCGGCCGAGGATCTGGTCTTCGAACCGATCCTCAGGAACCCGCAGACAAAGCTGCCGTCCACCACCGCCACCCCCGGCATGGAGAGGCGCCTCACCAACGCGCGGCTCACCAGGATGGGAGATCTGGTGGAGCCTGGAACACGGGGCCGGTGGCTCGGACCAGCAGACATGGCCGCAAAGACAGGGCTGCAATCGCTCCGGGTGGCTGCCCGGATCCTGGCCGAAGCCAAGGGGGCCTTCTCAGCAGCAGCGGGGAGAACGCCCCCCATCGGCGTTGGGGATCACGAAGCCCCTCTCGGTCCCCCTCCACCGGAGCTCTCCGTCGTGCCACTGCGTCGCCAATGCCGACAAGCGAAGGCGGATCACAACCTGTGCCGGCTGGAGGACCTACCAGAGGTGGCCTTCGCAAATGTCAAGAGGAAGGTGCTCTACTCCTACATGGTCCGGTTTCACCAACAGGACACCCTGAGGAGCCATAAGGACCATGCCTGGAGGAAAGCCCTGCCCTGCATCTCTCCGGAGAGGCCTCGCTGGAGGCAACTCTACTCCAGCCCGACGTACAACCGCATCGGCGACCTCAGCTGGAGCATCGCCCACGGCACCGTCACCACCAACGCCTCCCTGGCGCGCTTCACCGACACGCCCCCGGAGTGCCGGTTCTGCGGAAAAGTGGAGACGGTGGCGCACCAATACGTGGAGTGCAAGAGCCTGGACTCGCTGTTCAAGGTCCTGAGAAACATCCTCCTAAAGTTCAGCCTCCACTTCTCCCCGACGGTCCTCATTTTTGGATACCGAAAGGGCGACGGACCCCAACATCTCCAGGGGCTGGTCAACGTGCTCGTCGGCTACGCCAAGCTCGCCATATACAGGGCGAGGAAGGTGGCCCTGGAGGGGAAACGTCCGGCCAGCAGCCTGGGCATCTTCCGCGCTCTGGTCGGAGCCAGGGTGTGGCTGGAGTTCCGCCATGCGCGGCTGACCCACGCCGTGCCGGCCTTCAAGGAGCAGTGGGCGATGGAGGAGGCCGTGTGCTCCGTGGCAGATGACGGGGAGCTCTGCATGCTGTTATGAGCTACCCGTCGGAGGCCGTCGGACTGCGAGGGGGGCGGCGTACATAACGAGAGAGTGAGCGCGAGAAAAGGAGCGAGAGAATGAGCGAGAGAGAGAGCGAGCGAGCGAGCGAGCGAGAGAGTGAGCGAGAGAGCAAGCGAGCGAGCGAGCGAGTGAGCGAGAGAGCGAGCGAGCGAGGGCAACATAAAGCCCCGTTAAAAAAATAAATAAATAAAAATAAAAAAATAAAAAAATTACGAAATGATGAACGAAACAAAGTGCCGAATACACCGAGCATCTTCTTGTTTCCACTGATCGTAAAAAAAAAAAAGAGGGTGCAGAGAGAGAGAGAGAGGGGAGCGTGAGAAAGAGAGAGACCGTGGGAAGAATGAGCTAAAAGAGTGGAGAGATAGTGAGGGTGCAGAGAGAGAGAGTGTGTGTGTGTGGGTAAACAGAGAGCACACAGAGAGAGAGTGTGGGGGAGGGGGTAAACAGAGAGCACACAGAGAGAGTGTGTTGGGGGGGGGGTAAACAGAGCATACAGAGAGAGAGACAAGGGAGAGAGACAGGGAAGTGGGGTAAGAGACTCGTGGAGAATTAGGAATGTGAAGGTATGCAGAATGTATTGGAGAGTCGGGAGATTTGAGCTACCGTCGGAGGCCGTAGGACTGCGAGAAGGGCTGGGTGCAGATGCAGCACTTGTCGTAGTTTAACAAAAAATACATAGAAAACAGGGGGAGCATAGACATAGAGGAGGGAGAGAGGGGGTAGAGAGAGAGGGTACAGAGAGAGAGAAGGGGTAAGAAGGAGGAGAGCAGAGCGTGACATCTTTTGTGAAATATGTCATTTAAAAGAGGGGGGCACATAAAGAAAAGCATAACAAAGCGAAATGATGAACGAAGCAAAGTGCCGACTACACCGAGCATCTTCTTGTTTCCTCTGATCGTAAAAAAAGAGAGAGAGAGAGCGGGGGTGGGAGAGAGACGAGAGAGAGGGTCAGCAGCAGCAGAGTGAGTGACAAGGAAGAGAGGAGAGAGAGTGTGGGCAAGGAAGTGTGGCGCGTGTGTCGAGACCTCGTGGAGAGTGCGGACTGTAGAGAGAGGAGAGTACATCGGGAGGAGAGCGTAGCGAGAGGCAAGAGCTTGCAGAACGTATGGTTTGATAGGGGGAGAGGCGGGTTGCGGTAAGGGAGTGTGTGACGAGAGAGGGCAGTGAACGAGGGTGGAGTAAAGAGAGAGGGGGGTGGAGCGTACGGAGCGTACGGAGCGCAGAGCAGAGCGGGGATCGTGGCGAGAGAGTGGAGAGTGCGGTGTGGAGGGGAGATGGAGCCTGGAGGAAGAGAGAGTGGAGGGCGAACGTAGCCCGAGCAGGAGAGAGCAGAGAGGGGATGCGGAGAGAGAGAGGAGAGAGCGCAGAGGATAGGATAGAGAGGGTGTCGAGTGAGGGCGTGGAAGTGTGAACAGAGAGAGGAGAGTGTTGTGGAGAGTGTAGAGAGTAGGTAGAGACGGGGGGGGGGTGGCGGCAAGGGCGTGGAGAGAGGGGAGTGCGGGGAGAGTGTGCGCAGAGAGAGAGACTGGTCTATAGAGGGAGTGGATAGTCGACTGCAGAGTGTGTGCACAGAGTCTGGTCTATAGAGGGAGTGGATAGTCGACTGCAGAGTGTGTGCACAGAGTCTGGTCTATAGAGGGAGTGGGATAGTCGACTGCAGAGTGTGTGCAGAGAGTCTGGTCTATAGAGGGAGTGTGTGTGTGTACGAGGGGAGGGAGGAGGAGAGAGAGGAGGAGGGGAGCAGTCGGAGTTGGCCGCGCCCGCTCGCAGGGCTCCGCTCGCAATGGCAGCCGCAGCAGGGGAGCTGCGCGCATTCGCCATCAGACTCAACAGGTGAGGAGGGTTCGACACCTGTACAGGGGGGCCCCGCGTCTCCTTCCATTCTCATCTTTCTCCACTCTCCTCTCCCTCCACTCTACTCTCCCTCCACTCTACTCTCCCTCCACTCTACTCTCTCTCCACTCCCTACACTCTACCTCCTCTCCCTCCACTCCCCTCTCCCTCCACTCTCCTCTACCTCAACTTTCCACTCTCTTTCTCTCCCTCCACTCTACCTCCACTCCCTCCACTCTCCTCTCCCTCCTCTCCCTCCACTCTCCACTCCCTCCACTCTCCTCTACCTCAACTCTCCACTCCCTCCACTCTCTCCACTCCCTCCACTCTATTCTCCCTCCACTCTATTCTCCCTCCACTCTATTCTCCCTCCACTCTATTCTCCCTCCACTCTATTCTCCCTCCACTCTATTCTCCCTCCACTCTATTCTCCCTCCACTCTATTCTCCCTCCACTCTATTCTCTCTCCCCTCCACTCCACTCTCCACTCCCATCTCCTCTATCTCCACTCTTTTCACTCCCCTCTGTACTCTCCTCTCCTCACTGTCCATCCACTCTGCTCTCCCTTCACTTTATCCACTCTCCCTGAATCTCCCCTAACTCTCCCAACTCTCACGACCAGATCTAGGTACGGCCTTTGTACTTATGATTGTCCAGAGGGTGCTGTGTGCATCTAGCCTGGCACAAGCGCTGTACGGATGCTCTTGTCACATGCGGATGCTGATTCATTCCACTGCTTCTGCTGAAGGAAAGGAAGTTGATGTTGATGATGTAGTTACGACTGCTCCTGTTAGATTCATATGATCCTGCTGCTGATGATGATGATGCTCCTGATGATTTTTATGATGATGGCACTGGGAGTTTCCTTCTACGATTGATGATGGTACTGCTACTTCTGCCACTGTTTGTGAGAATAATTATTCTGCTGTTGCTTCTGATTACTATTATACAATTATTACTGCTGCTGATTTTTATACTGCGGCTGCTGCTGATGATACTGAAAATTATTATTCTGCTGTTGATTACTGTTAAACAAATACTATTGCTACTGATGACTTAATTCTGCAACAAACACTGCTGCTGCTGATAATTTAACTGCTGCCGATGGCAATGATAATTAAATTATCCTGAAGATTCCATTACTGCTGCTACTGTTGCTGATGATGAGAAATAAAATAGTGCTGATGACTCTACAACTGCTACTGCTGCTGATGTCATGGTCAGTTTGCAGTTTCCCTCTGGACTGTAAACCCATCTCGGGTGTTGTCACAATGGCCATGTGCTACCCAACGCCGCTCCGTGGTTGTCAAAGTTCTCGATTAAGTGCCCACAAAGTCCGGGCCACCTCCATGCCGCACTGTCGATTAAGCAACGGTTGGATACGTACGGTGCGAAAGAAGTTCAACATCTTATATTTTATCCAAGGCGCTTTACAAGGGTTATGAGTGGTACAATTAGGGTAGCTAATAGGGTATGGGGAGTGAGGTTCGTGGGTAGGGGAATTACCAGGGTACCTAGGGATGGCCATTATGAACCCACGCTGGCATTTCCAACGTCTGCAACGATTGAGGGTGGTGGAGTGGTGGTTATTTGGGGTTGGTGGCTCACCCAGAGATGAAAGACCCAGGTTACTTGACATAAACAAAAGTATACTTCCTGTAGAGAGACACATGGGAAGGAGATGTTATACCTGCTGTGTTATGTTATTTATATTCTCCACAACGAAGGCACAATGATTATATTGTGCTATTTATTGTAGAATTTTGTGTCAAAATTTAAGCAGAGAGGGCCCTTGCCAACAAACAACTGACAGTTCACCCAAACATTGGTTCAGGCAAAGCCTGACTGCCGATGAGACCGTGGCTGTCGAAACGGGTCCACATTTTAGCTTGCGTTGAACCACTGATGGTCATGCGATGCCCTCTCAGCAGGTAGCGCAGCTGATGAGATGAGTAAAAAAATTAACCCGTAAAAACAAAGTTTTTCACTATAAATCCTTTATATGCGTGTTCAATGGGCCACAACCCAGCCCACATTGGTCTTTGAAACGGGCGGCTAGAGTCCTCTCGTCTTCTGGCTTGAGATGGCTGCCACCTATGGATCAGATGATTGTCTGCCACCATTAAGCAATTGGTAATTAAATATAAAAAAAATGTACCTAAAAAGTGGAAAATTTTGGAAACATTTTTCACGAAAATAAATTGTCAAGCACAACGAGTCTGTGTGCAAAATGTCAGCTCGATTGGATCACGGGAAGTGGGTTAAAAAACGACGAAAGATTTGCACGGTCGTAAGCGCGCAAGCAAGCAAGCAAGTGAACTTAATATAAAGGTTTTAATAAAAAGAATCCTCTTTATGTGGAGCGACACGTATGGGACGGAGGCGTATCGTCTGCGTCTCGTGTTTTGTGACTGCGACACAATCGACCTCGCCGTTCCTTTTTGGCCGTAGATATATTTTGGTCCGATGGTGTTGGTTGATCGTCGCTCAATAAATTTTTAGAAAATATGAATGTACTTTTTCATTTCCTGACAAAATGTCAAGGACGTAACGAATGCAATGCTTCAAGCGATAAAACGACAGCGATCGTCCGTGAACTTTCACGCTTTGCTACACCAACAAAAGCATTTCAATTGTATCGATTTATTGCCGGTTACGTGTGACGTCGTCACTTCCGCAATTGATCGGCATCGTTAATAATTAATTGCGTGTCTGACAGCGTGAGCGTGAAAAGAGTGTGACCAGCAGCTTCGTCTGTGTTATACGCGTGACACATTGTGTGACGAGCAGCTTCGTGTGTGTTATACGCTTGACAGATTGCGTGACTGACAGTAGGCTGTTGCGTTATGAGCGTTGCAGATGAAACTTGGAATGATTCGAACAGCATAGCAAAGCTTCAACTCTCTCTGGAAGTACAGCGGAGCAATGGATACAATCCAACGGCACTGCGAAATACATTCACGATGCGATGGGGCCAACTTGAATATCGTATCGTCAAATATTGTGTCGTTTAACCCGAGGGGGTGATGGTTGGTGCATGGACACCAACCATCATCCCCTCCCCCAACAGCACACAATAGAATAGTCCATCATAAATAAACCATCACTTTTGTAATTGATTGTCCATTGGCCGTACAGTCATGGTTCCTGACTAGTTTCCTGTGTGTGTGTGTTGAGTGGTATAGGCTATATGTGTGGTATGTGGAGCGGCTGGGCGTGGTGCTGGCCACCCACCCACTCGTGTGCCGTGCCGGCCTTGATAGGTGCTCGCTAACAGCACTTGCCCCAGCAGTCTGTTCAGGCTACACGGGGGGTCTTTGTCTTTGTAGCGGCTAGCACGCTTCGTTACAAACCTGGCGACCCGAGTTCGATTCCCGCTCACGACCAACACCATTGACGATTATCTGAACCGATCCTGGGCCTCCCCCCTAGGTCGACTCGGCCTCAAATGAGTGCCTGGTGTGGTGTGTAAACATCTTCACTGGGGAGACAAAGGCGGTCGGGCGTGGTGTTGGCCATCCACCCCCTCGTGTGCCGTGCCGGCCTTCATAGGTGCTCGCTAACAACACTTGCCCCGACAGTCTGTTAGAGGCTATACGGGCGATCTTTGTCTTTGTTTGTTAGCTTTGGCAGGAAAGGTGAGAAGCCGGAGGCAGCTCGCACGGCAGAGAGTGGACAACGATGCAGAGTCCACGCAGGAAGGTCGCACGAGTCGGGAATTGAGTCGCACGGGTCATCACTGTGCCAACAGACACACTTTCTAGGACAAACGCATGTTGAGCAACGTCAGCGAATCCATGTTTTATGCATGCTTCTTCTTGCATGTATCAACAGCGTCGTCCGCTGTATCGTTGTGGCAGAGCGAGCGTGCAGCTAGCCTGGCACCGCCGTCACCACTCGTAGCGAGCAACGTGTGGGGCACCTTGATGCTGACTCGAGTGCAAGCGATGCTGTTGATCCACATCATTTTACAAACTTCCAGACATCACTGCCGTAGTGTGTGTTTACTTTCGTGTGTGTGTGTGGAGCGGTGGCGCAGTGGTTATTAGCACACCGCGTGAATAACCCGGTGACCCGAATTTGAAGCCAAAAAATGGCGCAAATGGTAACTTTGAGCCGTGTATTAAATAGTTTTGCATCGAACTCAGACGCATATCCAACAGAGAGGGGTCCTTGCCGATAAACATCTGGCAGCAGACCCACGCAGCATTGCATCATGCTGATAAGACACTGCATGTCAAAACCGGTGCAGAGTTCGTTTGCTTCTATTGAACCAATTTTCGCTGAAAGTGAGCACTTCTTTAAAAAGCCCTGTGTGTAGCCGATGTTGTTAAACAAAAAATACTGATAAGTCAGCCCTTTATCAAGACTTATTGCTCGACGCCCTGACCCGATCACTTCCCGACTGCTTTGTCTCGCCGGTTAAAAACGCTTCACTCTGAACGTTCACACCGATAACGCGATTACGACGTTCCATAATTGCTGGGGTGGCGTGCTGGATGAGGCGGGGCGGTGGGGGTCCCGTAGCTGGCGTGGGTGGGTGGCAGGGAGGGTTTGAATTTCTCTCATTAAATCCATCTTTCACTGGCAATGATTGTTCTTTCTAATTAAGTTTCCTGGGCGATTAGAAGTGCTTGCCGTTCGCTCAGCCGAGGGAATTGTGCTTAATTTGACTCGGCACCGGTTCCCAGCGTTGGCCGGCGTTGTGCGTTCGGCGCGCCGCGTGTGGATTGCATCAACGTAATCGCCCCAAGACCCACCCCCGGGGCGACCGCACGCTGACCAACACGATGAGCTGGCAGGACCGGCGGACACTACACGTGTTCCCCCACCCCCACCCACTCACCGCCACCAGCTCACACAGCTGGCTGAGTGGTTGTCTAATTGGCTTATTGGCTGAGTGACTATGTAATTGGTTGACTGGCTGAGTGACTGTCTTATGGCTGCGTGACTGTGCGATTTGCTGACTGGCTTATTGGCTGAGTAACTATCTTATGCCTGGGTGATTGGCCGGTTAAATTATTGTGTTATGAATAAAGACAATTTCCCAAAATGTCTCCTTGTTCTCTTCTTCCAGCCGTTTGTCCCACTCATGTGGAGTCCGCTGTTCTTGCCAACCTTCTCCACGCTGCCCTGTCCCTGCGCCATCTCTCTTTCCGCTCCTCGGGCCACCGTGTCCCATCGCACCACATCGCCCCTACCTCTTCTGCCTTTCTCTTGTTCTCTTTCTTTCCACTGGCATCAACTTGAACCTCCACATGACCGAACCACGCCAGCCTTTTCTCTCTCATCTTCTCTGTGATGTCTACCACCTTGAGTCTTCCTCTCACTTCATAATTTCTCACCCAACATCCACCGCAACATCCTCATCTCTGCGACTGCTATAGCTTGGTCCTCCCTCTTTCTTGTGCCCCAGCACTTGGCCCCATACAACAGCACCGGCCTCACCATCGTCTTGTACTATACACTACACTATACACTACTATACACTACACTATACACTACACACTTTTCCCTTCAAACTGGGGACCCTCTTATCACACACCACAACAGTCATCATTTCGCCATTTCACCAAATAACCTGTTGATGCCTGAGTAAGTGACCAATTGTCTGAGCTACTAGCTGAGTGAATGGCTGAATACACGAATTCCAAGAGTGACGATACCCAACTTGACAAGGTAAAGCTACTGACTTGCTTGAGTGACCAGCTGCCCGAGTGACCTCCCGACCATCCAATAGACTGACCGACCGACCTGACCGGCTGAGACCATGAAGCAATTGCTAGGCAGCAGCTCTCGCTCCCTGCGTCTCATCTCTCTGACCTGCTTGTCCATGTAGCCACACACACCCCCCCCACCCACCACCGTGCGTTCATTGCGTTCCGTCTTGCAGGGCTGGCGCTGCGGAGCTGAGGAAGCAGGCGTCTTCCTCCAGCCTGCGCTACAGCGGGAGCCTCTCCCAGGCCTTCACCACGCCCCTCCATCCTGCGGTGAGTGTGGGCAAGGGCCCCGGGCCTCTCGCGAACGCGGGTGGTGGAGCAGCGGTGCGTGTTGTTTGTTGTTGTAGTGTAGCGGTTGGCGCGCTGTGCTATGAACCTGGCAGAGACCCGAGTTCGATTCCCATTCACGTACACCGACACCAGTGGGTGCGGTGTGTAAACATCGCCACTCGGCACTCGGGAGACAAACGTGGCCGGGTATAGTGCTGGCCACCCGCCCCCTCGTGTGCGGTGCCTGCCTTCATCGGTGCTCGCTAACAGCACTTATCCCAACAGCCTATTGAGGCTATGGTGGGGGGGGGGGGATCTTTGTGTGTGCGGAAGGTGAGTTTGGTTGCACGGGGTGAGTATCTGGCTGAGGGAGTCTGCCAGGTGAGTGTGGGTGCTTGCTGTGTGCGGAGGAGTTCCCGCAGTGTGGTTCTGGCTGTGACGCCGGTGGTATGCGTGGAATCCTCGCTCATCAAGGTGAAACGCTGCGGTACAAATCCATCACCACCCTCGGCGCCTATTCATCGGCAACCACCACCGTGGACCCATATCACAGGGGCATTATGTCTCGCTGAATAGTAGACACGGCCGTAGTGAAGATGTACAGTATGGTAGATGTGGTGTGCCAGGTGCAGAAATAATTTCCCGGGTGCTGACCCAACCTGGCCAGACCCAGCTGAGATTCATCCCTGGCCTGACCTGGAGACTTGCAGACTAACATGGAGACCCGTAAACTAACAAAGACCCATATACCAACAAATACCCAAATACTAAAACAGAAACCTATATATGCACATAGGACGGATAGACCCGCATGGGATGCACTGAATATTGTCTGGGACTGGAGAAGATGGCACGTGTCTAAGTCGTAGCCACAGCCATAGCGATACCAGGTATCCAGGATGCGGTGATGCCGGGTGCGGCAATACTTTCCGGGACGCTGACCCCCCTGTCCGACCCCTGGCTGGAATTAAGCGCCTTACTTCACCGCACACTCTGTGTGCGTGGAATGGGGAGGAGAGTCGTTCATTTGTTTCTCAGTGCGCTTGTCCTGGCGAAGGTCTCGGCTGGCAGCATGCTGAGTAAGGGCGGTCCACACCTCCCTTTCCCTGGCGACCGACTCAAGCTCTTCCTGGGGCATTCCCAGGTGTTCCCAGGCCAGCTGAGCGACATCGTCCCGCCAGGGTGTCCTGGGCTGCCCAGTGAGGAGAGTCATGGGAACAAAATGAGGGGGGGGGGGGTTGGAGCTGTGGGAAAAAACATAACCCAAATGTAGATTTTTATTTCAAAATGAAAGCCATGCTAACGTCTCTGCAACACGTTTACAATCCACGCGTGATAGTTTGTATTGTAATCGCCTGCCCACAGATGGCCACACAATTAACTTAATACATTCAAGCCCCGGCTAGTCTTCGCAGCGGCGGCTTTTGACTAACCGTTGAATAAAGACGGTCACTACATCGCACGCTTTCAGATGCACTTCAGCGGCCGTCTGGAACGCTCTTCTATCTATTCGGAAGTCACTGGAGCGATGCACTTTTGAATCTAAATTGAAAACTCATTTATTTAGAACTGCTCTTTGTGTTTAGTTTGTGGTCCTTCCCCCGCACCTCCGATGAGAACGGCTGCCTAGTACGGTGCGAAAGAAGTGCACCGTACATACATAGCCGGACCTAGCCTAGCCGAGTTTCCCATTTAGCCACAGCAGGTCGACTAAAGATTAAATAATTCCATAAATCCACGCAGCATCCAACGGGATCTCCCCCATGCCTCTTGAGCAAGTGGAAGCACCCCCCCCCACCCCCACTTCAGCAGTTCACCTGCCACATTGAGTGAATGCTGCAGGTAAACTTCCGACCGTACGAGCAAGGACCCCCTTCTCTTTAAGATCACCAGTCACAGTTCGACTCACTCCGTTTACTTGTTCTCCCTGCTGTTCACACAAACCCGCGACTCATCAGACAACAAAGGCGCTTGTGGGTGAACGAGTTTTTAACATTGCCCCTTTAGTCGACCCCAGTGCTTGTAGACCCCCTTCCTCATCACGTAGCTTCCCTGCATCGTGCGCCCAACACATGCCGGACTGAGCGAGTCCTCGGAATTTTAGGAATTCCTTGCCCAAGTGTAACGCAACAAGAGCATCGCCCAAACCAACTTGTACGAGCTAAATTTGTTACGAAGGTTTCCAACAAAGCTTCGTAAAACCGGTCTGTAGAAAAATCAAAATGAAATAGTTGCGTTTTATACGTAGGCTTTCACGGCCCATATTGTGATTCATAATTGGTTTTTAATTGGGCCGGATCGTCGTGTATCATGTCGACTTTTAGTGATATAACCCTTCACCACCCAGCAAGAGGTTGCGATGGCTTGGAGAGGCCTTCATCCAACAGTGTATTGATCATGTTCCGATGAAAATTATGATTTCGTGTCCCGGACTCATATTAAATAAGCCGTGTGGGCAGGTGTACGGAAAGCTCGGGCAGAAGGGGCCGTCCGTAGTGGTTGGAGCCCACCAAGTTTGATTACCGGCCAAGGCAAACATCAGCGGTGAACGATATCTGAACCAAACTCGAGTCCTCACACCCACTTTGCCACGAGCCCACATTGACCAGCGTGATGAAGTATGGTCAAACCAATCCCCACGGGTGACGCCGGCATTGGGAGGCCTTCATCCAGCAGTGGATTGACGCGAGTCTCGGGACCCTTGAAGAGATTAAACCTTGAAGAGATTAAACCTTGAGGCTCGGTACATCTTTCCTAGATACATTTCTACCCTTATATGTATGTTCAACTTATTTAGCATGTTCTTGGTTCTTTCGGTAAAGTCACGTAGAAGGGAAATAATAAAAATAAAACAATAAAATTCTCACGAAGTTTCGATTGCAACACAAGCAATCATCATCACGTGTGAAAATCACACAATTTTCCTTGCTGTGGTTTTCACACCTGATGATGATTGCTTGTGTTGCAATCGAAACGTCGTGAGAATTTTATTGTTTTATTTTTATTATTTAATCATTTCCCTTCAACGTGACTTTACCGAAAGAACCAAGAATTTGAATCCCTGCAGTCACGAAAGCTTTAAATCGAAATTTATTTCGCATGGTACATCGCCAACTGTGCTCATTGGAAAGTCTCACCAAGTCTCAAGACTCTTATTCATGAGGGTCCTGTGACGTTTTTTGCGGGAGGGAGTGATGTTTCTGATGAGTGTAATCCCAATTGAGTAGTTTGCAGATAATTTTTCAGCATTGGGATGTTTGGCCCAATACCGGTTACATTATGTGTTCGTTTTTAACTAAGGTCAGAGGAAACCCATGCAAAACAGATGAAGAACAGACACACTCCAATTATTCTCACACACTCACACATACTCTCACACACACCTTATACTGTCAGATTCACTGTAACTCTGCAGAACAGGGGGAGAACTCACAAACTCCACACAGCAAGCCGCCCGAGTCAGGAATCGAACCCACTACGACCGGCTTGCTCTCGAGGCATAAATGGTAGTACCACTACACCACCCTGCAGCCTACGAAACAGGTTTTAAACAAGCGAACACTGTGGGAAGAAACTTCATCCAGCAGTCAACAAAGGGATGTGCATTTTTCACCAACGTGTATTTTATTATTATTTTGACGAGCAGCTGCACAGTTGGCTGGCCACAGGATCTGGCATACAAGGGCCCCTACTTCCTTCAAGGAACTGGAATCGCCCTTGCACATAACGCGCCGCTGCTGCTGCTACTGACGCTCCTTGCCCTGCAGTCAAGATACCGGGAGGGAACATTAGGGCAACCACAAGCCACCCACCCCCCTCCCCACCACTTGCAGCCGGAAGCATGTTACCCGCTGCGCCAGCAGGCGAGCAAGAGAAGCAGGATGCAAAATTTTAAAAAAGCTGTTGGTGTAAATCTGTATTTTGTGTAAGGCGCTTCGAGATGCCCGTATTGTTGACAAGTGCGATATGTTACTAAATAAATAAACAACACTGACAAGCACATACTGCCCCTCCGTCATATATAGGTCCCTGAACGTAAACAAACATCACTTTTTTTTTTACAAATCCCACACGACATAGTCTTGGGACATTATACTTTCACCATTGGTTCGACAAGAGCAAAACTCTGGGCCGGTTACGACATTCAGTGTCTCATTGGCAGCAGTCAGGCTTGTTAGAAACAATGTTGGTGAACTGCCAGATGTTTATCGGCAGTCGCCCCTCTCTGTTAGTTATGGGTCCTGGTTTGATGCAAAACTATGTAAGACACATCTCAAATTAACCACGAGCATTGTGAATGCAAGTAACAAAATATACAGAGGCATATTGTCTGCTGATTTATGTTCCAAAATATTGAATGATCGAACTAAGTTAGATGCACAAAATGGACGTGCGGAAAATGGGACATCAGTATAATCATCATCGGCCATGATCTGTCCACTGCTGGACAAATACCTCCAACAAGACTGTCGCCATCATCCAGGTCTCGCCATGCAACAATCCATCGAGCTCCTGCACAACAAGCCAGTTTCATTACTCCATCTCCGCGATGGACGTGTCCTCTTGGGTGCGTCCCTTCCTTTTGGCTGCCACTCCGGTGTTAGTCTCGACCACCGGCCACCGCCCCTCCTAACCGTGACGCGTCCTGCCCAAGCACCGCTCGCTTCTCTTAACTGTCAATGTAATGACGATGACGATGTCTCCAATGTGCGTGTTCCCTAATCCAGGCGTTCATCTTCCTGACTCCAACTAAAACCGACAGTCCAGTACACTACTGGGTGTGTGACAATGGTTGGGGAGGTTTGCCAGAAGGGCTGCCTTGGAAGGGGACTTACTTGGGGAGTTTAACTGTGAGCTACCCTAAGGACTGGCCCGGATGGTGGAAGCTGATATTTAAGAAACGTGCCCGTTGTTTTAGCTGCCGCTACGGGAGATCGAACGAACAAAACCGGAACCGGCGAACCTCATGGATTGTCACTTGAACACGTAGCAGTCTTTCGCGACCAATATCATCCACGATAGATGTTTTTTTTGGGTTGGGTCGCGTAAATATATAAATGTGTCGTTAAAACCCGCCACCACCCGACACGGCCAACTAGTAAGGGTTGTCACGTATAAACAGAACGTGGCCAGTTCGTCACGAGCACAGCACACCGGTTGTGTTGGAGAGCCTTGGATTGTCGCCAAAGTCCACAGTGCAGCGCTAACCGCGCCTCCGTAGAGCGCGCAGCATTCCACACCTGCGCGCATTCCACGTGGTTCGATCCTGTAAAACAAAACAAAAATTCTACCTTTTGTGAGCTGCTCGCTCTTGTTGTTGTTGTTATTAATCTCTGGTGCCGAGCCACGTGACCCTACCGTGAGGGCTCCTGGCAAGTTCCAAGCCCACGCCAAATTGTAAATCCAAGCCGCACCTGCGCCGGGGCAGGTCCCGACGGTCGTGGTCGCGCTTATGCAAGGCCCCCCAACATTCCTTACCATCACCGCCCCCCAACATTCCTTTCCATCACCTCCCCCCCGAGTCGCAAGCACCATACACCTCGGTACGACTCCGCTAAATGTGACCCCACCACCACCACCCCCATGGGATGGGATGGGGTGGTGGGTATTGTGCGAGAAGAGTATACCGTCGGTAATACTGGTAGGAACCCACTGGTTCCACCAGCCCACAGGGGATTATTGTGTCCGTCCGTCGTGCAGGGAGGGGCTGGGTGGGGAGGGGCTGGGTGGGGAGGGGCTGGGTCGGGGGTGGGAGGGTGGGGATGGGGCTGGGTGGGAAGGGGCTGGGTGGGGAGGGGCTGGGTGGGGGGTGGGGCTGGGTGGGGAGGGGCTGGTCACCCCGTGGTGCCCTTATAAAACTCAACGTTTAACCTACTCACGCCGGCTTGTGCCCGCCCTCACAGTCGGACATATTTTCGGAATACACCACGCCGCCGTTGACCCTGCAGGCCATTGACCGAGCAACCCAACGTTCCTACCAGCTCCCTCCGCAGGAATGTGTTAAGCGGCGGGGGTGGGGGGATATCGCGTAAATATATAAATGTGTCGTTAAACCTGCCGCCACCCAACACGAATCTCGATATGACGCAACAGACAAGCAGTGGCTTAAACGCACGCACCTGATTACAAGCACAATACATATTCTTTGAATTCCTGCAGCCACGAAAGCAGCTCTAAGTAACAGTACAACCAGGGCCGACATTCGCCACGAAGTGGCAGTGGCGTCTCCACGGCGCTTGTGCCAGGCTAGGTGCACGTATACAAAAGACAAAGGGTCCCCCGCGTATAGCCTGCAAGAGACTGGCGGGTCAAGTGCTGTCCGCGAGTGGCACCTACGAAGGCCGACACGACGGGGTGGGTGACCAGCACCCACGCCCGGCCGCCTTTGTCTCCCCGGTGGCGATGTTTACTGCACACCGCCGCGCCGGGGACTCATTTAAGGCTGAGTCGACCCCACACAGTCACACAATCCCTACACTGTACACTCAATGTACAGCGTTTTAGTGTTTTGTGGTCCCGGCAGCTGTGGGTGGGGGGGGGGGGGAGAAGAGGGGGCGGAGGGTGAGGGGAGGGGCAAGAGGGGTGAGGGGAGGGGGTGGGCTGGGATTTGGGGGGGGTGAGGGGAGGGGCTGGGATTTGGGGGGGTGAGGGGAGGGGCAAGAGGGGTGAGGGGAGGGGGTGGGCTGGGATTTGGGGGGGAGGGGCCAGGGGCGAGGGGAGGGGTTGGTGAGGGCTGGAGGGTCAGGGGGGAGGGGCTGGCATTTGGGGGGTGAAGGGAGGGGCTTGGATTTTGTGGTGAGGTGAGGGGAGGGGCTGGGAGGGTGAGGGGGAGTGAGGGGAGGGGCTTGGCAGGTGTTGGGGGGCCGATAAGCCCTGGGGTGGGGGAAGTGAACGTCGTGACTGGTATGGCTGCCAACCGGCTCCCAGCGATGCCAGACCCAAGAGGTTTTTACCTCTGAGTTATAATGGTAGTACTAACAAGTCCCCTCTCCCCCCCCAGTGCTTACCCAGGCGAGTCTCAAGACTCCTTCCAAAGGAGGGTCCCGCTACATTTTGGCGATGTTTGGCCCATGAATTCCACTTGTGAAGCGTTTCCATTATGCGAGGGGATGACATTAACAAAAATCAACACTTTTTTGTGAATCCGAGAGGGCAATTGAATTTAAGGAAGAAAAAAAAACACAAACGCATTGCCAATCACCCACAAATATTGGGCCTGGCTCTTGCCTCACGAATATTCATTTGTTCAGCGGGACTGTGTTGGGCCTGCTTGAGGGGCCGGGGGGTGACTCAGCCCAACATCCATCCCGGCGGGATGATACAATCAGTACCATTTGATTTTGGGGTAGTGCACATGGGCGGATTTGCGGGGGGGGGGGGGGGCATGAGGGCATCAACACCCTGCCCAAACTGGACAACTTAATTAATTTATTTTCAGTAGTTTACAATTAAGATTTTAAAAATTATGTGCACCCCCAATTCCTAATGTGAGGGACAAAGCGAACCCTTGCCCAACCACCCCCCAAATATAAAAGTCAAACGCCGCCGATGGGAGATGGAGTGGATGACGAGAGAGAAGTAGAGAAAGAGGGAATTGAGGCGATGCTCGCGATATCTGCGAACCAGTCGTGGGGAGCAAATGAAGACGTCTGCCCCCTCCCCGTACTGATGAAGCGAATACCGACAAGTCGCGACAGTCCCGGCACTATTTCTGAAAAATAAGTTGACGCCTCGGTGGGCCTTTGCGTTGTTAGGATGCGGATGGTTTTAGTTTTATTTGTATGCCTTTGGGGTGTGTTTGCTCACCTTTCCTTGTACTTTGTACTACAATTGTGTGTGTTTTGTTTGTTGTTATAACGTTCTTACTCGACCCTCCACTATAAATACATAGTCTGTTTTAGAAATCGGCCATCAGAAATCTTGCCCCATATCGGGAAGAAAGTAGGTGGTGGTGTTGCCCGAACAGGGTGTGTAGGTCGTGAATTGACGTTAATTGTATGGATTCCGATCATTCGATCTGGTGAGCCAGCTCAAAAAGTCGAGTGATCCCATTGGTTCAGTATAGCGCTGTGTGAAATGCAGCCCTATTTTTGATTGGCTAATATCTGCACGATGGGTGAGTGAACCCGTCGCAGTCCGTTTTCATTTCATCACAGCGCCCTCGCCACAGAGGTTCGCAGTCGTGAAAGGTTCCCCGCGATGTCAATTCGATAAAAAGCATAGGCCACGTGGTCCGCCGACGAAACGGTCCAAACCGGTGGCCAACTTCGAAAAATGACACCGATTATTGCCCAAATGGGCAAAAACCCGACATAGCAGCTTGGCCTTCTGCTGTCAAACTACTATAGACTCATACCCGTCTGTGAATCATTACCCGCACTTTCGTGATAGCCTTGCGCTATAAGAATGATTGCGAATGATTGATGATGGTGATAATGCTGATGGTGGTAATTCTGTGATAATGATAATAATGATAATGGTGATGGTGATCATTGTTACATTCGGATTGTCGGTGACGTTGGATATCAGTGGAAGATTCGTGGTGTGGGGGGGGGCGCTACCCCACCCCCCACCCTCTTGAGACCCCATATTTTATTTATATCCACCAGAGAGAAGACATCGCACGTTTTTAGTTTTCGCATTAACGTAGTGAGGCCCTATTTAAACCACTTGGCATTTGGGGACCGTCCCTCCCGTTCCCCCCTCGGGACGTGTGCTGCGCCCGTGCGTCGTGAGATTCCGCCGTGTGCCAGCGCGGCGCGGCCTTGCCTGGCACGGGGGGTTTGGCCGCGATTGTGCGCGTTTCCTACACGGGAAGTGCACGGTGAGCTGTCTCGGCTTCAACGGCGGCCACGCGGGCGAGTCCTGAGAAACAGAGACTGATCACAGCCTTGGGTGGGGGGCTGGGCCCCCCGCTGGGCCCCCCTACTACTTCTCATCCACCTCCACTACCTCTCATCCCCTCCATCCCTTCCTCTCATCTCCTCCCTCTCTTCTTCCCTCCCCCTCTCTCTAATCCTCTCTTTCTCATCCGCTCCTTTTCTCGCTCCTTGTCATCCTCTCCGTCTCTCTCTCTCCCTTCCTTCCCCTCCCTCCCTCTCATTTCATCTCAGTCAGTGAACCCATAACACCTGGGCTTGACCCATCACTGCGATAGCCTCAGAGTGCACCTAGTCTGGCGCAAGCGTTGTGGTGATGTCACCACCACTTTGTGGCGGCTGTTGTTGCTACTCTAGTCCACGTGTGCCTGCGCGTGCGTTTGTGTTTCTGTCCCCCAGCACACAGCCCCGCCCTGCGGAAATCCATGTGGAGAATGGCCACAGAAGACAGGGTGTGGGTGGTGTGAATGGTGGGTATATGGGGTTGCTGGCGTGGGTGGTGGGTAGACGGTGTGGGTGGTGAGTGCATGGTGTTGGTGGTGAGTAGATGCTAGGGATGGTGTGGGTGGTGAGCACACATGCTGGGGGCAATATTCGACGATAAAAGAAGCTACCTGAAGGATCTTGGCCTTTGTGTCTCTGCGCTGGCAGATCCCGGCATGCGACGTAGTGGAGCCCGTGGACGTGGAGGAGGTGCTGAGCTCCCACGCGGCGCCCGACTCCGCTCCGCTCCGCGTCATCTCCGAGTTCCCTGCGGATGACGTCACCGTCACCTTCGCTCCTCGCGAGTGCCGCACTGTCACCCCCTCCCTGCCGGATGAAGATGGGTGAGAGGATGGGGGGGGGCGGGAGTGGTCGTAGGTCAGGTTGCAAAGGTCACGGAGGTCGTGGAGATCACGGAGGTCATGTGGCTCGGGTGAGCCATGTGTCGTGGGGGTCACCGGGGTCACGACCCTTCAGCGTGTGCATGTTTGTGTCCACAAGTGCTGAGAGCTTCTTCAGGAAATTAACAGACTAAAACTCATGGGAGAGCTGTGCAGTAGCACAGCCGCAAAAACCCGACGCAGTGACCTGCAGTAGCACCGCCCTCCAAGATGCTGGGGCATCTCTCAGCGCTCAACGGATCAAAGGGCACCCCTAGTCGCAGCTGTCCCTGTGTGGCACTAGGAGATGTGGCACCTGGCCTGCAAACGGGCATTAGTCTGGCAGTAGGTGGGACACCGTGATTGCTGTGTGTAATCCCAGGTGAGTAAATTGGCAGTGTGAAATTGCGAATTAGTGAACTTTCGGACCCTGCATTCGTGTGATGCCTTTTACTTGTTTACTCTGAACTAACCAATCAAATTTCTCTCACTCCATCCCTGCCCCCACACCCCACCGTCTCTCTCTTTCTCTCTCTTGCAGCTGGGATGCGAGCGCGCACGTGCGAGACTGCGTGCGATCCTTCACGGAGGACTGGGCAGTCGTCACACGCAGGTGAGTGACAATTGTTTTTTCCGATCCAATCCCAAAAAATTTCAACACATTCTTAATACATAGGTATCAAATGCTAAATTATAATTCGTGTTGTTGCGGACAATATAAGTCGCAAAAATTTCTCGGCAGACAATTCTCCTGGCTTATTTTGCCACATTCTCCACACTGACGCTCAGGATTGCTTTGTGTTATGTATTATATTGTTGTGCACCAAACTGCTGGTACCCATGTCTAACAGAGAATATATGGCAGTTTACTAGAATTGCTTCTGACTCTGCTAATGAGACACAGAATCATCTTGTTTCTTTTGGTAAAGTCACGTAGAAGGGAAATAATAAAATAATAAAAATAAAACATAATAAAATAATTCTCACGACGTTTCGGCCACAACGCAAGCAGCCGTCCTCAGGTGAAGAACAGGTCTGTCTAATGAATTCACGCTGTCTGAACGAATTCATTCAGACGCTGTCTTTCCGACAGACCTGTTCTTCACCTGAGGACGGCTGCTTGCGTTGTGGCCGAAACGTCGTGAGAATTATTTTATTATGTTTTGATTTTATTATTTCCCTTCTACGTAACTTTACCGAAAGAACCAAGAAGATGAATCCCTGCAGTCACGAAAGCTTTACATCGAGAGACACAGAATGTCAAAGCCGGTTCAGAGCTTTGCTTCTGTCAAATCGTTAATGGTGAAATTATGCACTCCCAGAAGGCCGTGTGGTCAATGTGATGCTCTTTTTTTTCACGCGAGGGGACAGATGTATAAAACAGCTCACTTGGCCTTCACGGGGCCCAGCAAATGCTGTACTAGGGTAGGCCGGCAATCAGTCCCAGTGGCCCGTTTCGCGTTCGGAAGCGATTGTGCGATTTATTGCGGGAAATTAAATCGCGACACTCAGTCCTCAGAGAGGGGCCTGGAGAGGTTCAGCGAGTTGCTGTTGTCACCTTCGGCCATAGTTTTTTTGGCAGCGGTTAAATTCCCACCGGAGGATCTGTGGAGGCGTTTTCTGCAACACCGCGGCGCCATCGTCGCCGCAGCAACCGCGGCCTGACTTCCTCTGTCGCGTCGCTTGAGGTCCCTGTAGCCTCTGCCGCCCCCGTTGCTGTTGCTAGGCCGGAGGTAATAAACCTCCAGACTCACCGGACAAATTTCCTCACTCTTTTCTGAAAGAAAAAACTACACTGGTCAACAAAAATAAAAAATAAATTTCTGGCCTGGACTTTTGCAGCTGTTTTAGACTGATTTCAGGGTGCTGATTCCAAATCTGATCTCAGATTTGCTCTATCACATCATTTTTATGCTATCGGCATACCCCATTTTCATTGATTTTACCCGAAATTAACTCTGTCACTTATGATTGCAAGTTGTTGCGAGTCAGTGACTGCTTTAGTGTTAAAATACGGTGCTGTATTTTTAGGATAGTTGGTTTATAATATCATTTTATGTAGATATCCACATTTAATTAATATTTTTCTTCTGCAGTTTTGATTGAAAATGCAATATTTGATATCTCAAAAACCTGATGTGATAGACAAAAACTGATGCCAGATTTGGAATCAGCACCCCAAAATTACATTAAAACCGTTGGAATACCTTATGCCAGAAAAAGTGTGTTGACCAGCGTTATAATTCGAACAAACCGCACCGACCGGCGTGTTGAAGTGTGTGGTCCGATGGCTCCATGACAACCCGCACAGCAAGGGGATTCCTTAATCCAGCAGTGGATTGAGGAAGGTAATACATTGATTATTGAAGTTGTCTATACGTGGAAGGAGTCGTCATCGACATCGTTTCGAGGGTTAAGAAGAGTGGGGCTCGGGCAGGAAACGTGAGGGCTATGAGCGGCGACAGCCGGTGGCGGAGACTGACGATGGAACGGCAGCCAAAGGAGAGAATGCGCCCCGAGAGAACGTCCACCCGTGACGGAGATGGAGCGATGAAATCAGGCTAAGGGCGCAGGAGTTGAACGGATCATAGTGTAAAGGAGAGCCGACACAAGATTGCAGGGGTTTCGTCTTTTAATCCTTTTCTCCCATCCACACCTGTCCCCAGCCGTCCCAATCTCGTTCCCGCCAAAGGCCCCCTCTTCCCGCCTGTTCTCCCCTTATATCTCCTCGATCACCCCTCCCACTAACCCTCCTATTGGTGGGAATCCTTCCCCTGACACCCCTACAATAGCAAGACCGTGTCGCCTGCTCGCGGATGCATGTGTGCTTTTACATTGCTGTTATTATTATGATGCAATTGTACGTTAGAATTACAATAATTATTATCATCATACTTCCTTGAGTGCCATATCTAGATATGGGAGGTAAAAGCACTGGGTCTGGCAGCGCTGCTGCCCAGGGCGCTATCAACAGGAAGCCAGTCCTCACTTCAACTCGGTTTGAGGGAGATCTGGGAGTTTAATGCTGATAAAGCATAAAACTCAAAAAACTTCCAAGTCTTCCCATCGTTTTACAAAAATATATCGACGACACGGCACATTGAGCTTGTTGTGCCACCTGCACGGCTTTATTTACCCGGGAAAGCCTCAACGACTCCCAGGGCTCTTTTTTTTAGGACGATTCTGCTACTTTATTAGGAAGTCTGGCCAATGCCATGACAACCGATCGGGGGGGGCGGTGGGGGGGGCAGGTTTGGTACGGTGGTGCCAGTCAAACTATTCTCATCATCTATATAAAGTCGCACTGAACAGCACGGTCAAGTATGGTCAAACAATCTCCATGACTAACACTGCGTGAGGAGGCCTTTGTCCCGCAGTGGATCGCAACGGAAACTCAGAACTATAATTATTTCTGTCCGTGATTTTTTATATCACAAAGTAAAAATGGTCGTTTACTAAAGAGGACATTGGTGGAGTTTGTCAGACGGAGGTACAGTGGGACGTTTTGTTCCCTGGCTCGAGCTCTCATGGAAGAAAAACACTTTTTGACGGTTATCCAACAACCTAATCTTCGCTCTCCGTGTCTCGCGAATGTAGATGCCAAATGATAACTAAAACAATTAGTTCATTTTCCGTCTCTACTGATCATATCCGGATTCGAAATTAACGACGTTTGTTTCGGCCTATGGACGGCGGCATCGGTTGTGTTCGAGGTAACACAAAAACGCGTAACCGATGTTGCCACTGTGAGCTAAACCCAGCGAGACCCAGAGAGACACATTGAGACACAGAGACCCAGAGAGACCCGTAGAGACGCAGAGAGCAACTGAGACACAGAGACCCAGAGAGATACTGTACTTGGAGACACGTATGTATGTATGTTGGACTTCTTTCACACCGTACGTAGCCAACCGTGCTAATCAGTGTGGGGAAAGGACATAGAGATACACAGAGATACATAGAGGCTCATAGAGACTCATAGAACCACAGCAGTGTAAACGTGGCCATGCAACCCAAACTATTGACCATATACTAAACCACTGTAGTCTATGCTCCGCAAAGGAGGAATAACAGCAAATCTACACGAACTCTCTCTGCTGAAGCCCTCTTGTCGTGACCAGCAGATCTCGACATTGGTGTGGAGCTCCTGAGCCAGATTGCCCATCGTACGCGAGATCAGAATGGCTTCGGGCAAATGTCTCAATGTGTGCAGAACCCTCGTCACGGAGAGTCTTGAGACACGTCAAGGCCTTCCAGGGCAATTGCATGGCATCATTAATTGCATCACGAAGTAAACCAACAAGTCATTTAGGAAAGAGGCAGAGGTCGCAACCGGGTACCCGATACCCGTACCCTACCCGATACCCGGCTACCCGTACCCGGCCAGGTACGGGTACGGGTACCCGTTTGCGACCCTGGTGCCGCCCGGTACGGGTACGGGTAGGCCGTGAGTCACTTGTGAGTAACCGTTTGTCACTCATTTCGGGTAGGGTACGGGTACGGGTAGGGAACGGGTACCCGTACCCATTTGCGACCCTGGTGCGGCCGTTTACGGGTACGGGTAAGGAATCAAAACCCGTTTGCGACCTCTGGAAAGAGGACGTTTGTGAAATGTGTCAGTCGGAAGTACAGTACAGTAGTACATTTTATTTCCTGGTTACAGCCCAATAATAATAAATAATTGTACAAAATATTTTACTCGACAGTCGAGGAATCATGTAAACGTTTCGTAAGATGCACCACACTGCCCCATGGTGGTATAGTACGGTCATACAATGCCTACGACTGACACTAAAACGAAACTATAAGTATTTAAAATATGTATATAAGTATTTAAAAATATGTATTTTACCAAGTAAGGCCCACTGGACAATATAGGTCTTTTTCAGAAGCGAGCTGGCCACAAATGATCGCTCAACGAGGTGGCTTTTCGCGTGGAAATGTATAGCAGCCAAATACTCTATAAACGCATGTTTCTAAATGTGGAGGGAAAAACCGGAAGACCCGGAGAAAATCCACGCGACCACGGAGAGAGAGACACGCAAACTCCAAATTTACAGGCATCAGGGTCAGGATCGAACCCACGACCCCCTGTATACCAGGCGAGGGAGTTAACATCTCGCCACCGTGACTAACCCACGACATGCAGGAGACCTTCATCCAGCAGTGGATTAATAAAGGGCTGTATATTATTGTTATATTGGATATAGTAAGCTGCCACAGCAGTGAAACGGTCAGCACACTTGACTCGCTAATCAATCCCGAGACGTCCGGTTCGATTCCATCTCCAAGACGCAGGAGTTTGAAACAATGGGGACAGAGTTTGTCTCCAATCAACCCCCACAACCGCCTCTGCCCACCCAGCTCTACGAATGGGTTCAACACGGTCAGTGTCGGAGCGGCGGGTCGCGTGTGGTGGGGTAAAGCGTGGGTACTCTCACTTTTTCCGAGCGTGTTGGGCTCAGCGTGACACAGTCGGCCTAACATGCCCTCGAGAGGAGACGGTTTGCTAGAGTTCCCCCTGTATTGAAGGAAGTAAATTTATAAACGCACAACTCTTATAGCCTAGGTCAGGGGTCGGCAACCTACGGCTCCGGAGCCGCATGCGGCTCTTTACGGGCTGCTTCTTGACGATATGTACGTATGTACAGTATGTACTCTCAGATGCATTGCGGCTCTTGAAATACTGAATTTTGTACCGAATTGGAAAGAAATGGCTCTTCTTGTTATTTTGGTTGCCGACCCCTGACCTCGGTGATCACGAGTGCGCAATACTTCTACTTTGTAAGTGCTATCAATGTCTTGCATTTTATACTGAACTGGTTAAATGTAAAGAGTCTTGGACATCGTGCAGCAACAGTGAGTTTCAGGCCGATGGGCTGCTGAGTAGGTGAGTGGGTGGGTGAGTGGGTGAGTATGTGAGTGAGTAGGTGAGTGAGTGAGTAGGTGAGTGAGTGAGTGAGTAGGTGAGTGAGTAGGTGAGTGAGTGAGTGAGTAGGTGAGTGAGTGAGTAGGTGAGTGAGTGAGTAGGTGAGTGAGTGAGTAGGTGAGTGAGTGAGTAGGTGAGTGAGTGAGTGAGTAGGTTAGTGAGTGAGTCGGTGAGTGAGTGAGTAGGTGAGTGAGTGAGTAGGTGAGTGAGTGAGTAGGTGAGTGAGTGAGTAGGTGAGTGAGTGAGTGAGTGGATAGGAGAGTTCCAGGCCGAACCTGCGAGGTCCAAATCTCAGCAGTCCGAGTACAAGGAACGATTTCGGTGGTCACCACGAGCTGCCGAACGAGGCCAATTCCGCTAGCAGTGGCGTGAGCAGGGCGATTGCAGGGCTGAGCCTTTACCTGTCTGTGTGGGGTTTTTTTTGTGGGGTTTGAGAGAGCCACTATCTCGCTCCGCTGTGCCTCTACATTGTTGGGTTTTTTTTTGCTCCGTGTCACCTTTATGCACTCGGGTCGAGTTAATAAGTAGCAGGGGGGCTACTCCGGCTCGAAGGCCCACTCCTCACACCAGCCACACCACCCCCTCCATCCCCGAGTATTTGTTTTTTGTTATTTCTCAACCGGGTGCGGAGTCCCCTGATCTCTCTGCTCGCCGCCTGTCCAAACAGCCCGGCGCGGCTGCCCCCCCCTCACAGCCCCCCACCGCCCCCCCACCGCTACTCCGCAAAATGGGAAACACTTTCCACTTGCACATTTCCGCGCGTCCGTCAGCGGAGCACCGGGAGCAGAGACCCAGCCCCCCTCCCACACCTCCGGCTATTTTTACATCATCGCCGGCAGACGCTCGGTGGGGTTTTTAGTGTGGGTTGCTCCCAATCCTTTTTGCTTTTTTCCTGCGACGCTATGTTGCCAGAGGAACCGATGCTTTTGATGATGAAACCCGATTCGAGAGCTTCTTAGCTCACAGGGTACTTGAAAATAAACTGAACTGCACTGATTTGACTTGTGCAAAATATTATTCACACGCGCACGACGTCTTCATAATTATTCACAAGCGACAAGGGAAAGGTGCAGCCCTGAAGTTGCTTTACTCGTGCCCCTGCTGATGGGAGGGCCTCGACCCAGAGAGAGACTCCCGGCACACCACATCCAGTGGACCTCTCCACTGTGCCACTTACCACAGCCTCCCTATCAGCGACCCAGAAAACATTCGGCGAGGAGTTAAGCCCCATGGTGCTATGCGGTGTTGCTCCGTGATTTTACTCAATTATATAACTCGCGGGTAATTCTTTTTTTTTATATGCTTTGCCAAAGTTGGCCCGCGACGCGGGCGCGCACACAACGGCCAACAACTCCTTCGGATGACATAACGGGATCGTTAAAGTCCACCGGTGTAGCAGGCGGCACGTTGTATTTACAGTACGGCACATGGAATACGTGGGCACGGGCTTCGCGAGTATTAACCGTGGGCGGCCGCTTGTTTGCTCCGACTGCGAAACGCCCGTGGAAGACGCGCTACCGGCCCCATCCGTGTGTCCGTCCCATTCGTGTCGCGCAGGTACCAGCGTAGCGGCGGTAGTACCGCGGGGTCCAGCGACGACGGCGGCGGCGAGAGTGCCCGGACGAAGGGCCTGGAGCGACACCTCTTCGAGTCGGAGGAGAGCCCGGATGACGAGGTGCCTGGTGGCTTTTGCTTTGCGTGCCACGTAATTGTTTTTGCTGCGGTGGTTTTAGCGCGCCCGCACTGTGAGCTTCTGCGGATAGACTGCCCGCCCCCCTCCCCGCCATTGGAATGTGGAATTTCCACCGCTGCAAACGGGAAATGAGGTCTAATGGCTCGGTGCTCATTTTGAGCAGGAACTCACTCTGACCATGATAATGAACTCAACGTGCGTGTAAGTTTGTGTTGTGTGTGTGCGCATGTGGGGAGCGGTGGTGCAGTAGTTAGGGCATCGCGCTACGAACCCAGTGACCCGAAATTTGTTTTCGCTCGCAATGTCCAGCATCGTTGAGGACTATCCAAACTTGTCCTAGGCCTCCACTAGGCAGGCTCGGCCTGAAATGAGTAGCCGGTGTGGTCTGTAATCATCAGCGCCAGGTAGCCACACGCCACCCCAACTGACAAGTGTGGTGAAGTGTGGTCAAACAACCCTCATGCCCAACCGACATTGTGCAGAGGCCTTCATCCAGCAGTGGATAGACAAAGGCTGACTGTGACGAGGGCTGGGTGGGATGTATTTGTTTTAGAAGCAGAGGCCTGCGGGCGACACACACGCCGAGCTGATCGTCAGAATGTTTTTCTTCACCTCCGGGTCGTCTGGTTTCCTCCCAGGCAAAGCTAAATATTTAAAATATGAAAAGATAAAGATCCTCCAATGTTGCCGGGTGTGATCCCAATTGATTAGTGTGCAGGTAACTTTCAAAACGGTCTAGTGTTTGGTCGTGACCCTGATCCACTGCGCAAGACTACGCGTTTATGTGGCGTTCAATTCTCCTCTTTTGTTTATTGAGAGATTAATTTAAACAATTTTTTTTTATACCAAGTAAGGCCCGCTGAGCTGCATAGCTATTTTTAAATCCTTTATATTAAGTTCGCTTGCTTGCTTGCTTGCGCGCTTACGACCGTGCAAATCTTTCGGTCGTTTTTTAACCCACTTCCCGTGATCCAATCGAGCTTACATTTTGCACAAAATTTTCCACTTTTTAGGAAAAAAAAATTCATATTTAATTAAAAATACCAATATGATTAAAATGAAACTCTTACTCAAGAAAAACAGAAATGAATAATAAAATAAAACCGATGCCACGCATATAAAGGATTTATAGTGAAAAACTTTGTTTTTACGGGTTAATTTTTTCAGAAGTGACCTGCTCACAAATGATAGCTCAATGAAGTGCCTTATCACGTAGAAATTTATAGTAGCCAAATATTCTAAACGCATGTTGATTCTAAATGTGGAGGGGAAAAACCAGAGGACCCAGGGAACAATCCACGCGACCACGGGGAGAGTGACACGCAAGGTCCAAATATACAGCGGGCGTCAGGATTGGGATCGAACCCACGACCCCCTGCATACCAGGCGAGGCGGTTAACATCTCACCACCGTGGCACCCACTTCTTATTTATACGAAGCGATATTGGCCGCCTCCTGCCCGTGATATGTTTGTACATCCTTGGTGGCCTACCCGAGCCTGAGATCCATGCCACGTTTTGCAACCACCCCACTTTGTGGGGGAACTTGCCCAGATGTTGCAGGTGGGGTGTGTGGGGGGTGCTCACGGGCCACGGTTAAGGGGAGCGGGATGTGGAGGGATGCTGGGTGATGATGATAAGTCGGGCGTAGACAAGAGGAGGGTGTTTTCGCGAGAACAAACCGTGCCTGGTGGAACCTGTTCTGGTCTGAGAGCTGGGGCCGCATTCCAGGTAGCGGTGCTGTTCTTTGGCTGCACGGTTTAGTGGAAAACGTGGGCCGGAAGAAACCGAGTTCCAAGGACTGGAGTGTCAATAATTTCACCGACTGACCCGCTCGCTGGCGAGATTGATAGATTGGATACAAGTAGCCTTGCTGGGTTTTTGTTTATTATTACTCTGATTTATGTTTGCTTCATCGGAGTACTTGTTGACTCCGTCACTCTTGCAAATGAGTTCTCACCCTGGTCTCTTGAGTTCTCACCCTGGCTAAACAACACTCAATTGATCCTTGTGGCGGTATCCCGGGGTACCAAATAATACAAAACGGCCGAGGCAATTAAATATTTGATTTCTGGGACACTATTTTTTTCCAGGGGTGTACTGAACTCCGCGACTGGGGTCCCAATCAATTCGAAATCAGTGCTACTTCCGCGATGTCGAAACGCAGCGAGGACGATTGCGCCGAAACCCTGAACGCTCGCGGAACGCACCGTAGTGGTGCATCGTGCACAGCTCGTCGAGATGAGTTGACTGCCACATCACCGACCATCAACAGACTAAAAATGACTGCATCACGGACATTACGCTAGAGCCGGGGTACTATGCTACCCCGGGGTACTATGCTACCCCGGGGTACAGCAATATGGCTCAATTGAAACGTACTCACTCAATTAACAGCCAACTCGGCCATCCACAATGCACTCGCGCATTCACTTATCAACTCCACTTGCACAATCACTCGCCCACTCACCTGCTCACCCGCCTTACCCCCCCCCCCCCCCGCTCACCCCACTCACCGCGTGCAGGATGCTGGGAGCCGCCGGGTGTCGGTGAGCGTGGGCGATGACGTGTCCCTGGGTGAGGCTGACGGTGGTGGTGGCGGCGGTGGTGGAGGCGGTGGCGGTGCCGCCGCCGATCCGCTAGTGCCGGGGTTGCTGGATCACCGCTCGCTCGAGGAGACGGACCGCCACAACGAACAAGCGCGGCGAGCGGCGCGGCACTACAACCTCTTCGCCCTCTACCCCCCGCCTGCCGATGAGGTGGGGGCGGCCGTTGTCGCGAGCTAATGATCTCGTGGTTGTCATCGTCGTCATCACAATGTCATTGTTCCCATTATAAAAATCATGACCAACATTATCTTCATCGTGAGTCTCATCCGCACCTCCGATGAGCACAGTTGGCTACGTATGGTGCGAAAGAAATTCAACATACACACATCATCATTGCTGTTATAGTCATTGTCGCCGTCGTCGTCGTCGTGAGTGACCGTGTCTGGTTCTGTAGGAGGAATCGGTGGAGAAGAGGCCGGTTCCGGAGGGACCGCATGAGCACTTTGGCCAACGCCTCCTCATCAAGTGCCTCTCTCTCAAGTAAGTCCCTGCGGTACTGCGGTGCACAAACCGTAGCAGTCATGAGGAGCTTCATTAGTAATTTTGTAATCAACACGTCGGCACGTGTAAATCATATCTTGTAAATGTGAAATCGGTTGTTCAGTTCATTTTGAACTACCCTGTGAGCTAAGACGCTTTTGAATTGGGGTTTCATCAGCAAAAGCATCGGTTTCTTGGCAAACATAACGGTCATAACAGGCTAACGGGAAAAATGAAAAAGTTGGGAGCAACCCACACTAAACCCTACTGAGTGTCTGCCGGCAATGATGTAAAAATAGCTGGTGGGGGGCGGGGGGGGCCATGCTCCCGGCGCTCTGCTGACGGAAGCTGCTTCTGGATGACATTCCAACGCTCCATGTATTTCCGTTTGATGCCTCTGTTTTTTTGCTGGACGAACGCCCGCGTCCCTGTTGGTTTCCGCAGGAGTCCGTTCCCAGTAGTTCTGGATGAGATGCTTTGGGTTCATCTTCTTGGTTCTTTCGGTAAAGTCACATAGAAAGGAAATAATAAAATAATAAAAATAAAACATAATAAAATAATTATCACGACGTTTCGGCCACAACGCAAGCAGCCGTCCTCAGGTGAAGAACAGGTCTGTCGGAAAGACAGCGTCTGAATGGGCACCACCAGGCTTGGCAGCGTATATTTAAGCTGGGTTGGAGGGGGGGAAGGGGCGCCTTGACAAAGGTAATTGCATATCAAGAGGTTAGTGTAAATGCGATTGGTATTACCTTAGAGTCGCGGCATCTCTTCAGAAAGGTGAGAGACTCGATAAGCTGAGCCTTCTTATCACAGAGCTTGTTGAAGGATCTTAAAGTTTTGTGGAATGCCACTCCGTAGTGGCGGTTAAATTTCGATTTTAAAAAAATGCTTTGGGTTCTTCGAGAGGGAAGGCCCGTGGGCTCTTGCTGATCGATGCCCAACGTTCTTCCGAATCACGTTCCGGGTCCTTGACGATACGGATCCGGATCTTTCTCTCCCAAATGAGCTTCTCGGAATGGTTATCAATCGGCAGGCCTCGTTCCCCGCACGGCACGCATGGGTCCTCACCCCCACGGCGTCAGCGCCTCGCGTCCCTCCGCCAGCGAGCGAGCGTGTGCGTGCGTGCGTGCGTGCGTGTGACCGCGGGCGTGTTTTGTTGCCGCGCAGGTTCGAGATCGACATCGAGCCGCTGTTCGCCAGCCTGGCCCTGTACGACGTGCGAGAGAAGAAAAAGGTAACGGCCCCCCCCCCCCTCCTACCCCCGCAGGTTTAGCGGTGTGTCCGGGCCCACTCACACCGCTCGCTCATCCGCCCGCTCACTCGCTCACTTACCCATCCACTCACTCACTCAGTCAGTCACCCGCTCGCTCTGTCGCTCACTCGCTCACTCACCCGCCCACTCACTCACCCACCCACCCGCTCGCTCACTCACCCACCCGCTCACACACCCTTGCAAAACATGACCATGGCACCTTCATTCGTGATGATCGTCTTTGCGCTCTAAGAATGGCATGAATACAAAATGCACATGTTAATTTGTTTATCTATTCAGGGCATGTGCTGCTAGCGAGCACCTATTACAGCCGACAAGGTGCACGAGGGAGGGTAGTGTAGCCCGGCCGCCTTTGTCTCCCCACTGCTGATGTTTACTAGACAACACACTCATTTAAGGCTGAGTCAACCTAGGGGGAGGCCTAAAATCATACAAATTACTCTTTGAGGCAACGGCCAGATGCATATTAGCGTACAATCCACGCGAACGCCTATTGCTGCACTTAAACACTTACTAAACAATAAAAATATAACAATGAAACCATACCACGTTAGACCTTTATAGCAGGCACGCCCGATCCCCGTATATCAAACGCTTTTGATTGTTCATCTTCAAAGCCCTGCAATGCGAGTAAACGACGTTGCTGTTCTTGATTAAACAAACATTTTCTGTGGATTTCAGGCTTTCTGTGGACCCAGTTTTCTACCACAAACCCCGACCCCCTAAATCTGGGCGCCCCCCCCCCCCCCGCCTAAATTATCTTTCTACCAATTGTGTGATCAAGTGTGGACGGTGACGGCATCGCCCAGCGGTAGCCGCGTCCGCCAATCGTTGCGGAGGTTCCGCGGTTCTCATCCAGCGGCAGTCCCGATCATTCTAAAACTTAGAAACTAAACTATGAACTTGTTTGAAGCTTTCGTGACTGCAGGAATTATTCTTTGGTTCTTTCGGTAAAGTCACGTATAAAGATTTTACTTATTATTTTATCTTTATACGTCACTTTACCGAAAGAACCAAAGAATATGAACTTGTTGTTACACCAGGTTAGGCCCACTGAGCTATAGAGGCTCTTATTCAGAAGCGACCTGGCCACAAAGAATGATAGCTCAACGGAGCGACTTAATCACGTGGAATTTTATAGCAGTAACCAAAATAAAATAAAAACGCGTGATGTTCATTCTCAACGTGGTGGAGGGAAAACCGGAGGACCCGGAGGAAAATCCACTCCTGCGGCATACAAACTGTAGCAGTAACATCACGAGCCCTCTGCCTCGCAGTGAACGTTGAAGGCCCCGTGATGTCATTCACAAGAGTTAGGCCATTGCGTGCCAGCGTCGAGAGGTTTCAAATTACCGAATGTCAACAACAATCACACTGCAAGTTACAGGGACTCCTCTACTTATGAAGGAGTTAGGTTCCAGAGGTCTGTTCGTACGTCGATTTGTTCCTAAGTCCAACTTTACTCCTGTCGATTTCAAACATGTTCTACGGCATGTGCACTAAACATAGGGAATGGCTTTAAAAGTTGTATAATCTCCTGTAGATGTAGATGCCACTGGTTTTTTACGTTTTGTAGATGTAGATGCCACTGGTTCTGCTTACTACCACCCTCAACACTTTCACCACTCTCACGCTTCTGAGACACGACGGGGGTTGATGATGTTTGTGAAAAGCACAGATAACGTCGTAGTGAACCACACAGCGACAACACAACAACAGACAATGGCGTTGGCCCAGGCAGAAATGCTGGGAATTCTGGGTAATGACACCGAACAACCACCGCCATCTGTTGTGCGGCGGTTGAACTTAGAACCCTCGGTCCAAACGGGCAACTGGACATACGGACAGGTTTGTTCGTATCTGTGAAAGTTTGTAAGTCCTGGTCTCTTATTGAGTTATATCAATCCGTCGTGAAACGAAATCAACTTGACACTCGCCGGCGTTATCGTTCCAGATCTCGGAGAACTTCTACTTTGACCTCAACTCGGAGAACATGAAGGTCCTGCTGAAGCCTCACAGCGGCCAGTCCTGCATCCCCTCGCTGGCACGCACAGCAATCTTCTCCATCACCTACCCCACGCAGGACATCTTCATGGTCATCAAGGTGAGCGGGCCGCGACGGGCGGTCGGCCCCCGGTAAGCGAGACGGCGACCAGCCGAGCCGGCAGCCTGGCGGGCGTTTTGGCAATCCAGTAATTTGGCAGTGTGGCAATATGGTGACCTGGCAAAAATAAATCTGGCAGGCTGATAATCTCACGATCCTGTAGTCTCATAATGTAGCAGTTTGGTCATTTGGAAATATGGCAAACTGGTAATATAATCTGGTAATTCGATAATCTAGCAATCCAACAATCTGGTAATCTTGTGATTTCATGCCTGGCTGACGGGCAATTATGCAATCAACGAGAAAGGTGGCGAGGGAGACTGACGGTGACATTCCCCCCCCACCCCACGCTCGTCCCCCCCCCACGCTCGTCCCCACCCCACGCTCAATCCCCCCACGCTCGTCTCCCCATGCTCGTCCCCCCACGCTCGTTCCCCCCACGCTCGTCCCCACCCCACGCTCGTCCCCCCACGCTCGTCCCCCCACGCTCGTCCCCCCCACGCTCGTCCCCCCACGCTCGTTCCTCCCACGCTCGTCCCCACCCCACGCTCATTCCCCCCACGCTCGTCCCCCCACGCTCGTCCCCCCCACATTCGTCCCCCCACGCTCGTCCCCCCACGCTCATTCCCCCCACGCTCGTCCCCACCCCACGCTCATTCCCCTCACGCTCGTCCCCCCCCACGCTCGTCCCCCCACGCTCGTCCCCCCACGCTCGTCCCCCCACGCTCGTCCCCCCACGCTCGTCCACCCACGCTCATCCCCCCACGCTCATCCCCCCACGCTCGTCCCCCCCACACTCGTTCCCCCGACAGATCGAGAAAGTTCTCCAGCAAGGGGACATTGGAGAGTGCATGGAGCCCTACATCATGATGAAAGAGACGGACGCCTCCAAGGTACAAACATATACTCTCCATATATATTCATGATTAGTGAAACATATTTTATATTGGAATGTTTATATGTGTCACTAAAACTACTGCTGTTACTCCTGCTGTTGCTGCTGTTGATGTTGTTGTTGTTGCTGCTGCTGTTACTGCTGCTGCTGTTGTTACTGCTGCTGTTGCTGCTGCTGCTGTTACTACTGCTGTTTCTACTGCTGCTGTTGCTATTATTACTGCTGCTACTGTTGCTACTGCTGCTGCTGCATCGTAGAACAAGGAGAAGCTAGACCGGCTTCGGGCACAGACGGAAGGCTTCTGCTCCCGGCTAGGCCGCTACCGCATGCCGTTTGCGTGGACGGCCGTGCACCTCATGAACATCGTGACGAGCGCCGCAACGCTGGAGCGCGATCCGGAAACCGAGGCACCCGCCACTCCGGGAGGTGGCACTCCTGGTGGTGAGTGTACAGGCTGAGTGACAGGATGATCATACACCCTCGTGGTGAGTGTACAGGCTGAGTGACAGGATGATCATACACCCTCGTGGTGAGTGTACAGACTGAGTGACAAGATGATCATACACCCTCGTGGTGAGTGTACAGGCTGAGTGACAGGACGACCGCACACCCTCGTGGTGAGTGTACAGGCTGAGTGACAGGACGACCGCACACCCTCGTGGTGAGTGTACAGGCTGAGTGACAGGACGATCGCACACCCTCGTGGTGAGTGTACAGGCTGAGTGACAAGACGACCGCACACCCTCGTGGTGAGTGTACAGACTGGGTGACAGGACGACCGCACACCCTCGTGGTGAGTGTACAGGCTGAGTGACAGGACGACCGCACACCCTCGTGGTGAGTGTACAGACTGAGTGACAGGATGACCGCACACCCTCGTGGTGAGTGTACAGGCTGAGTGACAGGATGACCGCACACCCTCGTGGTGAGTGTACAGACTGAGTGACAGGATGATCGTACACCCTCGTGGTGAGTGTACAGGCTGAGTGACAGGATGATCGTACACCCTCGTGGTGAGTGTACAGACTGAGTGACAGGACGACCGCACACCCTCGTGGTGAGTGTACAGGCTGAGTGACAGGACGACCGCACACCCTCGTGGTGAGTGTACAGACTGGGTGACAAGACGACCGTACACCCTCGTGGTGAGTGTACAGACTGGGTGACAGGACGACCGCACACCCTCGTGGTGAGTGTACAGACTGGGTGACAAGACGACCGTACACCCTCGTGGTGAGTGTACAGACTGAGTGACAGGACGACCGTACACCCTCGTGGTGAGTGTACAGACTGGGTGACAAGACGACCGTACACCCTCGTGGTGAGTGTACAGACTGGGTGACAGGACGACCGCACACCCTCGTGGTGAGTGTACAGACTGGGTGACAAGACGACCGTACACCCTCGTGGTGAGTGTACAGACTGAGTGACAGGACGACCGCACACCCTCGTGGTGAGTGTACAGGCTGAGTGACAGGACGACCGCACACCCTCGTGGTGAGTGTACAGACTGAGTGACAGGACGATTGTACACCCTCGTGGTGAGTGTACAGACTGGGTGACAGGACGATCGTACACCCTCGTGGTGAGTGTACAGGCTGAGTGACAGGACGACCGCACACCCTCGTGGTGAGTGTACAGACTGAGTGACAGGACGACCGCACACCCTCGTGGTGAGTGTACAGGCTGAGTGACAGGATGATCGCACACCCTCGTGGTGAGTGTACAGGCTGAGTGACAAGACGATCGTACACCCTCGTGGTGAGTGTACAGGCTGAGTGACAGGACGATCGCACACCCTCGTGGTGAGTGTACAGGCTGAGTGACAGGACGACCGCACACCCTCGTGGTGAGTGTACAGACTGGGTGACAGGACGACCGCACACCCTCGTGGTGAGTGTACAGGCTGAGTGACAGGACGATCGCACACCCTCGTGGTGAGTGTACAGGCTGAGTGACAGGACGACCGCACACCCTCGTGGTGAGTGTACAGGCTGGGTGACAGGACGACCGCACACCCTCGTGGTGAGTGTACAGGCTGGGTGACAGGACGACCGCACACCCTCGTGGTGAGTGTACAGGCTGAGTGACAGGATGACCGCACACCCTCGTGGTGAGTGTACAGGCTGAGTGACAGGATGACCGCACACCCTCGTGGTGAGTGTACAGGCTGGGTGACAGGACGACCGCACACCCTCGTGGTGAGTGTACAGACTGGGTGACAGGACGACCGCACACCCTCGTGGTGAGTGTACAGGCTGAGTGACAGGACGACTGTACACCCTCGTGATGAGTGTACAGACTGAGTGACAGGACGACTGTACACCCTCGTGGTGAGTGTACAGACTGAGTGACAGGACGACTGTACACCCTCGTGGTGAGGGTACAGAGTTGGTGACAAGACGATCGTACACCCTCGTGGTGAGGGTACAGACTCAGCGCCAGGTCAATCGGCACGGCCAGGGCTTTGCCGAGCCAGGGCCAGCACGGCTCAGGAGGTGCCTCGTTGTTTTTCCACTGCGTAAGCTGAGCCGTGCCGCGGACGGCACGCGTGGTGGACGAGCGGAGACGCGCGTAGGTGACGTGGTGACGCCGCGTCCTCGCAATGTCCCCGACTGGCAACGCACGCAACGAGTGCATCGCCAGTCCACACCCCTGGCCCCGCTTGGCCCTGCTTGGCCCCGCTTGGCCCCCAACCAGATTCGGATGTCCCGGTTCTATCGCAACGTTGGCGGCTAAAAATGAAGATTCCAATCCAGGGTCTCGGTGGTGCCTGCTGAGCGCCTCTGACCCCTGAGTGGTCAGCCACCTCTGACGTCTGACCCTGTGACCCCGCGTATCCCCCGCTCGTCGCGTGCAGAGAAGAGGATGGATCGGCGAGGGCTGGCGGCGTCGCAGGCCGGGAGACGGAGCCTCGATCGGGGAAGCACGCTGTGTAGCGAAGAGAGCCTCAACCTGGCTTCCTTCCGGCCCGTCACCATCACCCTCAACAACTTCTTCAAGCAGGCGAGATGACGCACACACTCGCTCGTCATCTTTAAGAATAGAATCATTGTCATAATGTTCAATATCATCGTCGTCTACAATATTAACAATATGATAATCATCATCGATCTTCAACCACTCATCCTTTACCCCTAATAATATATCGTCATCATCATCATCATCATCGTCAGCTACCTGCCATGCATTGTCACAATGGTGGAGGTTGGTTATGTGGTCTGTGGTGGCTGGCGGGGTGGCTGATGTTGGTGTGGCTGTTGTGGTGTGGTTGAAGGTGTTGTGGCTGGTGGTGGTGATGCTGATGGTGGTGTCTCTGATCGTGGTGTTGCTAGTGGTGGTAGGGGAGCTGATGATGGTGGGGCCGATGGGGTGTGGCTGTTTGTGGTGTGACTGTGGTGTTGTGGCTGGTAGTGGTATGGATCGTGGTGGTGTGCCTGTTAGTGGTGTGGTTGATGGTGGTGTGGTTGATGGCGGTGTGGATGGTGGTGGTGTGGATGATGGTGGTGTGGCTGGTAGTGCAATGGATCATGGTGGTGTGCCTGTTGGTGGTGTGGATGGTGGTGGTGTGGCTAGAGGTAGTGTGACTATATGTGGTGTGGCTGGTGGTGGTGTGGTTGGTGTGGCTGGTGGTGGTGTGGTTGGTGTGGCTGGTGGTAGGGTGGTTGGTGTGGCTGGTGGTGGTGTGGTTGGTGTGGATGGTGGTGGTGTGACTGATGGTGGTGTGGCCGATGGCGGTGTGGCTGATGGTGTGGTGTCCGATCGTGGTGTGGCTGACCCAGGAGGGAGACCGGCTGAGCGATGAGGACCTCTACAAGTTCCTCGCCGACATGCGCAAGCCGTCCACCGGCTTGCGCCGCCTGCGCACCATCGCCGGTGAGTCGCTCGCTCCACCACCGTCACCCCGCGGCGGCGGCGGCGGCGGCCGTGGCGACCGATGCGAACGTTCACGGCGCGGGAAGGGAACGCGTCGGTCGGTTAATATCGTGTCGTTCAAGCGCATGTTGCCTCTCGCGGTCGCTGAGGAAGCGCAGACAACCTGGAAGGCAGCGCGCGCCAGGCGGTGAGCCGGTGCAAACCAACAATGACCCAAGCTCTGCAGTCCTCTACGTACTAAGATGTTGTACTACACCGGGGAGGAAACCGGAGCACGTCAGGGGGAAAAAATCACAATAGCCGCCCTTTATTTATTGTTTCTGTAACTTAATTTTGAATTGTACCGGCAGAGCCGACTTAGGCTGCAGGGGACGTATTATTTGTATGTTGTTACTTTTTCCATTTTTAGTGACCCAGATCGCTCGTGCAAATGAGACACTACCCCGGTCTCCTGAGTTCTCACCCGGTTAAACTAAATTTCGATGTAAAGCTTTCGTGACTGCAGGGATTCATATTCTTGGTTCTTTCGGTAAAGTCACATAGCAGGGAAATAATAAAATAATAAAAATACAACTATTAATTTCTCACGAGGTTTCGATTGCAACACAAGAAATCATCATCAGGTGTGAAAATCACAGCAATAACCAAGAATGTGGTTAAACTAATTCAACTTGAAATTGGTGATTGTGACGGACAAAGACATGATATGATGCATACGAAAGTTCATATGATTGTGACCTCTATCGTGATGACGTTTATGATGATGATGACATCAATGATAATCGTGACAAACTTGGTGACATTTCTGGAGAACATAAATTATTATGATGGCATCGGTTAAAATTGACAACGATGAACGTGATAACGACCACAGTTGCGATGGTGCTTGAGATGACGATGATTTGACGACGACTTTGGTAACGATGGCGGTGGTGGCGGCGGCGGCGCACGCCTGCAATCCAGGACTGTGGAAGCAGCAAGGGTTGGTGGATCACCAACGCACAAGCGTTACGCAACTCCCTTTCCTGTGAGCATCGAGGTTCAATACCCAGGCTCGCCAGCAGACGGCAGTACGGCAAGAATGTCGACTCCGCAAGCTCTGCGCCCGTGTGCCCTCCCCTCCGCACATGCGAACTGAACAATTGGTCGAAAGCATCTTAATATATAGAGGACCGCAGAGCTTTGGGCAATAGTTGGCGCCGGCTCAATGCTGGCCGCGGCCTCCTCCGCTCGTCTGTGGCTCCTGCTCGCTCCTCTCGACTCGTTCCCTCGCTCTCTTTTGCGAGCGACTGCTGCGACGTTGGCACTGTTGCTGACGCTGCTCGCGGCGATGTTCGCCGGCGTGGTGCAGCGTCGCTGAAGATGGAGCTGGCGCCGTGCCCCGAGAGCCCGGCGCACTGCCTCACGCCAGAGCTGCTGCAAGTGAAGCCGTACGCGGACGCTCGCGCCCGCCCGTCACGCGAGATCCTCGAGTTCCCCTCGCACGACCTCTACGCTCCCATCACCACCTACCGGTGAGCGCGACCCCTTGACCCTGTGACCCCCCTCACAACCTCTACGCCCCCATCGCCACCTGCCGGTGAGCACGACCCCGTGACCCTGTGACCCCTCTCACAACCTCTAAACCCCCATCTCCACCGACCGATAAGCACGACCCCTTGACCCTGTGACCCCTGACATGACCTCTAAGCCCCCACCACTACCGACCAGTGAGCACGACCCCGTGACCCCTCGAACAACCTCTACGCCCCCATTGCCACCTACCGGTGAGCGCCCCTGCCCCCCCCCGCCCTGCCCAAACCCCATGACCCATCGCATGACCTCTACACCCCTATCGCCACAACCCTGTGACCCCTTGCCAGCCCCTGTGAAACGCCATCCGCCGATAACACTCATCTACCCCTGTGATGACCCCTCTCAACACTGACCCTCGCCACTCAGACATCTTGTCCCATCTCACCCCTGACCTTTGCTGCCGCCCTATAACCCATTGTCCCATCTCACCTCGGAGCCTTGCCAGGCCACCGCAACATCTTCTGCCATCTTCGCAGTCATTGCGGGGAGGGGGGAGGGGGCCAGTGCAAATTTTCTCCGCGGTGTTTCAATCGGAGGCGCTCGGACTCACTCGCCAAACGCGGAGTTTTGTTCGTCAATCTTTTATTATTGACATCACACCCGTCATCTCGTCGCTAAACGAAGAATCTAGCAACCTACTTAATAATCCCTCTGCACCTCGCTCGCGCGCGGTTATTATGTTTGTATAATTCTTAGGTTTTTTCGGTTAAGTCACGTAAGTAAAACATCCACCTCTCTTCAACTTGCTTATAAGGGATTACATCTTGAATCATTGCTTCACTTGATGCAGCTAATTCGGCTGTGACGGTCCCACCTGATGACGGAGACTTGTGTTGCCTCCGAAACGTCGTGATTTTTTTTTTTTTTTTTTTTGATGTTTTACTTACGTGACTTAATCGAAAAAACCTAAGAATATGAATCTTTGCAGTCACGAAAGCTTCAAATCTAGAATGTTTGTATAAAATAGAAACAACGCACAGGAATTTGAGATGTGAGTTAATGTTTTTTTTCGAAGTTTGTCAGGTTCGTGGCATGGCTACGACGCGTTAGATTTACCGATATACATCGTGTATGTGTGTGTGTGTATATATGGGGAGCAGTATCGTATCAGTTGGCGTGCTGCACTGTGAACCTGGTGACCCGAGTTCGATTCCCGCTCACAGCCAACATCGAACCGGTCCTAGGCCTCCCCTAGGCCGACTCAACCTCAAATTAGTACCTGGTACCAGTAGGCAGACAAACGTGGCCGAGCGTGTTGCTGGTCACCACTCCCTCGTGTGCCATGCTGGCCTTCATAGGTGCTACCCGCTAACAGCACTGGCACCTCCGATTAGCATGTTCGGCTACGTACGGCGCATAAGAAGTTCAACATACATACAACAGTCTGTTTAGGTTATACATAAATATATATTTAAAGCGCGGAAACCTAACACGACGTGGGAGAGTTGAGAAACGAGCCGGTGTTTTTATTGTTTTTGGCGCTTCGCCTTTGAAGCCGTCAGCTTGGCGCGTCGGTCGGCACGCGCGAGGCGAGCAGGCTGGCGGGCGGGCGGGCGGGCCGGCGAACGCCGACGCGGGCGCGTGGGGTTCTCCGTGCCAGGGGTGCTGGTGCGGCGGCCAGAGTCGCGGGGCTGAAAGCCGCTTCCTGCGGTCCTCCCGGTCGCCCTCCGAGAAGAACTTGAGCTTCGCGAGAAACGACGGGAGGAGATGGAACGGAGTGGCGCTACGCGCCGCGACGGTTCATCTGTCGGGAGAGAGAGGGGGGGGTGTAGTCGTTTAGGTCCCAGCTGCTGGGTTATGAAACTATTTAAACTATAAGCCGTTTTAATTTTACCAGGTAAGGCCCACTTGAGCTACGTAGCTCTTTTTAAGAAGCGACCTGGCCACAAATGATAGCCCAACGAAGTGGGCTTATCACGTGGAAATTTATAGAAACCAAAAACTCTAAACGCACATTGATTGTAAATGTGGAGGGTAAAACAAACGAGGACCCGGAGAAAAATCCACATGATCACGGGGAGAGAGACATGCAAACTCCAAATATACAGGCGTCAGGGTCATGATGCAACCCACGAAATCCTGTATACCAGGCGAGGTAGTTAACATCTCGCCACCATTGAGGCCCAGCTGGTGGATTACGAAGTGGGGGGGGGGGGGTAAAATTGGACGTGGGGGGGCACCATTTATTTATTTGTCATCATCGGAACGGCTATCGTCGCTGTCGCAATCACTAATTTCAAGTTAACTTTTTGAGACCAGGGGTAGACTCTCATCTGCGAGAGTGACCTCGGGTCACCAAGCAGACAAAATTTAATAAAGTACAGCAATGAAAGCAAAGTCGAGATTTGGCACGCAAAAAGACAATTATGTAATGTGAGATATCGAAAATATTGCGCAAGTCAGCTAGGGGCAGATTGTTTTTAGACCGATCACAGTGAAATGATATTCCAAGCACGCTAGGCAACTCGTGTACAGTCGTTTTTGTGTGCAGTGTGTGCATTATAGAGTGTATTTATGTAGTGTGTGTACGTATCTAGTGTTGCATGTAGTGTGTGTGTGTGTAGTTTTTTATGGAGTGTACACGGTGGTTGAAATGGCCCGGTATACGATGGTACATCACACCGGTACTTCTCAAAACAACGACTACACCGACACTCTTTCCAATCCACTGCTGGATGAGTGCCCCCCTACACCATGTCGGTCGTGGGGGTTATTTGACTATACTTCACCGCTCCGTGTGGGTTAGTTAAGGCCACGGGGTAGCATAGACTTGGCAGCATAGGAGTGTGATACAACAGTGGATGTCGCTCCGCTGAATCTCTGCTGCCCACAACGCCCGATCCACCTGTTCATCATGCGTATGGTGATCGCCCATCTAAGTACTTATCCAGGCTCAAGTCCCGCTTAGATTGGCCATGGGCCGACGAGATTGGGTGCGTTTCAGAGAATGCGAGCAGAACGAGCCTCGAGGCTGTCGCTCCGTCGTCGTAGCTCCATCTCCCCCGCGGCGGAGTCCCGCTCCGTCTCACCTCTCGTTTGAGCCGGAGACGAGTCGACTCCACGTTCCGTTCGCGCAGCTCCGACGGAGGATCCAGGGCTCCCGCATCGTCGCCCTCGCGGGACTCCGACTGTGGAGGCAGAAGCGAGCGAACGAATGAATGTCAAGCGAGGGGTGGAAAACGGCGACGCGGACGAGCGATCGGAGCTGGAGGCACCCACGGTGCACCGTGAAGCTCCTGTTCACGGGTGTCCAGCTCCACGCTGAGGTCGGCAGTGGCGGAAAAATTACGGAGAATTTTTTGCATAGCTCTGTAAATTAAACAATCGCACATGAACTCGGTTGCGCGCGAACTCACGCGTGCAAGCTCGCACCGTGCAAACTCGCTCGTGCAAAGTCAACCGTACAAAGTCAACCGTGCAAACTCGCTCGTGCAAACTCGCTCATACACAAACTTAACCGTACATGAATTTGAATACAAAGCCTGGTTGCGTGTTGACCCGGCCCATAATCTCTCTGGGTTCGATAGAATGAGTACCACTTTGTGGACAAGTCAACAGTAGTTGTCCGATGGATAGACCGTCATGGGAATGTGGAATTTCCACCACTGCCCTGGGGCTGTCAGCAGAAGAAGAGCGCCGGCTCATGGCTCACTTCAGCAGAAACCACTGTGAAGTCGCGCAACAGCATGAGCAGTGGTGTCATTGCTCGTGCTTGGGTTATTGCCAGCGCTGACTTTAGCCCAAGCGCTACCCACGACTATTGCACGTGGCAACGGCTCCAACGCTACCACCGCTATAGCACCAGCACCGCCAACCGACGCGTAACCGTGCACACCCCGCACCGCCGCCGCCGTCACCGCCCCCCCCGCACCTCGTCTCTCCGCGCCTCTCTCCTCCTCGCCGGCACCCAGGCCTCCTCCAGCCTGCCCAGCCTCTCCCGCAGCTCCCGCGCCGTCCTCTCGGCCTCGCTGGCACGCCTCTCGGCGCCGTGCGCCGCCGCGGCCGCCCGCTCCACCGCGCCGTTGGCCGCCGCCAGCCGCTCCGCCGTGCGCTCGGAGAGCTCGCGCACGCCCTGGCCCAGTTGCAGCAGCCCGAACGCCAGGAGGTTGACCTCGTCCTGCAGCGCAAACCGTGCCCGGCGACCGCCTCTCGGCACAGCCGACTCCGTGGTGGTCATCGCCTGCTGCTGCTGCTGGTGGCGGTCGTCTTGCCGGGTGTTGGCGTGGACGGCGTCGAGGCTGCCGGGGCTCGGGGCGCCGTAGAAGAGGTCGTCGGAGTAGCGGGCGCCGGCGGCGAAGCACGGCGATGATAGAGCGAGGAGCAGGAGCAGAGGGGGTAGAGGTGGCAGGGACAGCATGCTAAGGTGGTGTGGGGGGAGAGCCGTGTGGCGGATGGTTCAGGTTGTCTACTACGGTGGGGTGGAAATGCGAGCTAGGCTTTCCCTGTCGCAGTGTATCCCTGTTTTCGGGCGTAGGATTTTGTTTTCTCTATTTTGTCTCTAATCAATATTTAATAATAAAGATTCGCCGCTGTCGCTCGCATACAAAAAAAATAATTTGGCAACGTAACAAGTCGTAGGGTTGACTGGTGGCGATTTTGATTCTCTGACGATTTTACTGTTGGATAGTTTTATAATAAAATATAGTAACAAAATACAAAACAAATTCCTACCAACGACACCAGCACTGACAACGCCGCTCAGAGCTTCGATTATTTTCACGGGAAAAATAATTTTTTAAAATACTTGGCACTGTATAAAATTGACCTCGCTAACTTAAAAAATTCCAACCCGAACAAAAGCTGATGTTGCCTTCTTTCTCAAGTCCTTACTTAATTTAAACAAATTTAGTTCCCTATTCAATCTCTTCCCCCCCCACCTCTCCCTGCCTTGGAGACAGCCTAGTGTTGTGAGCACAGAGGCTGTGTCCGACCGCTGCCAGCGAGCCCAGCTTTATACTCCCAGAACTTCATCCCTCCTCCACCGCCGCCCTCTCCCCTTTCCACCGTGAGCCGCCCCCCCCCCCTCTCCCGGCCAATGTGACCGCTGTGTGGGGTTCAAGCCAATAGCAGGGGGTCCTGGAGGGGGGGTCGGTGGGGGGGTAGGGGGGTAAGAGGAAGAGGCGGGTGCTTGGTGGTGGTGGTGGTGGGGACTGGTGGGGGGGTAAGAGGAAGGGGGGGGGGGTAGTGGGGGGTAAGAGGAAGGGGGGGTAGTGGGGGGTAAGAGGAAGGGGGGGAGTTGCTATCGAGATGTATGCAGCGTTGCATTCCTCACATAGTCGTGGCGACGACGCGACACGACCCCCAGGCGTGGTGCGTTCGTAATTTGCGATTAATTTTTATTTTATTTTATTTGTAATAAGCAATATTGTCTCCATCCAGAGTTAGCCGCTCGAAGGTACCGTCAGAGGCAGATGGGGTTTTTGTTGTTAACACGTTTACAGAGGATGGGCCCAAATGTCTAACATGTTACATGGCTAGTAGCAAACATCACTTTCAAATTGTGTAATGAATAAACATAATATGTATCATTCTCACACATTATTCATTAACTGTATCCTAAATACATTTTCTTGAAAGCAAAGCAAAAAAAGACGATAACAATTATATTTTTAAAAATTTGTTATTTTACACCACTTAAAATATTAGTGTAAAGCAATGCCATCTGGCCACACAATAAGGGTAATTTGTACTGAGCGAAATCGTTTTAAATATCCACAGGTGCCCTGGGTCCAGTCTGAGACCCCCCTCACCCCCTCTTCATCCACCACCAACAACAGCGCATAGCTCTTCTCCCCCAGGTCGGCTCGGCCTTAAATGAAGTGCTCGTTTAACACCACTTGTGCCGGCGATCTGATAATGCTACAGCGGAGCGGGTATCTGTGGCTTTGTGTGATAGAGTGAGCGAGAAGAGTTTGTACGTTTTAACCCTTTGATTTGTCGAGTGCGAGTGTGGCGAGTGCGAGCGTGCAAGTGTTCTCTCCAAATTTTTCTCTCCCAATTTTTGCTCATGGCTTTCCTGCGGGTTCTCCGGTTTCCTTCTCACAGATAAGGAAGGATGTCCTCTGGTGTAGGCCAACGAGTTTCAAAGACACTGCATACATTATCAGAGGATGTGTTGTTTGCATGTTTTCCCACAAGTTCGTGGGGTTAATGCAGATTTGATGCCTTGAAAAAGGTATCAATTTGGTGTTGGAACATCTTATTTCCAGAAAGGGTAAAACATATTCTTGTTTTTTTTCCCATCAATTTGATACCTACTGGCAAAAAGGTCCCCATAGATATTTCTCTATAGACGTGTTCCTTTTTTTAAACACACAATGTAACCGGTATTGGCCTAAATATCTCAATGTACAAATGCCTCCTGCATATTAATCAATTGGAATGACGCAGAAACATCACCCCCTCCCCCCCTACTACGGATATGTGGCAGGACCCTCCTGGCACAAAAGTCTTGAGACTCCATGTGAGGCTTTCCTGGATAAACAAGCGCAGACAATAATAATCATGAAATGTAACTGCACGATAACTTTAAGATCGAAAATCAGAAATATAATTCCAGCAAAGACATTGGTAAAATACGCACGCACGCTCAAGACACACTTGTACGCGCATGCACACGCATTTACGCACATGCACATACACCCAAACACATGCACATACCGGCAGATACACTCACAGGCGTGCGCATACACTAACGCACGTGCGCGTACTTGCACGCACGTGCACAGACGCTCGTGCAAAAACACTCGCACATGCGTACCGACGCACACAGACATTCTCACACCCGCTGGGTCACACGTGCTGCCGGGCGCGTGGTGCGAGCCACTCCGATTGGCTGTGGGGGGTAGGCTCGGCCGCGCGTGATGGGCCCATCCCTCCCGGGAGAGGGGGGAGGGGGGCTCGGGTTCACAACCGCGAATAACCTCGGAGTGGGGGGCAGGGCGGTGGAATGCTCGTGTCCAGAGGCGGATAGAGAACCTTTCTCGGTGGGGGGGAGTGGGGAAGAGAGAAGGGTGAGGAACGGTGGACTCGCAGTAAGGCAGCAGCTGCGCGGTAGGGAACCGACGGTACCAAAACATTTCCCAAGCTCTGCAGCCCTCTATATATATTAAGATGTTATCGGCCCGCTGATCAGTGTTTGCATGTGGGAGGACACGGGAGCATCCGTCGCTTTCGGATGGGACGGGTGGAGTCCACATTTTTGCTGCACCGCGTTCTCCTGCCGAGCCAAGGTGCAATGGCGCTTCCACGACGCCCTAGGGAAGGGAATTTCTGTGTGCGATGACCCACCAACCCTTGCTGCTGCTTCCACACGGTGCTGGGTTACAGGCAGCCACGTGCAGCAGCGTATCCACCACCGTCGCCCCAGCCAAACACCTGGCGACCTGGCGCAAGGCATTGCAGTATTGACAGGGGGGCGCCGTGTGTGTCAGGTCATGTGACCCGGGCGTCAGGTCATGTGACCCAGGCTCTTGGTTGTTCTCGGTCGGGGTCACACGCTGCTATTGCCGCTTGTCGGCGTGACCCCGAATGGTAACAGCGCAGCTCGATAACGATGGACCATTAACTCAACCGTACACTTTTAGCAAACAAGACTCATTTCCGCTGCTGTCCAAGTAGCATCTGTGAAGTTGTGATATTAGTGGCATTTCATCTTGTGTGGGTGCCACGGTGGCGAGATGTTAACTACCTCGCCTGGTATATAGGAAGTGGTGGGTTTTATCTCGACCCTGACGCCTGTTGTATATTTGGAGTTTGCATGTCTCTCCCTGTGGTCGCGTGGATTTTTTTCCGGGTCCTCCGGTTTTTCCCTCCACATTTAGCATCAACGTGCCTTTTGAGTATTTGTCTGCTACACATTTCCACATGATAAACCAATTGATTGGGCTAACATTTGTGGCCAGGTCACTTACGAAAGAGAGCTATACAGCTCCAGTGTGCCTTACCTGGTAGAATAAAAAGTTTGGTTTATATATGAACACGGAGGGGGGCACATGGCTCCAGCTAAACTTGACAACGCGGTTTCACCTCACCTTGGTCCATACGACTCCTGTGGGTCTCTGCGTGAATCTGTGAGTTTGCATGAGAGTCTGTGGATCCTCACAAGGCCATATGTGGACCGATCTGAGACGATCAACTCGCTCCCCTCTAGAGAACCCAGCTTGATCACAAGTGGCCAGAAGCGGCATTCAAACCGCCCGTCCTGGATCTCAGCGATGCAAACCACCGTGTCCCCTCGACCTCTGAGACACCCGGCCACCCCTTATCCAACCGCTGTCGTGACCGCATGGCCTTAACGATGGCACGGCACGTTTGCCGCGATGGCCCCGGCGCCGCTGGCCATCTGGCTCGTTCGAGTTACCGACTCGGCGCCGTCGGTATTGCGACAGCGCTGCGGTCTTTCATTTGGCTCCGTCGCGACCGCCGCGTGGCACAAGCCCCCCCCCCCCCCCCCCCCCCCCCCGGTGGCGCCCGCCGGTGGCTCGCTGTGCACGCGCGCGCGGGTGGTCTGCAGAATGCACCGTGCACTGAGCGGCATTTGATGGCGTTGTAATTGCGTTTTCTACATTGTGTTTTTTTTTCCCCGTAATTGACCCTGCGTGTGCGTGCGCGCGTGTGCGCGTGGGAGTCTCCGGGGGTGGGGAGCAGTTAGCGCGCTGTGCGCTGTGAACCCCGCCGACCCGAGTTTAATTCCCGCTCACAGCCACCAACACCGGTGACAATTGTTTGGACCGGTCGTGGGCCTCTTCAAGATTGATTCAGCCTCAGATGATGAGTACCTACTGCGATGTGTAAACACCGCCGCTCGGGAGACAAAGGCGGCTGGGCGTGGTGCTGGCCACCCACCCCACCGTGTTCCGCGCCGCTCTTCGTATATTAAAGGCTACACCGGGGTGGGGGTCTTTGTCTTTGTGTGTGCGTGCGCACGCAGGAACCTGCTGTACGTGTACCCGCAGAGCGTGAACTTCTCCACGCGGCAGGGCTCGGCCAGGAACATCGCCATCAAGATACAACTCATGGCAGCTGAAGATCCAGAGAGCACCATGCTGGTACTACTTCCTCCCCCCCCCCCCCCCCACCACTTTCCCCCAAACCCCTGTGGTACATCCCTACGCCGGGGGCGGGAGAGCTGTACCGTGCGGCGCAACCACGGAAAAGCCTGCGTGGTTTATAGCGATCAAGTGTGTTTGTTCTTGTTGTTTACAGGCGATTTTCGGCAAATCCAGCTGCCCGGACTTCTCTAAGGAAGCCTACACAGCCATCACCTACCACAACAAGTGAGCGGCCACAGCCAGACCAATAGCGAAAGCGAGCAATAGCTCGGGCCCCGTCTCCGCACATGAACAAAAAGTATTTTTTAAAATCCACCAGCCTACTAGCTTTCCAGCCTTGCCCGCCATGGTGCTGCGAACCCGGGACCCGCCTTCGATTCCTGGCCACGGCTGCCGTCAGCGGCGAGTGGTATACCGATCCTGCATGCTAACCCCCCTCCGCTGACCGGCGTGGTGAAGTATGGTCGAACGGTGTGAGGGGATACCCTCTTCCGGCACGCGTTCACCGCTCCCTCCGTCCATCCTTCCCTCCCTCCCGGTGACTCTCCCTCCTAGCTCGCTGTCCCCCCCCTCCCATCCCCGCCCCCGCCCGCCGCCCCTGCTCATGGGGTTGGTGAGCCGTGGCGTGACGGGCGAGCACGCGGGAGGGACGTGATCGTGGAGCAGGAATCTCCGCCGAGACAAAGGCAGCCTGTGTCTGCCCTCGCCGCCCACTGGCCGCCACCGTCACCACCACCGCCCGATAGGGATAGTGTGCCTGTATGTTGCACAACGGCCATCCCTTTGCCTGTCTCTCTCTCTCTCTGTCCCTCGTGGGGGCGGCGATGATTGGCGAGGTGAGGGGGACGGTGATGGGGGAGCGCTGATTTCGGCGTTTCACAAATATGACCTTATATTCTTGGTTTTTTCGGTAAAGTCACATAGAAGGGAAATAATAAAAAGAAAACAATAAAATTATCACGACGTATCGATTGCAACACAAGCAATCATCATCACCTTGCTGTGGTTTTCACACCTGATGATGATGATTGCTTGTGTTGAAATCGAAACGTCGTGAGAATTTTATTGTTTTATTTGTATTATTTTATTATTTCCGCTTCTACGTGACTTCACCGAAAGAACCAAGAACATGAATCCCTGCAGTCACGAAAGCTTTAAATCGACAAATATGACCTTGTCGCGCGCGGCGATGCGGTGCCGCTTCAAAATCACCAGCATCTCCCCAAGTTGTCCCCTTCCGTTTTGTCCAGGACCCTCATTTGTGCAATGGATGATGCGACTGCTGTCGCCGTCTCTCGATGCTCGCGTATCCGATGCGTTTCGCACGACCGCCTGTGCCTCAGTTACCCTCCTGGAAGGTAGTCGGCTAAGCGACGCCGTGCTGAGTCTTTCCGGGGATCTTGAGAGCGATGGACAAGAATCGAACCCGGCTCACTGCGATTGCAGGGGCAGTGTGCAAACCACTGTTGCCTCGTCATTGCTCTCCCATCATCATCATCACGGCCCAGCGTAACCGCGCCTGCAGCGATTCGCGGTTCGAGCCCGGAAGCCGCCACCGGTTAATGCCCGCGTGCGCGTCGCGCCAGGGCACCGGATTTTTACGAGGAGGTGAAGATGAAGCTGCCGGCGAATCTGACCGAGAACCACCACGTGCTCTTCACCTTCTACCACATCAGCTGCCAGCAGAAGCAGAACGCTCCGCTCGAGACGCCCATCGGATACACGGTGCGTATGCCGCCCACGCCACCACTCGCTCACTCGCTCGCTCGCTCACTCAGTCGGTTGCTCGCCCCGCTTGCTCAGTTGATCGCTCACTCCGCTCGCTCAGTTGATCGCTCACTTTGCTCGCTCGCTCAGTCGATCGCTCGCTCCACTCGATCTCTCACTCCGCTCGCTCAGTCGCTGGTTCGCCCATTCGCTCAGATACTCACCGGCTCACTAACCCACTGACTTGCTGCCTGACTCACTGACAAACGCTCACTCACTCACCCACTTGCCAACTAACTCCTACACCTACCCATCCACCCACTCACTCATTCCCTCACTCACACACTTGCCAACTAACTCCTACACCTACCCACCCACCCACTCACTCATTCCCTCACTCGCACACCCAGACACAGACTTGCCTCACCTGCAACAAATCATCACAGGTTGCCAGTGGTGCACAAGCACAATTGACAAAAACAAACCAACGCGTGCCGACACAATAACACTGCGTGGATTTAAAAGCAATTAAAAACCACATGAGGCCAGTGGCTCTTCTTCATAGCACATTGGTGATGAACGTGTTGAGTGTTTTGTCTCACCTGCGCCCGTGTGACCCCCGTGACCCCCGTGACCCCCGTGACCCCTTGCAGTGGCTGCCCCTGCTGCAGCACGGTCGCCTGGTAACGGGGCAAGTGAACCTCGCCGTCTCCATGGAGAAGCTGCCCACCAACTACTCCGCCCTGCCCCCCGAGGTGAGTACTGCTACGTGCGCACGTCGCCACGCGTCTCCACGCGTGGTGACGCATGTCCCTTTGTCTCCAACGCATCTCCGGAATTCTCGGTGTGTCCCTGTGTCTTCCTATACTTTCCGGTAATTCTCTGTGTGCTCCCGTGTCCCTGCAATCCGTATGCGTGTCGCCACGTGTCCCCGTGTGTGCCCATGCCTCCAAGAGCAGCGTCTGTGTCTGAGCGCTGATTTCTCTGCGATCGCTCCCACCCCGACCCCTGTGTAGGTCCACGTGCCGAATATCCGCTGGGTAGAGGGACACAAAGCCATATTCAATGTGGAGGTGGTGGCCGTGACCTCGCTACACACACAGGTGAGGGCGGCGCGTTCCGATCTTAAGCATACGATGATGACGATGGTTATGATAATGATGTGCATGTTAATGGGTGTATGTACGTTGAACTTTTTTCGCACCATACCTTGCCAACTGTGCTAATCGGAGGTGATGATGTAGATGGTGATATTGATAATGATGTGAATGATGATGATGTTGTGGACAATGACCATGATGATGTTGATGAGATGGATTATTTTGCCAGTTCTAATAATAATAGTGATGATAATGACATTCATGGCAGTTGATAGACGATGATGAAAGCACGATTATCAATGACCACTGGGTGATATCTTCTTGGTTCTTTCGGTAAAGTCACGTAGAAGGGAAGTAATAAAATAATAAAAATAAAACATAATAAAACAATTCTCACGACGTTTCGGCCACAACGCAAGCAGCCGTCCTCAGGTGAAAACCAGGTCCGTCGAGGCGACAGAGTCTGGGTGATAATTATTACGTGAGGACGCTCACACTTATGATGTAGACTAGGATGATGGTGATGATGATGATAACTCAGATTGCTCGTTAGAGCAACCCCCCTGGACCGGCTCTTTACGCCGGGTGCTGCACTGACGATGATGACGATGGCGATGGTATTGGCTATGGTGACCATAGTGACGACTATGACGACGGTGATGACTGACGATGGTGACGACTATGATGATAACGATGGCGATGGTGACGATGATGATGATGATGACGACGATGACTATGGCGACGATGATGACAATGATGACTATGGCGACGGTGATGTCTATGACGACGGCGATGACTATGACGACGATAAATATGACGGTGATACATGTGGCGATGGCTATGGTAACGACGGTGATGATGATGACGACGACGGCGATGATTGTGACGACGACGATGAGCTCCGACCATGGTGACGTCTTCGCCGGCCCACCAGGACGCCCCGCTGGACCGGCTCTTCGCGCTGTGCGCCGCGCTTGAGTCGCACTCCTTCCCCGTGTGGGCGGGGCCCAAGCGCGTGACGGAGGCGGAGCTCGAGGCGGAGCTGCGCTCGGCCGTGGCCGGCGTCGGCAACGCCGCCATGCAGCCCCTCGTGCGCCACTTCCACCCGCTGCTCGACCGGATCGTGCTGCTCACCGTGCGCCCGCCCGTGCTCGCCGGACAGATCGGTGAGCCTGCCCGCGCCGCGGGGACGGTGGCGAGCCCGGCGTCGGTGATAGTCACGGTGGTTGGTGGTGATCGTAGTGGGGAGCGGTAGTGCAACGGTCAGCGCGCTGCGCTCCGAACCCGGCGACCCGAGTTCAATTCCGACTCCGACACCGCGGCCAACGCCGGTGACGATTATCTGAATCGGTCCTGGGCCTGCGCTAGGTCGAATCGGCGTCAAATGAGTACCTGGTGCGGTGTGTAAACATCACCACCCAGGAGATAAAGGCAGCCGGGCGTGGTGTTGGTCACCCACCTCCGCATATGCCGTGCCGGCCTTCATAGGTGCTTGCTAACAGCACTTGCCCCAACAGTCTGTTCAGGCTTTGTCTTTGATGATAGTAATGTGCCCAGAGTCGACGTGGTGGTAGTGCTGATTACGGTGGTGGCAGTGGTGGACCTAGCGGGACTATAGTGATGGTGTTATCGATAGTGGCACGATGCTGATAATGTGTGTGTGTTTCTCTGCATGTCTCTCTCCCTTCCCTCTCTCTGTATATCTGTCTCTCTGTGTCCCTCTATGTCTGCTCGTCTGTTTGTCCGTGGATGCATATCTGCCTCCTGCACGTCTGTCCCCCTGTATTGGTCTGTCGGGTGCGCGTCTTTCTCTCTCTTTCTCATCCCCGCCACCCACACCGTCATCGCTATCCCCGCCACCCCCACCGTCATCCCCCCAGTGAACCTAAGCCAGGTGGCCTTCGAGGCCATGGCCAACATCGCCAACCGCGTGCACCAGAGCCTGGAGTTCAACCAGGACCAGCACGGTCGCAACGCCCTGCTCGCCGCGTACGTGCACCACGTGTTCCGCCTGCCGCTCGCCTGCTCCGCTGTCGGAACGGACGCCGGTGGCGGCGGCGGCGGTGGCGCCAGGGGCGGTGGCTGCATGCCAACCATGAACCCCGGAGGTAAAGTCGGGGCGGGACCGCGTCACAGATCGTCATGCGATCTGCCAACCCCACAGCTGGCCAACAGGATTCCTATCCCGGTGGCATTGCTGACCGTGACGACGATGGCACGAATGATGACGACGGTGATGATGTTCTTGATGGCTTTGATGGATGATGATGATGGTTGGTGGATGGGTGATGATTATGGCAGTCGATGGATGGACTGATGACAAAAATATGATGATGGACCAATGACGACAATGCAGTGATGGATAGCTGATGATGATGTAGATGATGGATGACGACAACGACGGGTGGTGATGACGCCGGTGTTGCTGTGGGCCGTCTGCCCGCAGGGATCCGATATAACACGCTCTCGCGATTCGCCGCTCGACCTCGGCCCACGACCCTTAACCTCCCGGGGACGCGCAGCCTCAGCAGCAGCAACCCCGACGTCAGCAGCCCGACCTCCGCCGACCAGGAGGTCGCCAACCTCCTCGCCAGCAAGGTGCGTCAGCCCTTGCTCAGTCCGCTGCCGGATGAACGCTTCGCCGACGGGCCCCGGGTTTTTTTGGCCGCGGGTCGGAACGGGGGAGGGGGGGGAGGGACGGGGGGGTAGCGTTGCCCAGGATGGGCGAGGAGCGTCGGTAAATTTTACCGCAAACCGTGACGTTGGTCGGTCTGTCACAATCACTCCCGAAGAGATGAGTTTTGCGACATGAACTAAACTCGTGTTGCTATCTGGAATTCACCCGATTTCAAAATCGGCCGCATTGACCCATGGGTTTTTACGCATCGGCTCTGTCTTCTCCGTCTGCAACGTGGGGTCGCGATGGCATCTGCAAAGACGGTGGTGATATGAACACAAATTTGGCGTCCACGTCGCATTGCTATCTGGGGCCTCGCCTAGGCCTCGGCAAGGTAAGGTACCCACTTCCTAATGTGGTATCGACTGCAAACTTGGTATACTTAGGTCATACTGATGACAATACTATATTCTATCATAAAAAATATGTTTTTAAACATTATTTATAATATGTTATGTTTCGGCTTGGCTCTAATTGTCCACGCTCAACTGACGTTGGCTGTAAATGACCACGGTCCCTTACGCTGTGGCAAGCCTCGGGGCCACTTCCTGGAGTCGTGGAGTACTGCGATTACTCGTACATTTTATAAAAGCGTGTTTTTAATAACGTTTGTTTTAATATTACTTATTAAATGTAGGCCACGGACTGCGCCACGGAGCTTTTAGCGGTAAACAAGGCACCGTATTTACCGGGTAATACTTCGCGCTTCCTTTACCCTACCGGGTAATTCTTCCGAGCTACCTTTACCCTGTACCCTTTACCTCACCCCTTGGCATGTCGACATCTTTACCCTTTACCCTTTTACCCGGTAAAAAAGGGTAAATTACCTAACCTTGCCGAGGCCTAGCCTCGCCCCCAGAGAAACCCGGCCACGGTGGCGCGCTGTCTGTCCGTAACGTGGCGTCGCGGTAATCCCCGGAGGGACGATCCGAGAGGAACGGAACTGGAGTGGAAGGTCCCGTTGCTATCGGCGACTCTCCCCGGAGGGAACACGGCCCACGTGGGTCAGAAGGCGTTGCGCAATACCTGCCGTTACAAACCGGAGCAGAACGCGTAACACGCTGCGAACACGAAGAGGGTTTTTGGAGGCCGTCCTTAAATGATGTCACGCACCTCGGGGGGGGGGGGGGGGGGGTCAGACATTTGTGACGATGTGTGCCGTCACATCAAAATGTGCAACTTTAATCAAATATAGAATTGTTACAACAACACTAATTGTTATAATTGTTACTCCTACAACATCAGAGTGCAGCGCCACATTGAATACGCACTACAATAACAATCGTTTAAAGTGATTTGAAGCGTGTTTTATTTTCAAAATGGAAATATGGTTTTGGGGGGAGGGGAGCAGAGCTTTGTGACGTCATATTTGAGGGGGGGTCTGACTTTTTGTGACGCCGTGTGACGAGGGGGGGAAGGTCAAAAATTGTCCAAAATCGCGTGACGTCATTTATGGACTGCCCCTTGACCTGATGGCCACTGCGCCGGCTTCCGTACCACGAATTAAAATGCTTCCTGAGCCAAGCGCACGTTTGATAGCGTTACAGAATCCGTGCGTATGCGTGAATTTTCCGAACGTGTTGTGTTGTTTATTGTTGTTGTTGTTGGTGTGCCAGGAGCGGGTTGTGCCGTGCCGTGAGTCCATGTTCCCCGAGTCTGCCCAGGCTCCGAGTCAGCTCGGGTGGCTCACTTCCCGCAAGGTGCGACACGCACGCTCAGCATCGGCATCATCACCAACACCACGATCATCTTCACCATCGTCACTGTCATCATCAGCAGCAACAGCAGCATATGAAACATTTTTATCATCATCATCGTGACAAGCAAGTGTTGCCCTGTCCCGCCATGAGCCCTAACGCTGACCCCTGACCATGGAGCGGAGCGTGCTCGGATTTGAGAGAGCGCGTGTCACAGCGTGCGTGCCACCGTGCCATGTGCCTGCATCGCCGCATGTCGCCGCGCATGTGCGTGCGTCAACGCGTGTGTCACCGCGTGTGTCACCGCGTGTGTCACGTGGCCTCAAGGTGCACATGGCCTGGCACAAGCGTCGTGGTGACGTCACCGCCACTTAGTGGCGAATGGCGGTTGTTGTTGTTGTTGTCACCGCGTGTGCGTGCGTCACCACGTCACTGCGCTGTGTGCGTGTCGGTCACCGCGTGTCACCGCGTGTCACCGCGTGTGTGTGCGCACGCGCATGACCGTTTGCCACTGTGTTTGTCGCCGTGTGCATCGCTGCGTGCGTGCGTCACCGTGGTGTGCGCGAGCAGCTGTTCCACGAGGAGCTGGTGCTGCAGTGGGTCGTGAGCAAGGGCTGCGTGCGCGACACGGCGCTGCAGCACGCCTGGTTCTTCTTCGAGCTCATGGTAACCGCTCGCGCATCGACATCGTCGTCATCGTCAGCTTTTTCGTCAACATCGACTATCATCGGCAACATCATCGCTGCCATTATGAACATCAACTTCATTATCGATTGCATCGTCGTTGTCAACAATGTCATCATCATCGTTGTCATCTGCTTCATCGTCAATATCCGCTGTGTGTCTTTCTCCCCTTATGTTGCTGGTTTTCGTCTATCCGTGGTGTCTGTCCATTTGTCCACCAGTCCGTTCGTCCGCACTTGCACCAGCAGTCTGTTAAGGCTATATGGGGGGGAGGGGAGGTCTTTGTCTTTGTGTTGTTCGTCTGTTCGTGCCTCTGTTCATCCTCAATCTGTCCACACATGCCTTGGTCTGTGAGTCCCTGTGTCATGTCCTCCGTGTGTCTCTGTGTCATGTCCCCCGTGTGTCCCCGTGTGTCGCAGGTGAAGAGCATGGCCCAGTACCTGTACGTCACGGGGAAGCTGGCCGCTCCACGCCGCCTCCGCTTCCCCGAGCAGTTCACCAACGACCTGCGCGCCCTCGTCACCAACGTCGCAAACGACATCATGGACAAGTTCCAGAAGGTGACGCCACTTGGCTGATTCGGAGTGACGGGCGGAGGGAAGGGGAGTGGGGAGGAGGCGGTAATTGTGGGGGCTGGCTCGGTAGAGAGAGGTCAACAACCATACGGGTGGTGCAGAGGTCACAGATGCTGAGCCGGCACAGCTGAGGTCTAGCTACCCAACCACCGTTGTTAAACAGGGTTCTAAGGTGTCGCGATTTGGTGGTCTCAGCCCGGTCGCCAGTGGCTCACACGGACAGCCCAAAATAGTTACACAGAGATCCATAGACTCGTTCAGAGACTCAGAGTCATATAAAGATTCACAGTCTTGTTTAGAGACACAAAGACATAGGCCGGATTTCTGCAAAACAACATAGGCTCACAGAGAGATCCATGACCAACATACTTACATAGAGACACATGAGAATATAGACTTAGATGCAGACCTATAGACTCACAAGAGAGACCCCATAAACGACACAGAGGGCTCATTGACTCTTGAATCCTTTGGGGACATTGACATGTCCCAGCGGTGGCGCTGTTCGCCGCTCGCTTCAGAGGATTGCGGTTCGAATTGGGCGGGCCACCCTGGTTAATACTACTGTGGGCGTATTGACCACGCGCTATCTGCTTCATAACACCCCATGACGTCACTCGAAGCAAAGAAGGCCATTGCGTGCCAGCGTCTCGGTCCAAACTTTACCCCCGAATCACTTGGTGGGGATTACACAGCAGCAGTCGGTCATCGCACCCCCCCCCCCCCCCCCCCCCACTGGCAGGGCAATGCCCGTTCACAGGCCAGATGCCGAGCCGAATCGTGCTGCACAGAGACAGCTGCCAATTCTAGATTTGAAGCTTTCGTGACTGCAAGGATTCATATTCTTAGGTTTTTTCGGTAAAGTCACGTAGGCAAAATATTAAAATTAATAAAAGTAAAATAAAATTATTTTATTTTACTTTTTTTTACTTTTTTCGGTAAAGTCACGTAGGTAAAACATTAAAATTAATAAAAGTAAAATAAAATTATTTTATTTTACTTTTTTCGGTAAAGTCACGTAGGCAAAACATTAAAATTAATAAAAGTAAAATAAAATTATTTTATTTTACTTTTTTTTACTTTTTTCGGTAAAGTCACGTAGGCAAAACATTAAAATTAATAAAAGTAAAATAAAATTATTTTATTTTACTTTTTTTTACTTTTTTCGGTAAAGTCACGTAGGTAAAACATTAAAATTAATAAAAGTAAAATAAAATTATTTTATTTTACTTTTTTTTACTTTTTTCGGTAAAGTCACGTAGGCAAAACATTAAAATTAATAAAAGTAAAATAAAATTATTTTATTTTACTTTTTTTTACTTTTTTCGGTAAAGTCACGTAGGTAAAACATTAAAATTAATAAAAGTAAAATAAAATTATTTTAGTTTACTTTTATTTATTTTAAAATAATTTTATTTTACTTTTATTAATTTTAATGTTTTACCTACGTGACTTTACCGAAAAAAACCTAAGAATAAGACAGCTGCCACTCGCAGTTCCTTTGGAATGTACGAGATGAGACGTGTCGTACGACGCCTGGAACTGCCGAGGGATTTACGCAAGCGCCGTATCAACGCGAAACATCTTCTTCGTTATGATTAGAGACTAAACCAAACTGTTTCTTATTCTACCAGGTAAGGCCCACTGAGCTACGTAGCTCTTTCTCAGAAGCGAACTGACCACAAATTATAGTTCAACTAAAATGGCTTATCGCGTGGAAATTTATAGCAGCCAAGTACTCTAAACGCGCGTAGACGTGGAGGGAAAAACCTAAGGACCCGGAGAAAAATCCACACGATCATGGGGAGAGAGAGAGAGAGACACGCAAACTCCAAATATACAGGAGTCGGGGTCGAGCACACGACCTCCTGCATACCAGGCGAGGTTGTCAATATCTCGCCACCGCATCTAATAATAAATTATAATGTTATCATTCATAATAGAGGTTTTTTGGATTAGATCGGGAAAAAAAAACCCGCTTATAGATGATATTGGTCGCGAAAGCCTACGAGTTAAACTATGTTATCATTATTGATTTGAAGCTTTCGTGACTGCAAGAATCCATACTCTTTGGTTCTTTCGGTAAAATCACGTCGGTAGAAAAAATAACAGATGAAGACGATTGCTTGCGTTGCGATCAAAACGTCGTCATCTATTATTTTTTCAACCTACGTGACTTTACCCAAAGAACCAAAGAGTATGTTATCATTATTGCCCGACGGTCATTTGGCCACGACTTGAACGGGGACGTGGTCCCGCGTCGTGTTTGCGGGGCGTGCCAGGAGCAAGAGCTGGCGGAGAAGCTGAACGTGAGCCTCGCCTTCTTCATGAACGACCTCTTCTCCCTCGTCGACCGCGGCTTCGTCATGCAGCTCGTCAAGACCTACTGCAAGCAGGTGACGCCGCGCGACGGGACGGGCGCAAACATCCCGCCGGGTAGCCCCCGAGTGCACCGGCCACTTCGCGTGCCGAACGTCGGCGCTTCCATCCGTCGTTTCGCTCGCCCGTGCTGCGCGGGAGCTTCTTGGGGGTGGGGTGGGGGGGGGGACCCGAGCCGAACCGGAAGAGCCTCCCCGGCAACGTGGAGCGAAACGTCGGACGTCACGCAGAACGACGATGACGACGCCACGCGGCGGGGGTCTTTGTCGTCACGTCGCCGTTTGGTTACAGCCCTACCAGGCCACCTGGGAATGTGATGCCCCCCCCCCTAATTCTCTCTCTTCCCCCCGCCCCCCCCAACCGCCCCCAACCGCCACCAAACCGGAAAGACGTGGAACCGAGCGAACAGCTCGCCCGGCCCCGGGGCGCTGACACCGCTGGCGTCGCTCCGCTTGGACTTCCTCCGCATCGTATGCACGCACGAGCACTACGTGGCGCTCAACCTGCCGCTCGCCTCCTCCGCCTCGTCGCCCCCCACGTCGCCCTCGCCGTCGCCCTCCGTCGCGTCGCAGGTTCCCTCCGCACCGCGCAAGGGGGGTGGGGGCCACGCCAAGAGCACGCGTCTGTGCGTGCGTGTGTGTGTGCGTGTGCGTGCGTGTGTGCGTGTGTGCGTTATCGTAGCGGTCGGCGTGCTGCGCTACAAACCCGGCGACCCGAGCACGATTCCCGCTTACGGCCACCAACACCAGTGATGGTTATCTGAACCGATCCTGGGCCCTCCCCCCTAGGTCCACTCAGACTGAAATGAGTACCTGGTGTGAGTTGTAAACGTCAGCGGTGCGGCCGGGCATAGCGCTGGCAACTCCACCCGCTCGTGTGCCGTGGCTCGCCTTAATTGGTGCTCACCGACAGCTCCTTACCCCAACGGTCCGCTAAAGGCCCCGCGGGGGATCTTTGTCTTTGTGCGTGCAGGGCTCCGGGATGTCCTCCACCGTTCAAGACCAGAAGGTGGCCAAGATGTTCGAGCTCTCCACGGAATTCCGGCAGCAGCACTACCTCACCGGCCTGCTGCTCTCCGACCTCGCCCTGACCCTCGACCCCGACTTTGCCGACAGGTGAGCGAGGCGGACGATGGGCGGATGAGTTGCCGTGGTTTTGTCCACGCTCGCTTGCTCGTCCATCGGGGGCGCACGGTCATCGGCGATGGGCATTAGCCTGCGTGCCGTCGGGTGTGAGCCAAAACCGCATCGGGGCGTCGCACGGGTTGACGAGACTCGCTCGCTCACGCGACCGTGCGAGCGTTCGTGACCGCCGGCGTGTTCCAGCTGGTCATCGACACCATGGGGCACGCGTGTCTGCGTTCGCAGTACCTCCGCGTGCGCCTGTAAGCATCCGTGTCCGTGTGTTCTCTTGTTGGTGTGCGTGCGTGTGTCCGCGTGTCCACGTGTGTGTGTCTGAGGGGAGTGCAATGGTTAGCGCGCTGCGCTAAGAAGCCGAGTTCGATTGCCGCTCATGGCCAACAGCAGTGGCGATGATCTGAATTGGCCCTGGGCCTCCCCTAGGTCGACTCAGCCTCAAATTAGTACCTGGTGCGATGTGTAAACACCGTCACTGGGGAGACCAAGGCGGCCGAGCATAGTGCTACCCACCCACCCCCTCGTGCGCAGTGCCGGCCTTCACAGCTGCTGCTCACAGCGCTCGCCCCAACGGCCTGTGAAATGGCTACACGGGGGACCTTCGCTTTTGTCTTTGCTTGCGTGTGTGCACGCGCGCCCGCAGCCTGTCGTGCCTGCAGAAGCGCGCCATCAGCGCCGTGCACGTGCTCGTGTCGAGCCACGACACAGAGCCGCGGTACTCCGCACCCGAGGTGAAGGCGCACATCGCGTCGCTCTACCTGCCGCTACTGGGCATCGTGGTGGACGCGGCCGCTCAGCTCTACGACTTCACCGGTGCCCGCCCGCCTGCAGCACGAATAACCCCACCCAAATTTGTGTGGCTCCCTCCCTCCTCCTCCATTCACTCACTCCCTCTCCTCCCCTCCATTCACTCCCTCCCTCTCTTCCCTCCCTCCACCCCATTGACTCCCTCCCTCTCCTCCATCCCTTCCCCTCCATTCACTCCCTCCCTCTCCTCCCCTCCATTCACTCCCTCCCTCTCTTCCCTCCCTCCCCTCCATTGACTCTCTCCCTCTCCTCCTTCCCCCTCACCTCCATTCACTCCCTCCCTCTCCTCCCTCCCTTCCACCCTCCCCTCAATTCACTCCCTCCCTCTCCTCCTCCCCCTCCATCTCCTCCCTCTCTCCTCCCCCCTCCACACCCATATCACCCTCTCCTCCTCATTCCCCTCTCTCCCTCCCCTCCCCCATTCACTCCCTCCCTCTCTTCCCTCCTCCCTCCATTGACTCTCTCCTCTCCTCCTTCCCCCTCACCTCCATTCACTCCTCCCTCTCCTCCCTCCCTTCCACCCTCCCTCAATTCACTCCCTCCCTCTCCTCCCTCCCCTCCATTCACTCCCTCCTCTCCTCCCTCCCTTCCCCTCCATTCTCTCCATCCTCTCCTCCCTCCCTCCCCTCCATTCACTCCCTCCTCTCCTCCTCCCTCCCCTCCATTCTCACCTCCCTCCCTCCTCCTCACCTCCCTCCCCTCCATTCACTCCCTCCATCTCCTCCCTCCTCCCCTCCATTGACTCCATCCCTCTCCTTCCTCCCTCCCTCCCCCAGCCCCACCTACTTTTACGTAGCCACACCCACACAAGCACTTTAGCCCCCACACCCACTACTCAGGTAGCCCCTCCCACGCCAGCCTTCACAGACGCTCGCAAACAGCACTTGCCCCATCAGTCTACAAAGGCTAAAGGGGGGGATCTTTGTCTTTGTGTGGCGCAGAGGGTCACGGGCAGCGATCGCGAGCCGCCCTCTCTTCCCCTGAAGACGACGAGCCGACCATCAACCAATCGGTGGCTTGCGCCATCGCGGGATCCTCACTGCTGCGGCCCGGATCCGGGGCGTCCGCACAGGTGCCTGTTCGAAGCGTGGCTTGTCGACATTGTGCGGCGCGATTTATTGCGATGCGGTGTGATGTCACGCGTGTGTGGTGCGGTGCGACAGGATTGTGACGTGGCGTGATTCAGCATGACGCGATGCGATATACGGCCGCGGTGCGAATGTGGCGTGTTGTGGCGTGACGCCACGCCACGTGACGCGATGCAGTGCGCTGCGCCCATGCTGTACCCGGGTTGTGCTGCGGTTGCGCCAAAGGTTTGACGTCCTGTGTTGTGCTACGCAAAGTGGTGCGATTTGGCGTGTCGTACGACGCCCGCGGCGTGGCGGAGTGTTACGCGGCACGGCGCTACGCGGTGTGACGCGGTGTGGCCATGACGCGGCGCACGGCATGATGCGGTTCGGCACGCTGCGCCGTCGGGCGTGCAGGCCGGCCGGGCGGGCAGCCCCATCCTCTCGCAGGAGAGCAGCCGCCACCTCCTCGCCTGCACGCTGTGGGTGCTGAAGCACGCCGAGCCCTCTCTACTGCTGGCCTGGCTGGCCGACTCGCCGGCTCCCCAGATTCAGTCGCTGCTGCACGCGCTGTTGCTCTGCGTCTCCTGCTTCGAGTACAAGGTACGGCGCCCGGCCCCTCGTGACTTTTTTTCGCCGGGCAGTGGTGCCGGCGGCTACCCACGTGGCCGGCGATCTGGCGCTGTGCAGGCGGCGGCGAGGGTCGGTGGCTTGCCGCGCGCACAAATGCTGCGAAACGCTCTTCCCGCTGGCACCGAGGAAGTGTGCCGTGCCCCGGCTCGCCAGCAGAAGGGCAGTGCGGCAAAAAGGATGTGGGATAGAGCGTTTTGCCCTCGCACGCGTGGGGTCTTTTTTTTTTTCCCCGGCGGTCCGGTTTCCTCGCAACAACACCTTAATATATAGAGGACCGCAGAGCCTGGGCAATTGCTGGCACCGAATCATCGGGCGGCTGCCTCTACCCTCTCGTCAAGGAGCATAAACTATCACGCGAACTCCGGTCACCCTCGCAGCGACTTTTGGCTGGCCATCGAACCAAGACGGTCACTGCATCGCGCGCTTTCAGATGCGCTTCTGCGGCCGTCTGGAACGCTCTTCCTTCCCATATTAGGAATCCACTAAAGCTATGCGCGCACTTTAAAATCATGAAAACTCCTTTCTTTAGAACATATTTTTTGTGTTTAGTTTGTTGTCCCTTCTCTCGCACCTCCGATTAGCACTGTTTGCAAAAGAGGTTCAACGTACATACACACACACACACACGTACCGTCGATTTCATCGGGCGTTGTTGTCGCGCGCCTCCCCTCTACCGCAGCGACGGAGCAGTTCCTCCAACCAGATCCCGCCGGCCGCCTTCATGAAGTCGCAGGACATGAAGGCGCGGCTGGAGGAGGCGATCCTCGGTGGGGCCGGCGCCCGGCAGGAGATGATACGGCGAGCGCGCACGCACGGTGATGCAACGCGCTCAACTCGTCCAAGCCGGCACCGCGCCGCACAGCACCGCACCCAACACGGCATTAGATCTTTGCGTTGGCATGCTCTGCGTCACGTGACAGACGTGAGACAAGTATCGTAAACAACAACAACAGCCGCAGTTGGCCACGAAGCGGCGGGTGATGTCACCACGGCCCTCGTGCCAGGCTATGTGCACTTTGAGGCCACGTGAAATGTCGAAGGCTCACTGCTGGCAGGAGGTCACGGGACAGACGCAGGTGCCATGGGTTGACTGACTGAGATGACTGGCAGATGCACCACCTGTGCCTCCTCCATGCCAACTTGCTGCGTTTTAGCCGCCCGACGCTCCACTCATTGTTGTGAGTGTCGTTCCTCTGCCCTCTGCTGTTGTAGGAGGGCGACTGCCTCCAACTGCACAGTAGCGTCCATAATGAGCCTCCTGAAGCATATACACATGCATAAGAGCTAAATCAAGGGAGCTTCCCTGGGTAAACAAGCATCATAATTATAACAGCAAATAGACTTGGGGCAGTGCTGTTAGTGAGCACCTCTAAAGGCTCCGATTAGCACAGTTGGCTACGTATGGTGTGAAGTAAGTTTAACATACGTACGAGACTGAAAACACATGCATATGTACACACACACAATGTCTCAGTAATTATTTGCATCTGCGGTCCTGTGACTCGGTGTGTTACAGGAGAAACGCACACACGCGTACATGATCTCGGTGTGAGTGAGCGTGTCCCTTCCGCGTGCGTGTCCCCTCCCAGGCGAGCGTGGGCAGGTCGGCTCCGCGGGGAGCACGGAGCGCGTGCGCTGGAAGAAGGATCAGACGCAGTGGAAGCAGAACGAGCGCAGCGACAAGTGAGCAGCGAGCCGCGGCGCGGGCCCACCGAGTCACGCGCGAGCACCGTACAACAACGCGCCGGGTCGCAGGCGCAATGTCACCACGAGTCGCAGACGCCAAGCAACCACACCGGCTCGTACACACGCTAGTGCAATGACACGCGCGCGCAATGACACGCTAGCGCAATGACACGCTAGCGCAATGACACGCACGCGCAATGACACGCACGTGCAATGACACGCTAGCGCAATGACACGCTAGCGCAATGACACGCACGCGCAATGACACGCACGCGCAATGACACGCTAGCGCAATGACACGCTAGCGCAATGACACGCACGCGCAATGACACGCTAGCACAATGACACGCTAGCGCAATGGCACGCTAGCGCAATGGCACGCTAGCGCAATGGCACGCTAGCGCAATGACACGCTAGCGCAATGGCACGCTAGCGCAATGACACGCACGCGCAATGACACGCTAGCGCAATGGCACGCTAGCGCAATGAAACGCACGCGCAATGACACGCTAGCGCAATGACACGCTAGCGCAATGGCACGCTAGCGCAATGACACGCTAGCGCAATGACACGCTAGCGCAATGACACGCTAGCGCAATGGCACGCTAGCGCAATGGCATGCTAGCGCAATGGCACGCTAGCGCAATGACACGCTAGCGCAATGACACGCACGCGCGCACAACCGGGCCGATTCACGAACTCCGCCGTTCTGCGTAGGTCCCGAGCCGAGCTGGAGCAGGAGGCCATCATCGACGGCAACCTAGCAACCGAGGCGAACCTCATTGTCCTCGACAGCTTGGAACTCATCGTGCAGGTGAGCCGTCTCCTCTCCTGTTCGCTCGCCTCGTCGCTGGGGTACTGCCGCCGTGTGACCGCCTGTTCCCTGGAGCTGTGTGCATTACAACATTTCTCAGCAGCGTCAAGAGCCGCACGCGCACGGATATCAATATTTACATCTGCACTGATGACAAGACTGTTTTGCCACAACACAAGCTCATCGATTTCTCCATCCATGTCGAGGTTCACACAGCGGGTCAAGGCAACACTCGGCCTCCTGCTGACTTACTCACTCACCCAACCACCGAACCACTCACCCACTCACCACACCTCACTTCTCTTTCTGCTTCTTCCCCCAGCCCTGCTCCCTCCCAACATCATCTCCTCTTTCGCCCCAAGCTCTTACGACAATAATAGCCTCGCTCGATGAGAGAAAGCCATCGTCCGTTTCGCAAAATGCGCGCGCGCTACAAATCGTGTAAATATCATCGTCGTTACCATGGTCACCGTTACGATGGCGATCATCACCATCGTCGTCGTTGCTGTACCGTTCGTCGTTGTGCGGTGCAGACGGTGGCCGTCACAGAGGCGAAGGACGGCGTGCTGGGCGGCGTCCTCAAGGTGCTGCTGCACAGCCTCTCCTGCAACCAGAGCTCCGTGTTCCTGCAGCACAGCCTCGCCACGCAGCGCGCCCTCGTCTCGCGGGTGGGGCCCCACCTCCCTACCCCCCCCCACCGCCCCCTACCCCCCCTACCACCCCTACCCCCCCCTACCACCCCCTACCCCCCCTACCGCCCTCTACCCACCTTACTGCCTCTACCGCCCCTACTGCCCCCTACCCCCCCCCTACCGCCCCCTTTACCGCCCCCTACCCCCCCTACCGCCCCCTACTGCCCCCAACCCCGCCTACCGCTCCCTACCCCCCCATACCGCCCCCTCCCACCCGCTACACCCGGTCCCGCCCCCTACCCCCCCTACTGCCCCCTACCCCCCCCTACCGCCCCCTTTACCGCCCCCTACTGCCCCATACTGCCCCCTACTCTCGCCACGCTGTGGGCCGTCGTGGCACAGACCGCGAGCCCGCTCCGCCCTCCACTCTGTCCTGATGCGCGTGTCCATCTGTGCGTACGTGCGCATCCGTGCGTGTGTGCGTGTGCGTGCGTGCGTGCGTGTGCGTGCGTGTGGCAGTTCCCAGAGCTGCTGTTCGAGGAGGAGACGGAGCAGTGCGCCGACCTGTGCCTCCACCTCCTGCGCCACTGCAGCAGCTCGCTCGTGGCGACGAGGGCCTACGCCAGCGCCTCTCTCTACCTCCTCATGCGCCAGAACTTCGAGATTGGAAACGTGAGCCTCGCTCGCCTCGCCCCCCTGACCTCTCTCGCCTCACTCGCCTCACTCACCTCGCTCACCTCTCCCACACTTCCCTTGGCTGCACAGGAGCCTAAAGTGAAAGCTGTTGCGCATTGTCCCACGTTAAACAGGAAGTCCAAAATGGCCGTTTCTTTAAACTAAAACTAAACAATGTTTTTATTTTATCAGGTAAGGCCCGCTGAGCTTTGTGGCTCTGTTTCGGAAGCGACCTGGCCACAAGTGATAGTTTAATGAAGTGTCTTATCATCATTACGTGGAAATGTATAGCAGCCAAATCCTCTAAACGCGTGATGTTGATTCTAAATGTGGAGTAAAAAACCAGAGGACCCGGAAAAAAATCCACTCGACCACGGGAGAGAGACACGCAAACTCCAAACATACAACAGCAGGCGTCAGGGTCGGGATCGAACCCACGACCTCCTGTATACCAGGCGAGGGCGTTAACATCTCTTCACCGTGAATTTATTTTCTTGTGCGTCTTTACTTACTTCCTGTTCCTGGTCCACACTGTCCCGCCCTCTAACCCCCACGCGGTCTCGCCTTGTCTTCGCGACCTCTCACCCCCGCCGTCGACCCCGCCCCCCGCCGCGCTCTCTCTCTCTGCGCTCCAGAACTTTGCGCGGGTCAAGATGCAGGTGACGATGTCGCTGGCGTCGCTCGTGGGGACGTCGGCGAGCTTCAGCGAGGACGCGCTCCGCCGCTCGCTGCACACCATGCTGGCCTACGCCGCCGCGGACGGCGACATGCAGCCCACCACCTTCCCCCTGCAGGCACGCATGGATGGATGGGATCCACGCGGCTTACACCAGGCTATATGATGCGCGGCCTACCGATGTGCGGCTTGCCAACGAGCGACTTGCCAGTGTGCGGCTTGCCAATGTGTGGCTTGGCAGTGTGCTGCTTGTCCATACGTGGCTTACCAATGGGTGACTTACCGATGCGTGACTTACCAATGTGCGACATACTATCGTGCGGCTTACCAACGAGATGCTTAATCTTGTGCGCCTTGCTATCACGCTGCTTACTGTTGCGTGGCATACTACCACGCGGAATTGACCGACTTACTTCCGTGCGGCATAGTTTACTAATGCGTGGTCTGGCTATTGGCACGGCTTACTAACATGTGGTGTGCTAACTCGCAGTTTACCAACGAGCGGTTTGCCAACACGGGTCCCGCCATCGCCCCTGCTTACTATCGCACGACTCTCCGTGCAGCTCACTAACAGGCGGTTTGCTAGGGCACGGCTTACTAACATGCTGGCCTTTGCAGCGACGACAAGCGACTTATAGCCTACCGCCTTCCCCGAGCACGGAATCCAAGGATCCTCCTGCACGGTATCCATGCTACAGCCTTATGCTGCCACCCCCCCCCCCCACCCCTTTCTGCTTTAATGCGCTCTACAATCTGGAGGTGGTAATTTGCCCGAGCCGATTTGCGCTGCGGCGGGGAACTACATTTTGCAATATTTTCATTCCCTCGTGTGATACACGTTCATCTTTGTTCCCATTTTATTTTGTACATTTTTTCTTTCGTCATTTTTGGTGACCACCGGGGGGTCGCTGTTGAACTCTCGTTAAACGTGGATGCGACAGGTGCGGGAGCTGGTGCTGAACCTGCAGACGATCCTCTCGGACACGGTGAAGATGAAGGAGTACAAACAGGACCCCGAGATGCTCATGGACCTCATGTACAGGTGCCGTCAAACTCCTCTCATCCGCCACCCCATTATCTGCCGTCACTGTTATCCGCTCAAATGACCACCGAAGCATTGAAGCCCATCTCCCGTTCACATCCCCGCGGAAGTCAGTGAGGTAGAATTCCACATTCCTATACCGGGGGGCGAGCCTACTGGACATTTGTGAAAAAAGAGCTTTATTGCCCGTCGGATTCTATCCATAGGATAACCGCCGTTGACAGAACACTTCCGAATTTGAACAGTTTATTTAGAATTTCCCTGTGAGCTAAAAACTAAAAAACTGTAAAATTTTAAACGTTTGCCATGGGTCGCATGAAATTATAAATGCAATAAATACAGCAATGAAGAAAGTCAACAAATAAAAATAAATGTACAATATATTACTTAATTATGAATTTAATATTTAACTAAAGTGAACATTAAGATTAGAGAAACATATTGCAAAATTTAGTGCATCTAGAGTGAGGAATAAGATTCGATTAAATATTGCAAAACAAGGAATAGAAACTCCTTTGGTAAAATAGTTTTCCTGTGCAAACAACAAATTGCAAGTAACCATAACACTCACCATGACGTTGCACACATTATAACAGAACAGGACTCATATACAGAATAATAATTATAAACGATTTGTTTATCATCTACTTGCTTCAGCAGTGAAGTGATACTGGTAGTAACCTCCTGGTTATACCAGCCCACAAGGGATTATTGTGTCCGTCCATCATGCATCCAAAAATGGGAGGGGTGGGGCTGGGTGGAGAGGGGAGGGTGGGGAGGAGCTGGGTGGGGAGGGAGGGGGAGGGTGGGGAGGGGCTGGGTGGGGAGGGGAGGGTGGGGCTGGGTGGGGGGTGGGAGGGCTGGGGCTGAGTGGGGAGGGGCTGGTCACCCCGTGGTGCCCTTATAAAACTCAACGTTTAACCTACTCACGCCGGCTTGTGCCCGCCCTCACAGTCGGGCATATTTGCGGAATACACCACGCCGCCGTTGACCCTGGCCATTGACCGAGCAACCCAACGTTCCTACCAGCTCCCTCCGCAGGAATGTGTTTCAAGATGATTGAGTGAAAGTGGTGATTTTATTGACCGTCCCACAGAGGGAGGGACAATCGACCGAGTCAACCCCACAACCAGGAATCCTTGCGATTGCGAGCCGCTCGCTGAAACGCTGAGCCACCTGGACTCCCGCCCCAATTGATCTGCAGAGCCTCGTGTTTTTCCTGCCGATGGATTCTGGCCGTTGCAGAGTCGGTGTAGAGAGACGGTCTCAGGCACAGAAGTAAAGCCGCACCTGAGCGACCTGGTTGCGTGCAACTGAATCTTTTGTGCGTGGACTTCTCTGCAGCCAGTTGCGAGCAGCTGGGCAATCGAGTTGCTCACGGTGTAGAGATACGTCGACCTGCTCGGCGATACGTAGCGAAGCGTTTCATCGCTAGTGATGAGTTTACGCCAACTGCGATTGGTCGTTACGAAGGGTTCGGGTGTGGCCAGCACCACGTCCGGCCGTTTGAGGCTGAGTTGATTCGGGGTAGGCCATGAGCGGGAATCGAACTCGGGTTGCCGGGGTCGTAGCGCAGCGTGCTAACCCTCACTTACACACACTCACAAAGTCAAAGATCCCCGTATATGGCTTTAGCAGACTGTTGGAGCAAGCGCTGTTAGCGAGCACCTATGAAGGCCGGCATGGCACACAAGGGGGTGGGTGGCCTACATCACACCAGTGGCGATGTTTACACACCACACCGGGTACTCATTTGAGGCTGAGTCGACCTAGGGGAGGCCCAGGATCGGTGGGTGGCCTACATCACACCAGTGGCGATGTTTGCACACCACACCGGGTACTCATTTGAGGCTGAGCCGACTTAGGGGAGGCCCAGGACCGGTTCAAATAATCGTCACTGGTGTTGACGGTGACCGGGAATCGAACTCGGCTCACCGGGTTCGTAGCGCAGCGTAGTGCTAACCGCCACCACCACCGCTCCCCAGCACCGCAAACTCACAAACGCACGCTGACACCCGCGCACGCACGCGCGCTCTCGCGTTTGCCCCGCGAGCCCGCAGGATCGCCAAGGGCTACCAGGCGTCCCCCGACCTGCGGCTGACGTGGCTGCAGAACATGGCGCGGCGGCACACGGAGCGGCGCAGCCACGCGGAGGCGGCGCACTGCCTGCTGCACTCGGCTGCCCTCGTAGCAGAGTACCTATCCATGCTGGAAGACCGGCCGCACCTGCCCATCGGCAGCGTCTCCTTCCAGGTGCGTGCGTGTGTGTGCGTGTGTGTGCGTGTGTGAGGTTGGCTACGTACGGTGTGAAAGAAGTCCGACATACGTACGTGGGACGACAGTGCGTGCGTGGGACAGGAGTGTGCGTGGGACAGGTGCGTACGTGGGCTGGGTATGTGCGTGGGACAGGTGTGTGCGTGGGATAAGCCTGCGTGCAGTGTGTGTGGGACAGGAGTGTGCGTGGGACAGGTGCGTACGTGGGCTGGGTATGTGCGTGGGACAGGTGTGTGCGTGGGATAAGTCTGCGTGCAGTGTGCGTGGGACAGGAGTGTGTGTGGGACAGGAGTGTGCGTGGGACAGGTGCGTGCGTGGGACAGGAGTGTGCGTGGGACAGGAGTGTGCATGGGACAGATGCGTGCGTGGGACAAGTGTGCATGGGTCACGCAGTGGTGAGCGCTACGAAACCGATGACCAGAGTTCGATTCCCGCTCACGGCCACCAACACCGGTGACGATTATCTGAACCGGTCCTGGGGCTACCCTAGGTCGACTGGGCCTCAATTGAGTACCCGGTGCGGTGTGTCAACATCGCCACGGCCGGGTGTGGTGTTGGCCTCGTGTGCTGTGTCAGCCTTCATAGGTGCTCGCTGACAGCACTTTTCCCAACAGTTAAGGCTATACGGGGGATCTTTGTCTTTGCTGTTGTTCACGTTGTTGCTGCTGCTGCGGTGGTTGTGTGCTTGTTGCACGGGGATGTGTCGTGCCACCCGCGGGGGGGATAGAGGATCTCGGGGAACGTGCTGGAGGAGTCGGCCGTGTCGGACGACATCCTCTCCCCCGACGAGGAAGGCATCTGCTCCGGCGGATACTTCTCGGAGAATGGCCTCGTGGGATTGCTCGAGCAGGCTGCCAACGCTTTGAGCATGGTACACACGCCAGCCCCCCAACCCACACACTAGCCCCCCAACCCACCCACCAGCCCCCCAACCCACCCACCAGCCCCCCAACCCACCCACCAGCCCCCCAACCCACCCACCAGCCCCCCAACCCACCCACCAGCCCTCCAACCCAGGCACGAGACCTCCAACCCATCCGCCAGCCTTCATGAATTAGTTCAAATTTTCGTTATTGCTCAATTGGTTATGTGAGTTGTACATTGCAATTGTCGTCCCTTTACTTGCAGACTAATAGCTGTTTGCAAGCCACGTGCTAAGTTTCCTTGTGCACACAGGGACAGCTGCCACTGAATTCATTAATTCGATCATGCGTTCATTCATTCCTTTGTTAATTCTTTCACTCATCCATGCGATCGTCCGTGCGTTCGTTAATTCTTTGTCCATTCACTCGTGCGTTCCTGCATTCGATCGTTCGTCCGTAATGTGTGCGTGATCCCCCCTGCGACCCCCCGCGCCCCTCCCCCCCTCCCCCCCCACTAGGCACAGATGCACGAGTCTGTGAACGAGGTGTACAAGCTGCTGATCCCCGTGTACGAGGCGAACCGCGACGCTCAGCGCCTGGCCAGCATCCACGGCAAGCTGCAGGACGCCTTCAACAAGATCGTCACCCAGGTGGGGGCCACACATCAGTCAGTCAGCCGGGTAATCCGCTTGTTTCCGGTGAGGCCCATTCAGCCAAGAAGCTCTTGTCTTACCTATGGAGACCCCGCCAAAGCGGTCGATAAGATGGTGGCGAGTACGTTACATGGGAGGGTTTACAGGTGCTGTGTAGAGTGGCTGGTCTAATGGTAGCCAGCGCGCTACATGAGGAAGGAGGGTTGACAAAGGCTGTATAGAACAAACTGCGGGGGCAAGTGCTGTTAGCGAGTAGCACCGATGAAGGCCGGCACGGCACACAAGGGTGCGGCTGGCCGCCACCACGCCTGGCCGCCTTTGTCTCCTCAAAGTGGCGATGTTTACACATGGCATCAGCGACTCATTTGAGGCTGAGTTGACCTCCCCACACAGGCAGTGTGAGTCAGGAGAGAGAGGTGAATGAATAAACAACCAAATATATAAATATATAGATAAGTTAATAAACGAACTACGGGATCTTTTCGCGCGACTTTCGTCATTTAGGTGACCTGGGTATAACTCTCTCATGACCTCGCTCTCTCTGAGCCTCACCCCGTTCCGCAAAAATCAACTTGACACGTCTCCTGTGCGTCTCCGCCACCGCCCGTAGGACGTGAAGCGGATGTTCGGCACCTACTTCCGCGTCGTTTTCTACGGCGCCAAATTCGGTGACCTCGACGCCACGGAGTACGTCTACAAGGAGCCGTCCATCACCAAGCTGCCCGAGATTTCGCACCGCCTGGAGGTGCCGACCTGATGGGCCGTAGCCCTAAACAAGATACGGTCGTGATCCTTCACGTGTAGATTTTTGGGGTTAGGCCACGTCGTCCTTAAGACCCCCCCCCCCCCCACACCGGCCGACACAGCCGAACAAATGAAGTTCTCAAGTGTGTGTGTGTGAATTGCATTTATTTAAATGTTTTCTAAAAATTCCAATAATTTGTACTTTTGGTATTGGCATCGTTCATGTAGCACGCGTGCTCTCATCACGAAGGCGCTGTGTTTCACAGATGGTTATAGTCGGGCAGTAGGGGGACGACGTTGCTCATGCATGTACGTTGAACTTCTTTCGCACCGTACGTAGCCAACCATGCTAATCAGAGGTTCGGGGGAAGGACAGCAAACTGAACACAAAAAGCAGTTCTAAAATTAAATGAGTTTTCAATCGAGAATTTGAAAGTGTAAAGCTCCAGTGGCTTCCTAAAATCGGAAGGGGGAGCATTCCAGACGACCGCAGAAGCGCATCTGAGAAAAGTTCACAAGCATTGAACGCTGTTGATTCCACTGGTCAACAATAAAAAAACACTTTTTTCTGGCCTGCACTTTTGCAGCTGTTTTAGACTAATTTCAGGGTGCTGATTCCAAATCTGATCTCAGATTTGCTCTATCGCATCTCATTTTATGCTATCGGCATACCCCATTTTCATTGATTTTACCCGAAATTAACTCTGTCACTTATGATTGCAAGTTGTTACGAGTGAGTGACTGCTTTAGTGTTAAAATATGGTGCTGTATTTTTAGAATAGTGTGTTTATAATATCATTTTATGTAGATATTTACATTTATTTAATATCTTTCTTCTGCAGTTTTTATTGAAAATGCAATATTTGATATCTCAAAAACCCTGATGTGATAGACAAAAACTGATGCCAGATTTCGAATCCGCACCCCAAAATTACCTTAAACCCGTTGGAATACCTTATGCCAGAAAATGTGTGTTGACCAGTGTTCTGCTTGTGATCCGATTCCTGTTCTACTGCACTCTGCTGCCACGTCTATGCTGCCCGCCTTTAGCCAACCCGCACCGAGCAGCGTGCAGAGATTGCTCGGTCAAAATAAGCGTCCCATGGACGTGCACGGTGTCGCGAGGCCCTTGTCCATCAGCGGATTGACAATAGGGTCAGGGGGGGCGACCTCTGTCTTTGACCAAAATAGTTTGAGAGTCGCATCACACGCAGAGCTACCGGTAGACGTACACGAACATAGCAGGTATACTGCAGAAAACAAAACACGTTTTGACTTCAATAAGCAAAATGGGTGATGGAATAAACTGCATCTGTTTAATTCCCCCCCCCCCCCCACATCGGTCATTCTTTAACAATCTAATTTCACTGTTGTACATTTTGTCGTCACCAAGGCCATTCCGCAGTGACCCCATTCCCTGCCGTATTTCATCGATTATCTTCACGTAAAGTTACGTTTAAGATTTACGTTTTTTGTTTAAAAAAGACAAAACGGCTGCCCGCAGGCATTCTACGGACAGAGACTTGGGGCGCGGTACGTGGAGGTAATCAAGGACTCCTGTCCCGTGGACACTGGAAGCCTGGACCCCAACAAGGTTCGTACAACCTCCTCGGTTTTTTTAACGCATAGCCTTGTTTAATGTGACCTTTTTTGCCCGTATCAAAGTATGAAAAGGTAAAAATAGGTTTTACCCTTTCTGGCAATAAGACAGGAGGTGTTAAGATGTTCAAACACCAAATAGAAACCTGTTGCAAGGAATCAAGTCTGCATCAACCACACGTACTTGTGGTGAACGTGCAAACAAACATGCTGTGATAATAGATGGCATTGTCTTTGAAACTGATTGGCCTACACCAGAGACAGTCTTCTCTAGGGCTTCGTCTCACCAGTGGTAACACGCGAACACTCACACAGTGATAACACACAAACACCCACACGGTGGTAACACACGAACACCCACACAGTGGTAACACATGAACACTCACACAGTGGTAACACACACAAACACCCACACAGTGGTAACACACAAACACCCACACAGTGGTAACACACGAACACTCACACAGTGGTAACACACGAACACTCACACAGTGGTAACACATGAACACTCACACAGTGGTAACACACACAAATACTCGCACAGTGTTAGCACACAAACACCCACACAGTGGTAACACACACAAATACTCGCACAGTGTTAGCACACAAACACCCACACAGTGGTAACACACAAACACCCACACAGTGGTAACACACAAATACTCGCACAGTGTTAACACACAAACACCCACACAGTGGTAACACACACAAATACTCGCACAGTGTTAACACACGAACACCCACACAATGGTAACACAAACACCCACAGTGGTAACACACAAACACCCACACAGTGGTAACACACAAATACTCGCACAGTGTTAACACACAAACACCCACACAGTGGTAACACACACAAATACTCGCACAGTGTTAACACACGAACACCCACACAGTGGTAACCCACACGAACACCCACACAATGATAACGCACACACAAATACTCGCACAATGGAAACACATTAAAGCACCCGCGCCGTTGCTGACTGTAGCTGCGCGTGTGTCAGGCGTACATCCAGATCACGTACGTGGAGCCGTACTTCGAGGCGTACGAGGCGAAGCACCGCGTGACCCACTTCGACCGCAACTGGAACCTGCGGCGCTTCATGTTCGCGACGCCGTTCACGCGCGAGGGCCGTGCCCGTGGCGAGCTGCGCCAGCAGTACAAGCGCAAGACGCTACTCACCACCTCGCACGCCTTCCCCTACATCAAGACGCGCATCCAAGTGGTGCATCGCGAGGAGGTACGACGTCCCGTCCCACCCCCCCCCGTCCCTCGTGACGGCAGGCGCCGTTGCATCGCCTTGGCTTACATGTTTTTGTCGCGGTCGAAACACCAAAATGCAAAGCTTAGTTTTCAAATGTTTTCCTTCTGATTAGTATAAGCAATAAACTCAACTGTATTTGTGCCAAATTGTATCTTTCACATGCTGCACTTATGAACACGCCAATTCGAGTTCCATTCCTGATCGTGGTTCTGGGCCCTGCCTCCACCCCACTCTTCACCAACCACGGTAGCGAGATGTTAACTACCTCGCCTCGTACGCAGGAGGTCGTGGGTTCGATCCCGACCGTGATGCCTGCTGTATATTTGGAGTTTGTGTTTCTCTCTCTTCCCGTAGTGGCGTGGAGTTTTTCTCAGGGTCCTCTGGGTTTTTTCCCACTCCACATTTAGAATCAACATGCGTTTAGAGTATTTCGCTGTTATACATGTCCACATCATGAGCCACTTTGTTCAGCTATCATTTGTGGCCAGGTCGCTTCTGAAAAATAGCTATATAGCTCAGTGGGCCTTACCTGGTAAAATAATACGTAGTCAAGTTTTAGTTTAGTTTGTAATAACAATAACAATGATAAGAATAATTTAAACTTGTAACGCGCCACCACCACACCGTCAGTTGTTTGCTCTCGGAGAGAGAGAACAGCTCGGAGGCACTCCCGTGAGTCCAGTCCACCACGAATGCACTGCGCCAGTTTCGTGCGAGGGGGCAACGCTTTATCCCGTAACAGGTGGAACAGATGGGAGTCCACATTTGCTGTAGCGCCTTCTCCTGGCAACTCGGGGTATGGCAGCACCTCGACAGCAAGCGCTTGTTAGGCTATATTAGGTTAGATTGCCAACGCGGTTCGGATTCATGGAGCAGTGTAAATGGGAACGCATCTCAGGACGCCGTGCGACGGTTTGTCATGCGATTGTTTAGTTTGTTGTCCTTCCCCCGGCACCTCCGATTAGCACGGTTGGCTACGTATGGTGTGAAAGAAGTTCAACATACGTACAGATGTATACATACATCCATAAGTTGCTTACCGCTGGTAAAGCGCCCTGGGCCGCCGCGGCGTGAAGGGCCCTCTATCAAAAACATTATTATTGCTTCCAGCGGTCACGAAAACAATGACAATAATAACACGAAAAAAATATGAAGGAGCTGCTAGCTCAGCATGTGTCCCAGTTGAGCCTCCCAGAAATGCGGTAGCCTCATTATAATTTCGCTGTGTTCATCTTATTGTAGTAGTAGTAGTATTATTATCGTAATCACGAAGCTTGTTTCCTGAGAAAATCCCCTTCCGAGTCTCACGACTCATTGCAGGAGGGCCCTCCAAAGTTTGTTTCCGCAATGGTGGGCGACGGTTGCTCTGCATAATGCCAGTCGGGTATTTTGCGGCGAAATTTGTTTTAAATAAAAATTTGACAAAGTTGAACTGCGGCGCCGGTGCGCAACGGCCTGCTCTTGCGTTTGGCGTCGCGAGATTGTGGCGTTTTCCGCGTGTAGCATTTTTACCGTTGATACACCGGCCAGCGTTAATCGGGGCCGGCCGCTGGAATTAAACCGCAAACGAGCGAGCGAACACGCCACTGCTCCGCCGTGTCAGCGGTCTATGACGGGCTCTTGCGGTCCTATTGCGTCTCGTTGGCAGATCGTCCTCACTCCCATCGAGGTGGCCATCGAGGACATGCAGAAGAAAATCAGCGAGCTCGCCGTGGCCACGCATCAAGAGCCGCCGGACCCCAAGATGCTCCAGATGGTCCTGCAGGGATCCGTGGGGACAACCGTCAACCAGGTAATCTGGTTGGGCGAGGGGACAGCGTAACAGGTGGGCCCCGTGGCTCGAGAAGGGGTGGTGGGGGGAGTTCACAATGGCTGCGTTGGAGGCTCTGAGCCGGCACCGCTGGGTAGCCGAGTTCAATTCCAGGTGTCAGCTGCCCAACTATGGTTAAACTGCTTCCTCATATCTAGTGAGATGATGGTCTCAGCCTCGTCACAGCCACATGACCATGGCCCTAAATCTGACCCTGCATATCAACCCAAAACCCTGACTAGCCCTGACCCAAACCATAATTGTGACCATGACCCTAACCTTTTCCCCTGACTCGTAAGCTTGTCCCTAACTCTGAATCTTGTCCTCAACCCTATCTCCGATTATCTTGGTTGGCTACGTACGGTGCGAAAGAATTTCAGCATAAATACATCTATAACCTTTTCCATAATCCATAACCCCATCTCTAACCCTAACCCTGTCTCTAACCCGGACCCTGTCCTTTGCCTGCTGCCCGCTCCCCAGGGTCCGCTTGAGGTGGCGCAGGTCTTCCTGTCGGACATCCCCACCGACCCCCGGGATTTCCGCTTCCACAACAAACTCCGGCTGTGCTTCAAAGACTTCATGAAGAGGTGAGGACGCGTTGAGCTCGCCCCACGCGACCCGCACGGGGATGGTCACGGTGGTGGAGCGGTGATGGCCGCGGCTGCGGTGTGATGGTACTGTCGATGGTAATTGCCGAGATAGCAGTGGTGGCGAGTTGTCAATAAACGACGGGCTTGGGCAATGCCAAAAGGAACGGAATGCTTCCGGGAGGATGTCCGTCGCAGAGGTGGAGCGATGAAACCGGCGAGTGAAGGTGCAAGGTGGATCGTAAGTTCGCACGATGACGGGAGAAATGGCGGCGGCAGCTTTGGAAGGTCTTCGTCCAGCAGTGGATAGCTCATGGCTGATGTTGATTAATAAACGCTAACCCCGGTTACGACTTAACTCTAACCCTAAATCAAATACATTCAAATTAACTCTAACCCCGGTTTTACATATGATCTGACAAAAAAAACGGTTGCGCTGGGTGGGACGCTTATGCAGGATGGTGGTGAAGGCCGATTGCCGAGAGAGGCATTAGAGTGGTCTCCACGAGTCTGGTGTCCAAGGGGGAGACTTAAGAGCAGATCGTGGGATATCGTTCGGGCAGAACTATGGGTCTCTTGAGTGAGTCTATGGCAGTCTGTGAGTTTGTGTATTTGTGTGTGCATCAGCCAGTCATCTCAGTCAGTCGACCCGTGGCACCTGTGTCTGCCCCGTGACCTTCTGCCAGCGGGCGTTCGACACTTCACGCGGCCTCAACGTGCACATAGCCTGGCACAAGCGTCGTGGTGACGTCACCGCCACTTACTGGCGAATGGCGGTTGTTGTTGTTGAATTTGTGAATCTATAGGACTCTGTGTGAGTCTATGGCTGTTTGTATGATTATATGGGTATCGATGTGAGTCTGTGGGTCTCTGTGGGAGTCTGTTCTCTATGGGAGTCTGTGGGTCTCTATGGGAGTGTATGGCTGTCTGTGGGAGTTTATCGGTCTCCGTGTGAGTCTAAGAGCAGGTGATGGAATGAGGCTGTCAGGGCAGATCTTGCAGCTCGCTGCAAGTCGACTGCGTGTGGGGAGAAAATCCCTGGCGATGAGGTGCGGTGGTGGTGGCATCGCCGGATTTATCCACGATGACCTCTTGACCTCGTTACCGCACGGCCAGGTGCCGTGACGCGCTCAAGAAGAACAAGCACCTGATCGCCATGGACCAGCACGAGTACCAGAAGGAGCTGGAGAAAAACTACTTGCGTCTTGTGGACGCCCTGCACCCCATTATCGATCGCAAAATCCCAGAGCTCTACAGACCCGTCGAGGCCTTCACCTGTGCCAGGTGAGGAGAGAGACGGAGGAATCCTCAAAGTGCCCTAGTCTGGGGCTCTGTTAAGTCTCGGGGATTAAAACCGAATTACGAAGATTCATAAATGCACCTTCATGAGGCTCTATGAGCCTCGGGCCTTAACATTGAACCCAAAGAAATTAAAAGATGTCCTGAGACGTGGTTCATGTTTGAGTAGTCAGTACATTGACCCATATCTGTTTTGTATTGGGTTAGGCCAAGTGGTCGTGTGTTTATGTAGCCATAATTCTTGTCGTTAACCCTCTACCACGTGACAAGATTATCACGTTTAAAAAAATGCTATTTATTTACGTGCCGATGTGTTGATCAAATTCTGACCACGATGATGTTTCAAATCTCCCAGCAGGGAATCGTTCAAGAGGCAGAACCCCAGGCTCACACAGTGATACGGCAGTGACAACACAACGGGGGCTTAGTCGTGAGCGCCGCTGCCGGGTATTAATCGGAGCGATAGCGCCACGGCAGGGGGAATGTGGGGGGCGTGCGTGGGGCGGCGGGGGGGGGGGGGGTGCGGTTTCGAGGCATGGCTCCTCAGGATTTTACTGGAGCGTTTACCGCTGCCTTCATTTACACTGGAGCGATCTGAATGTGGACACCGCCAGTTGCCTCGCGTAACGGGCCGAAGCGTCGGGCAGGCTGTCGCCCCTGAGGCCTTGTCTGTTTTTTCGGCACGGGGCGGAACTTACCTTTGCACAAAGATTGCGTCGACGTGGTTTTGTTTTCGCACGAAAGCCTCGTTACAATATTTATGGCGGCCGTTTTGTGCGCGTGATTGCCAATGCTTTAGGGAAATGAGATTAGGATTTTATCGGTATCCCTCTTGCATTGAAACACTGAGGTTTTTTTTTTACGCCCTTAAATGTTAACACTTTTAAGTGCAACAACAAAGCAAATGTATTATTTAGAGGCCTTTGTTTAATCCGCTCCTGCGTGGGGGGCCTCACCGAACACTGCATCGGCTGTCGGAGGTCGCTTGACTGTTACTTCCACACCACGCCGGTCGGTATAGGTTGGTGGTGCGTGGAGCATAGATGTTGGAGCATAATACAGTGCAACAATGGATTTTGCTGCACCGCGAGCCACTGGCAACTTGGCCAAACAGCAACAGCCTATACATGGTGGTCGCCCATCCAAGCACTTTCCAAGCTCAAGCCTGCTTAGCTTCTTAATTCTGATGATATCGGGTGCATTCTGGGAAAATTGATCTTGGCTTGGGTCTAATAAACAATTACACTTTGTAATTAACACTTAAAAGAGTTTTTAAGCAACCATTTGCAGGTTCTTGCCAAAACATTCCGTTGGCCATCGCCAAGTATCAATGTTGTCGATCAAAGCGCAGCAAGGTTCCTTTTTTATTATTATTATTTGTATCTTTTAAACACGTTTGTGGATTTGCCACGTGCCCGTGTTTGCATCGAAGCCATACTTTGTGTATTAAGCCACACACCAAAAAGCATGCACGCAGACAATTCATTATTGAGTGAGCCTCTTTGATTGGAAGGTGCTAACGTATGGCAGAGACTTATTGTGAACCAAATCACCATCGCAGCCCTTGATCCACCCACTACTGCATGATGAACTCCAAAAATAAACCTGTCAGTCATGGGGGTTGTTTGACCATACTTTGCCACGCTTAGTCAGTGTGGGTTGGTGAAGGTGGAGGGCATAAGATGTGGAAGCATCGATGTTGCGGTGCTGTCCTCTGCTGGCCATCTCCTAGCCTCACAGCACTATGACAACCTGTTATACGTGGTGGTGGTGGTGGTGGTGATTACCCATCCAAGCCCTATCCAGGCTCAACTCTACTTAGCTTCTGAGTTCTTGCGAGATCTGTGTGCATTCCCGGTCATTTGTTCACTGGGCAATCGCAAATCATTTCTAAAGCAACCAACGTATGTATTCAAGATGAGTGAAAAAAATCAACACATTTGCACTGTTCATGTGATATTGATGATTGTCCATCCACGGCAATCGTCCTGCGGACAAACCTGCCCTTGCCGTGGTAATGTGGAATTTCCGCCGTTGGCCCAGGGCCTAGGAATGGAGATGTCGCCCAATATTGCTCGTTTGAGCAGTGGGACACTGACGTGTATTGTGACTATTATTACTGTTGCAGTGCAACGTCACATCCGACTCACTTGGTAATGAGGCGTAGGCGGATATGTGAAAAGGCCAGATATTTTATCATCTGGCAACTGCACCACGTGCAAATACTTCACTGGGCGGGGGTGGTTAATTGGTCATGGGAGGGTATGTTACGGTCGGATATTCGGCGTTGTACTTATTTCGGTACTTTCTTGTCCATGGACAGGTATGGGTTGAACACCTGCAAGTTCACACCTGTGCGCCTGTACTCAGCAATGGCCGCCCTTGTACTACTGTGTTAAATTACGTGGGCTCTGAGCCACTTCGATGGCGTCAAGTCCGCGGGTATCCTGTAGCGTCGGGTCGTGTATCTTTTCTGAGCAGAGCTGCGTTACATTCCGAAAAAGAAGATCCCAAGTCCTTAAAATTCCAAATGATGAGAATTTTTATTATTATCTGAAAGTCATTCCTTTGGTAGCTGCACAGCCGAGCGGGCTGTGTGTGCCGGGCTCTATGACAAGAGGTTTAAGCATCGTTCTCGGTGAAAAATACTTCAAAAGGCTCGGTTAGTTCAATTGTTATTGCCACTCTTGTTCTGTCAATAGAGTGTGCCACATACATTTTTTTAATTTAGATTTAAAGCTTTCGTGACTGCAGGGATTCATCTTCTTGGTTTTTTCGGTAAAGTCACGTAGAAGGGAAATAATAAAATAATAAAAATTCAACATAATAAAATATAAAACATAATAAAAAATGATTATGTTTTATTTTTATTATTTTATTATTTCCCTTCTACGTGACTTTACCGAAAGAACCAAGAAGATGAATGTCTTTGTTTGTTACGAATATAGGCACCCGCTTTGTTCCCCTGATCGTGCTGTCGGCTTTGTGTATCGAGACGAAGAATCAATCGGGATCTCGCGCAGAGCAACAGTCCGGCCCCGTCGTGCTCTCGGGTAACGGTCCACAAAAGCGGATGTCATAGAACTACCTTTAAGATCCCTTCTCACATCCTCTGGTCCACACGGGAGGCAGAGGTCGCAACCGGGTACCCGATACCCGTACCCTACCCGATACCCGGCTACCCGTACCCGGCCGGGTACGGGTACCCATTTGCGACCCTGGTGCGGCCGGGTACGGGTAAGGAATCAAAACCCGTTTGCGACCTCTGACAGGAGGACATCAGACCGTTCCCACCAACCCACCCTGCCACAGGGAGTAACGTTCGTCACATGGCAATGTTTAATTGTCAGACCTGGAACTTAGTCAAATTGAAGTGCAGAGCCAAATAAAATTTGATGATTTTTATTGTGCAGTCATTGGGCTTACGCTGTCAACTTGCCAAACGTAAACACTCCACGATATTTTTGATGTCACTGCGGAGCCACGAGGTCATGACTGAAAGTATTTTTTTTTTCCCCCTCGACAGTGAAGATTCGATTTTGCGTGGGACAGCCCGGGGACACACAGCCTAGGTGTGTAGCGAGCTACAAGATGAGAGCTATTTGTGTTTTTTGCGTGTGTTATCTTCCTGTCAGTGATGGGACTCGTGTAAGGTGATGTCAGCAGCATAATTGTGTGTGCACTGTTATTTCGCAAATATATGTTTCCAATAAAAATGCTTTTGTTACAATGTTGGTTTCGGTCCTATCAATTGTGCAGTCACCACCCACACTTCACGTGGCCTCATACTTCGTCATCGCGACTCTCCACTGCTGGATTAAGGCCTCCCCAAGCCACCGCCGCCACTGCCGCCACCCATCACAGTTCCGCGATGCAACGACCCATGTCGATCTCCACACGCGAGTTCATTTCATCGCTCCATCTCCGTCGGTGGCAGTACGATTGGACAACATACTCTTTGGTCAACACCCTGTGTTGCTTTGGGGCCGTCCATAAAAGACGTCACGCGATTTTGGACGATTTTTGACCCGCCCCCCTCCCCCTTCGTCACACGGCGTCACAAAAAGTCAGACCCTCCCTCAAATATGACGTCACAAAGCTCTGCCCCCCCCCCCAAAACAAAAAACATGCTTCAAATCGCTTTAAACTATTGTCATTGTAGTGCGTATTTAACGTGGCGCTGCACTCTGATGTTGTAGGAGAAAACATTTATTTAAAAGTCTATTTAATTAAGTAGAACGTGTTGTCTATTTAAAGTTGCGCATTTTTATGTGACGTCACATTTCTCACCCCCCCCCCCTCGTCACAAATGTCTGACCCCCCCCCCCCCCCTAGAAGCGTGACGTCATTTATGGACGGCCCCTTTCACATTTCTCCCCGGCACGATGCGGTGTGGATTTATTTGGCATCTAGATGCGACCGCACCTCGGGACGTCGTACAGAAACGGAGTGGCATTAAGCACTTTTATACCTAATACCAGGGGCGGTTTCTTCATTAGGGCGATTGGGCGACGCACCACCAATGTCATTCAACCACAATCACGCTAGCCGTCACTGTGCAGCCTCTGGATATAGTCCAATCAGCGTCATGTCACGTTCTGTGGAGTACCGCCTCTTTTGGGGCGATTTCACTCCGGCTGAGAATCGCCCCGAGTGGCCCCATAGACTTACATTGAAAGATGTTTTTTTTCGAACGGGGGCGCTCCAATGCATTATCTATGGCTTCCGGGAGGGCAAGCCCTAACGTGCTTACGTCATCATACGTGCTAACGTCATCATACGTAAGCACGTTTCATCCAACAATATAATTTATCGCTACCTAGTGGAATCTTTAATAAAATAAACTTGAGTGGTTTGTTTTAATAGTGAGTATATAAACAAACAAGATGTATTGTAAGAGTCACTTTATTTTTCATTAATATTAAAGAAGTGAAGTTCCCTTTACATGCTTAAGCTGTTAATTTATTCATTGCATGGGTGGACCTTATCCTTATCAATCATCCAGACATTTGCCCCCCCTGAGAGATTTTGCAGGAGCCGCCACTGCCTAATACCTGAACACAGCACACAATCTTGGAACATCTGCAATTATTTGAGTGCAGCGGTGGTAAGATGTTAACTCCCTCGCCTGGTATACAGGAGGTTGTGGGTTCCATCCAGACGATGCCTGGAAATTTGGAGTTTGCATGTTCTGCCCGTGGTCGCGTGGATTTATTTTTCTCCAGGTCCTCCGGTTTTCCCCCTCCACATTTAGAATCGACATCACGCGTTTAGAGATATTTGGCTGCTTATAAATGTCCTAAAGCCCATTCGTTGAGCTGTCATTTGCGATAGCCAGGTCGCTTATATAAATGGCGTGCCTAAATGAACAATGATAAGCACATGTATTTGTCCAGCAACACATTTCAGAGACAATTACTCGAGACTTGTGGCGTGTAGAAATCTCTTGAGAGGCGGTGGCAGATTGGAGAATCGTTCATCCAGCTGTGGATCGATCACGGCTGATGATGCAATCGATTAATTTGGATGAGATTTTTTTTGTTACGAAAATTAAGCTACCACTCAATTCCATAATAATCGACTCGTTCGTGAATCACACTGGCCTTAAAATAAAAATCTGGGTAACACTTCAGGCAAATGTTTCCCGATAAACAACTTTTAAATTGGCACTTTCATCGTTTCGTATTAGTAGTTGTCGCGAAACAGATAATGTAAGAACCTTACATCATTTAGGAATGTTTTTTGTATCCACTAATTTGCATTGAAAATTTAATAGAAATTAGCTTGCACATTGTATTATGAATGTTGCAGTGAGGTCAATGAAACCCGCATCAAAATGACCCCTCCCTGGGCCCAATTATCATTCCAGTACCATTCTAGTAACACCACGTATCGAACACGCGATTTTATATATATACAAAAGAGAACGATACATTTCTTGAGTTAAATCGTTGAGTAAATAATTGGACATCTCTTTTTTTTGCAATCGTAAATCTCCTATCAGTCAATCAGTCACCGTCATCACATCTCGACGTGTGCTTCCGCGGCGGCCATATTGCTCAGGGGAAGCCCACTCCACGTTCCCTTGGCCGATGTCGATGCAGAGCTTCAATTTCGCATTCTGGTGGTGAAATTCTATCATATGGCTGATAGAAGATGCAGAGCTAACAACGACAATTTCACATTCAGATGGTGATATTCTTCGGTATGGCTGATGGAAGATGCAGACCTAACAACTACAATTTCACATTCAGATGGTGATATTCTTTGGTATGGCTGATGTGGATGTAGAGCTACAATTTCACATTCAGATGGTGATATTCTTTGGTATGGCTGATGGAAGATGCAGAGCTAACAACTATAATTTCACATTCAGATGGTGATATTCTTTGGTATGGCTGATGTGGATGTAGAGCTACAATTTCACATTTAAGTTGTGATATTCTTTTGTATGGCTGATGCAGATGCAGAGCTAACAACTATAATTTCACATTCAGATGGTGATATTCTTTTGTATGGATGATGTAGATGTAGAGCTACAATTTCACAATCAGATGGTGATATCATTTCGTATGACTGATGCAGATGCAGAGCCTAACAACGACTATTTTACATTCAAGTGGGGATGGTATTCTATCGTATGACCGATGTAGATGCAGAGCTACAATTTCACACTCAGGTGGTGATATTATTTGGTATGACCGATGTAGATGCAGAGCTACAATTTCACACTCAGGTGGTGATATTATTTGGTATGACCGATGTAGATGCAGAGCTACAATTTCACATTCAGGTGGTGATATTCCATCATATGGCTGATGCAAATGTGGAGCTACAACTACAATTTCAAAATCAGGTGGTCGTGTCAGAATAACTGCGTCAAGAGTAGCAAGCAAAGTAGTGTATCGCTGTGATGTCTCCTTCGTATTTGTGGATCGGGGTCTCGCGCCGGTATATACGTTGTGCTGTCTGTTCTGGATGACTAACAGTCGTATGCTACTGGATAGTTTTTATTTATTTTCCATTTGTGCATCAGGTCTGCTGCCATGGTTCGTGCAGCGGATGCGGTTTTAGTGTGGACCATGGGCCGTCCGCCTGATGATGCTAATTGTAATTACTGGCGAAACGTCGTACTCGAATTATAAATGTCGTGGGTTTACTCTCCCAACACATCGATGTGCTGAATGAGTAACGAATTGCCATGTTTGGTTTACGTGACAAATCTTGCTAATTGGCTATGTGTTGGGTGGTGGCGGGTTTAACGACACATTTATATTTACGTGATCTAACCCAAAAAAATACTCTACAGGAATTCCTCTAGTTACGAGCATACGACTTACGAACTTTTAGAGATATGAACAAACCTGTCCATATGTCCAGTTGACTGTTCGGACCGAGAGTCCTAAGTTCGACCACCGTGCAATAGATGGCGTTGGTGGCATCTACATCTGCAGAACGTGAAGAACCAGTGGCATCTACATCTGCAGAACGTGAAGAACCAGTGGCATCTACATCTGTAGAGAGTGAAGAACCAGTGACATCTACATCTGTAGAGAGTGAAGAACCAGTGGCATCTACATCTGCAGAACGTGAAGAACCAGTGACATCTACATTTGTAGAGAGTGAAAAACCAGTGGCATCTACATCTGTAGAGAGTGAAGAACCAGTGGCATCTACATCTGCAAAACGTGAAGATCCAGTGGCATCTACATCTGCAGAACGTGAAGAACCAGTGGCATCTACATCTGCAGAACGTGAAGAACCAGTAGCATCTACATCTGCAGAACGTGAAGAACCAGTGGCATCTAAATCTGCAGAACGTGAAGAACCAGTGGCATCTACATCTGCAGAACGTGAAGAACCAGTGGCATCTGCAGGAGACGACATTTTTAAAGCTATTCCCCGTGTTAAGTGCACACGCCGTGCAAAGTGTTTGCAATCAACAGGGAGTAAAGAACACATCGACTTACGAACAGACCTCCGGGACAACTCATAAGTAGAGGAACCGTACGGATAGGAGTTGTTCGTAAGTAAATGAGTCGTTCGTAAGTATATATAGAAGTCGTAAGTAGATGCGTCGTAAGTCGAGGAGTACTTAAGTTGATTAGCCGTAAGTAGAGGCATTGTTCGTAAGTAGAGGAGACAGACGTAAATTAATTAGCCGTAAACAGAGGAGTTGTTCGTAAGTAGAGGAGTCCCATATTCTTTGGGTCTTTCGGTAAAGTCACGTAGATGGTTCAAAAAAAATAACAAAAAAAAATAACAAAAAAAAACAACGACGTTTCGATCACAACACAAGCGGTCGTCATCAGGAGGAAAGAGGAGTTCCCTGTACTTAGAGGCCGTCCATAAATGACGTCACGCACCTCGGGGGGGGGGTTCAAACATTTGTGACGATGTGTGACGAGGGGGGGGTGTTTGAGAAATGTGACGTCTCATAAAAATGCGCAACTTTAAATAAATATAGACAACACGTTCTACTTAATAAATGTTTTCTCCTACAACATCAGAGTGCAGCGCCACATTAAATACGCACTACAATGACAATAGTTTAAAGCGATTTGAAGCATGTTTTATTTTGGGGGGGGGTCAGAGCTTTGTGACGTCATATTTGAGGGGGGGGGTCTGACTTTTTGTGACGTCGTGTGACGAATGGGGGGGGCGGGTTAAAAACCGTCGAAAATCGCGTGACGTCATTTATGGACGGTCCCTTATGGAACGAAGATTGTG